GGTTTAAAACCGAATCAAATTGATTATTTATATCGTTTGGAAACAATGAAAAAAATGTTTATTTACCAACACAGAGTTTTAACTTATCAATAGATTTTTTATAAATTAGGTAGGTAATACCTACGCTTGTTCAGACGGACCAACTACAATATCAATATAAAATATAATAATACTAAGTATATCAATATCACTTTATCACACATATAAAAAATCTTTACACAGTTTATAGGTAATCCGTCATATCCCTACCTCGGTAAAATCAAGTTAATGTTGTTATAATTAAGAAAAACATAGTCATCAATACCAACCGTTTTAAATCGATTTTTTTTTCGAACGTTTTTTTTCGTTTTAAACTAATTGGTTTAATTGGTTTTAAGGCGGCCTTACAGCTATATTCACTTACAAATCTTAACAACAAAATTCTTGATCTCGTATTGACCGGACAAATTTAATTTAGTTAAAGTTATGCCTATAAGCCGCCTCGATTGTCATCATCCTCAATTTGAAATTATATTTAATTATGGCAAGGTCACCTATCTTCTTGAAAATACTCCAATTACCAAATTGTGTTTTTATAAAACCGGTTATATTAACTGTATTAAAGTATTAAAGCAAATTGATTGGGAAAGCCACGCTTATATACTTAGTTGCGATGAATATGTATAATTTTTTTATAATATTTTGTATACAATAATAGAGATATACACACCAAAATACAAGGCAATAATAGATACCCTTTTTGGTTTTCAAAAAGTTTAAGTAAACTTATCAAAAGCAAGGATAAATATCATACACGTTTCAAAATTTACAATAATCTAAGAGACTATGATACTTTTGCTCTCCTAGGGACAAGAGTTAAACAACAAACTGAAATATGTTTTAAGTCTTATATATCAAATATAGAAAAAAATTTAATTAAAAATATTAAAACTTTTTATCGTTACACTAAAAATAAGAGAGTAACTAATAATATCCCTAAACAGCTGCATTTTAATAATAGAGTGGCTGTATCTGGTATTGATATTACTAATCTTTGTGCTGAATATTTTTCAACTGTTTATGGAAATGTATCATCTTTTAATTATACACCAAAATTTCCTTCATCTATTTTTTCCATAAGTAATTTACAATTTTCCGCAGACGCAATTGAACTTTAACTCAAATCAATTAATGTTAACAATCATTTATTATAAATCAGTTTTAAATGGTATATTTCCATCTTTATGGAAAATTGCTAAAATCACCCCTATTTATAAATCAGGTGATAAGAGTGATGTCCGAAATTATCGACCAATTTCTATCTTAAAAAGCTTTGCTAAATTTTTTGAAACTATGATCTATAAACAACTGTACAGTCATATAAAACCACATTTTAACATTAAACGACATGGTTTCGTATCTGGTTGCTGCACAACTTCCAATTTATTAGTTTATACCACTTTTTTAAGTGAATCATTTGATACAAAGACTCAAGTAGATTCAATATATCTTGATTTCTCCAAGGCGTTTGATCGAGTAAATCACACAATACTATTAGCCAAGGCTAGCCATCTGGGCATAGATGGTAATCTTTATCGTTGGCTATGCTTTTATCTGGCTAGCCGTTCTCAATTAGTAGCTCTATACAGGTATGAATCATTTCCATTTCTAGTCACCTCTAGTGTACCACAAGGATCTATTTTAGGCCCTTCGTCATTTTTGATATTTATCAATGACCTAAAATGTCTTTGATAAATAGTGAATGCCTCGCATATGCTGATGATATAAAAATCTTTTTCCAAGTCACTAAAAGAGAAGATTGTAAAGTTCTTCAGCATGATCTCGACTCTATCCGAATGTGGTGTGATGAAAAGTTGATGGAGCTTAATAAAAATAAATGTTATGTTATTTCATTTACAAAAAATAAAGTTCCAATATCGTTCGACTACAACATAGCAGGCACTGTTATTTCTAGAGTCAAAGTAGTACGGGACCTAGGTGTTATATTTGATTCAACCTTATCATTTAGGCCTCATATCGATTACATAACAAGTAAAGCAAATAGATCACTCGGTTTTATCATCCGAACTGCCCAACCTTTCAAAAATTCAATCTCGTGGATAGTTTTGTATGTCACTATAGTAAGAAGCATACTTGAATACTGCTCTTCCGTATGGAAACTAATATATAATATTCATATTAACAGAATCGCGGCTATACAACGTAAATTACTAAAAATTTTAAGCAGGCGGCAAGGTCTCAGGCGTGAATTACCGACTTACACTAACAGACTTCATAAATATAAACTAAAAAGCCTGGAAGATCGCCGTGTTAGATTTGTCATCCTCCATAAAATAGCCAATGGTGATTTCAATAGTAAATTATAAGAAAAACTGAAATTTAAAATTCGTATTCACTCGATTCGCCACAACTTTTCAATATACCTTCGGCAACTAATAACGTTTCCCAAAACAACCCTTTACACAGAATGTGTAAATCATACAATAGTATAAATGATGAATACGACATTTTTAATAATAGTTTTTTATCGTTCAAGAAAAAATTAAATAAATTATAGTTCTTACTTTACATTAATTATCAAAAATAATTAGGATATGCTTTCTCTCTGTTTGTTCTCCTTTATCTTTTTTTTCTTTGTCTTTTTTTCCACATGAAATGTAAATGTTATTTTCTTTTTTAATATTTTTTGTGTAACTTTAAATGCACAGACTCTTACTGTAATATTCACTGGTTAAATTTGTTTTTATAATTAGTATATGATTTTATTTGAATGTTGTGTAGAGATATAATTGGATAACAAATTTAAAATGATATTTTTAGTTTTTATACGTAGATGTAATTGTTTTAATTTGTTTTCTGTTTCTGTACATAAATAAATAAAATAAAAATAAAATAATTATTCACATGTTACTAAAACGTAAAGACTTGCATTTACAGAAGACTTTTCAGAGATTAATCAGAACTACTATTTATAAATCAAAAATGGGGTTGTACATTATATATATATATATATATATATATATATATATATATATATATATATATATTCATTTACAAAAAATAAAGTTCCAATATCGTTCGACTACAACATAGCAGGCACTGTTATTTCTAGAGTCAAAGTAGTACGGGACCTAGGTGTTATATTTGATTCAACCTTATCATTTAGGCCTCATATCGATTACATAACAAGTAAAGCAAATAGATCACTCGGTTTTATCATCCGAACTGCCCAACCTTTCAAAAATTCAATCTCGTGGATAGTTTTGTATGTCACTATAGTAAGAAGCATACTTGAATACTGCTCTTCCGTATGGAAACTAATATATAATATTCATATTAACAGAATCGCGGCTATACAACGTAAATTACTAAAAATTTTAAGCAGGCGGCAAGGTCTATATATATATATATATATATATATATATATATATATATATAATGTACAACATCCTTGCCGCGAGATGTACATACTCGTATGTATATCTCCGACTGCATAATACTATATTCCTTCGTGAACTTGTTTTCATCTTGTTAGTTAGCTTTTATGTAATCGGGTTTTTTAATTCTATAATATATATTTATTTACAGCTTTTTAAGTATTTTTAAGTAGGAAAATTAGCGAGAATGGTTGTTAACCAACTTTAAATCACTATATATCATAAACTGTTATTTAAAATGAAAAATGATGAAAGAAACCTAAACACATTTGGGATTTTTTGCCGTTTGTATAGATAATGGTACGGAGCCCTTTATGCGCGAGTCCGACTTGCACTTGGGATGGTTTTTTTTTTAAATTGAGAATTATGTAATTAAAAATGTATAAAACAATAATTACGCTTGCTCAATTGGCAAATATATTTTTGGCAACTCGATTTTAGTTTAATCTTTTAATTTAGTTTTTATAAAGTTCAAAAAAATCACGTTTTTTGTGTGGGAGCCCCCTTAAATATTTATTTTATACTGTTATTTAGTATTTATTGTTATAGCGGCAATAGAAATACATTATTTGTAAAAATTTCAACTATCTAACTATCGGTTCATGGGATACAGCCTGGTGATAAACGGACAGACAGACGATCGGAAAGCGGAGTCTTAGTAATAGGGTCACGTTTTATCCTTTGGGTATGGGACCCCAATAAACTACTCTAAAATACTCTGTTGTGAACGCAGAACCCAATCCATACTGGAAACGCGCGGTTTCTCGATAACCAATCACAGCGCGAGGACCCTGAACCCCATCAGCGCCCCCATCAGCGCCCCAATCAGTTGCTGGCATACCTCGATAAGCTATCTTTCTCACACATATGGCTACGCAAAAGAATTTTTTGTAGTACTAATTTGTAAACTTTATTTACGTCGGGGAATTGTTTAAAACCAGTAAATTTGAATAACGTTTTGCAAGTATTATTGAAAATTACTCAATGTTGTGAGTGATTAAAATTTCAGATTGCCAAAAGTATGTCTTTAGGAGTTTTAATAAAATATCTTTGAAGAGGGTGTGGTAATACTTTATAACCAACAAAAACGTCTAGGGTTCCTTTTTTTTATTATATAAAAACTAAATTAAAAGATTAAACAAGAATCAAGTTGCCAAAAGTATGTTTTTTTTGGATATTTTTTTTTCAAATGTTATATACTGCGCAGTAACGAAATAACCGCAAACGCTATCCCAGACCCGCGGGACTGGACTCGCTAATTGACGAAATTATATTTTTTCACAATTTCAACTTGCCAAAAGGACCTTCCCAAAATTCGTCACCAGCTCTCGGGCTATAATATTATACCTTGTCTATCTTTTGTGTCCGACATCGTCATAATGTAGATAATTTAACTTTGTTATAAATAGCATAAAAATAGCTGACCATAGATAACATAATTTTTGTTACATGAAATTACTACATAATCCCAGTTTATAACTATACTCTTTGGTCTCCACTCTCCAGTCTCCAGTCATTTAGCCGGTGTACGTTGCCCGAAAAATACGTATTTCTGCGCCAAAAATGAAGCTTGAAGATAATGAAGTGGTAAGTTTCACAAGTTCTTGCTTCGCGATTCTATTTTTAATACCATATCATTATAAAGTAAATTTAATAATAAATGATTAGAGCGCATTTGTTAATTAATAATTGTTGATTATATCGTAAACAGAAACTAAAGATATAAAGTTAATTTTATATACCTATAGGTATGGTAGGTACAAAAGTATACTTATTATAAGTCAACCAACTACTCGTATGTATAGGATTGTAGCAAACTTTTCGACACTCGAATACAAAAAAAAGTAGGGTGCCTTGAAAAAAATCGTATTGTTATTTTATTATTACAAATTACTACTTTTAATAATAAAATGGGTAGGTATCATCTATTGGTCTATTTCAAATTTGACAGTCCGATTGACAATATTGATGATATTATGACGATTTATGGTGAAAAATTATATACATTAAATCATTCTAATTCTTCGGTCTTTTCATGTGTATCATTTAGAATTGCGTGAATTACCCAGTAATTAATAACTACTAACACACCTTAATAACCTACTGCTAAACTGATCTTGATAAAATAATTACTGTTCCATGAGGAAACTTAAACTAATTAAAAAGAATTATTACAATCCAATCAAGAGGTTAAGAGAAATGCATGTACAAACATACACATGTACACTTATAACTCGATTATTAGACTAAAGTCTCCATATGATTATTTTAGAAAACAACAATATTATATAGATGGCACATTCGGGTCGAATCGATAACCTTTCTGTTTTGGAGTCGGTTAATAAAAAGATAATTTTATCGTAATAAAAAATCATAGGTAAGTACATTTATTATACTCATATCAAAATTACTACTATAGTAGTCGATTTATTGAGTAGTATTAGGCACTTAATAATTATTCTTTTCATTGTTTTTTTACGAGAAATATTTATATCTTTCATACGACAATGAAATGACGTGGAAGCCACATATTCAAAAAAATCTAAGCTAGATTCGGTTTAAAGATGCTTTATTTATTTCTCAAAAGAATAACATTCACTTAATGAGAAAAAATTACAAGTAGGTAGTTGAATATTATTTACATCGTGAACAACTTAATACAAAACAGAAATAAAAATGTTATAGGTATAGAAACATCAAATATGAGTTCATTAGGTAATAGGATTAATACAAAAATTTTATATTTAGTCAAACAACATCATTTTTACATAATGTTGTGGGTAGAACGGTGTTACAACTAGAATATTTACGTACTTAATTGGTAAACACAAAGATATAAAGAGCTTGTTACTAGAAGAGATACGGATAGAATTTAGTAATAACAATGAGTATAATAATAAAATGTTGTTTCAATCAAACCTATATATTACTAGCACTGCCCGCGGTTCCGCCCACGCTTAGATGACCAAAAAGATATTCTTAGGTTTTAAATATTAGGATACTCTTCTCTTACATTGCAGTTTTTGTATTTTTTCTCTTAAATGAGATATTTTCCCGCGGTAAAAATCCTATATGTTGACCCGGATAACCAGCTTCCATCATACCAAATTTCATCAAAATCCCTCCAGTGGTTTTTCTGTGATGCGGTAACAGACAGACAGACAAAAATTCTAAAAACTATAGATTCGGCCTCTGTATCGATAATAATGTCTATTTCAATAAGATTTTCCAAAAATATTTAATGTACAGATTCGGCTTAGTTACAATTTTATTATATTTATAGATAATTGTCTATTAGTACGTAAAATATTAAATAAAGATATGTATACATTCAAAAATAATATTTACGAAAAACGAGATATACAAAAATCAAACTAAGATCTGCCAACGATATTATACTCCATAAGCCACGCACCAATTATGGTAAGAAAAGTATCTATATTATTAGAAGGTGCCCAACTGTACAATAAATTGCCAAATGACATTATTAAAGAAGCTAAATCACTACTAACTTTCAAAAAACTACTCGAAATCTATTTAAAAAAATAAAATATATATATATTTTAATTTAATTAAATAATCAACTATATAATTATTATAAAAATTATAAGCTACATTCAAATAACTAAATTGTATAAAATAAATTGTAACACAATAGAATATATATATATATATCTCGTAAAATATCGTATAAATTAAATCCAGAGCAATATCTCTTCCCGTTGCGCTTTTTCTCTTAACCTGTGTATGTATATTTTTTAATCTTATCCTCTACTTGTTACTTGTCTTGCCTGTAAATTTTCGTGTACCCAATAAAGTGTTACGTTAGGCTTTAGCTAATGTGATTTCTCATATAATTGAATTGTAATATTCTTTTGAGAAATAAATGATCTTAAACCTGACATAATATAATAGCAGTTATATTATAAATTTTTTACCTATCGCAGCGATAGTTACTTATTATATATATGTAAGTAATATTATGGATACTTAACACAAAAATGTACTTTTCTTTTGGTCTTTTGGCAAGCAGATGCATGATGGACAATTTTATTTCAATACTTAGACTATTAACATCAGCTATTTTGTATTAACGCTACAAATTATATTACTTCACGACTACTTGCAGCTAAAGCGAAATCTGAAAAGTCCTTTACACAATGAATCTAAATGAACTATGTAAATACAAGCGGAATTTTAGAAGATCTTGTGCTCTTTAACAACGTATGTGCAAAAAATTACGACTAAATTAATTAATAAAGATTTTTTTGTAAGAAGGGTAAATAATAAAATAAACTATTTTACCATGTAGAGAATACGTATTATATTACAATGTGAAACTTATTATATTAAGATTGTATTAAAATAAATCGTATATATAGGGCAGGTAACTTTTCATATGTGGTGGTTTTTTCCGTTTTTAGCACCAGACTTACGCTTCGCACGATTTTGACAAATGGAAAGTCGCGGCGCGACTACTTTGGCAAGAAAACCATCGTTGTAAAAAGTAATCAGTGATGACAGTCAATATACCTACCTATTCATCACTTGTCCTTAACCTCTCAAAAATCATAACAACGCATAATTATAATAAACATAAAATTAATCAATTATTAAACAGACTAGTTAACGCTCGTGCCTGAAATATTGTGTAAATTTTACCTTTAGTCTCACCAATTATGTAATATTAAAATTTACTAAAAGGCCTAGACTATTATCAAACGAAAAATATATTTACGAGGGAAACTATAGGCTATCTAAAATCATGATACGAACCTATTATATTTTTATAGGTGCTGAGCAATTAAACATAAATATGTACATAAAATATATTGTAAAATAAATAACCCGATTGCATAAAAGCTAACTAAAAAGATGAAAGCAACTTGACGAAGGAATATAGTATTATGAAGTCGGAGACTTACACGTTGCAACCTTACCGCGAGATGTACATGCAGCTTTTTAGTTTTTATTTTACAAAACTCTTCGTCTCCTCCTCTCCTCCTTCTACGCTAATATTAATTAATGAATATGAATTTCAACAGTGGTGGCAGTGGCTCGTGTCCTTTAATGATATACGGCCTCTATGGAATGCGCAACCTTCCTATTTGATATCCCAAGCACTATATATGCTAGCTGGTGTAGCTACACTGTTTCATGGTAAACAAAATTTCGCCACTTGGTTATTTTCTATAAAAAAGTAGTCTATTAATGTTAACACAAAACATTTTGCAGCTTTTAATAAAGGAGGAAGATGGCCATACTTCTGGTTGGGCACAGTGCTGCATGGTATCTACGCGGATAATTTTTGGCATTTTGTACTACCAGAGTTCGACAATTTTTGGCATTCCCAAACTCCCATCATACTTCTTGGGGCTCGATTACCACTCCATATAGTACTTTTATGTAATAATATTTTATTATATGACCATAATATATATTTAAATTTATATGTTTTAATTAAAACTATTCTCCTACTTATATATTTTTTATCTTCAGATCCGGCTTTTATTTACCAAGCGGCATACGCCGTCTACAGGCTAAGATTACCAAGATATGCTCAGCCTTTTGCAGTGGGTTTGTTAACGTTTCTTATAGACATTCCCTATGATATAGTGGCCGTGAAATTCGTCCACTGGACGTGGCATGATACCGATCCTAATATTTATGACCGTCATTATTGGGTGCCATGGAACTCTTATTATTTCCATATGACATTTGCTGCGAGTTTTTACTTCTTTTTCGACGTGAGTAGAAGATGGATGGCACCTGATGTTGAACAATGGACTTCGGCTAAGTAAGTGAAAACTCATGGTCTATATTTTATTATTAAGTGTAATGTGTTAACGGTATCTATACTTTAATGGCGATTTTTAAGTCATATTACTAAAAACAAACTACAAAAACAAGTACATATATAATATAAAAATTATTGTGTTTCAGAAAAGGAGTTGAGTGGAAATCCCTTCTGATAGCTACAGCATTGGGTATGCCCGGAGGTGTTCTGTTATTTATTCCAATTTACCACCCCCTGCATGATGTATTTAATATTCACACTGAAGTCACTGTCATTGTTTTATTCACTATCTTCTCTGCTATTGTATTTTTGGGTATTTTAAGCCCACGTGAGAAAAAAACAGAAAAGTAAGTAAACCACTAATACAGTTGCAATATCATTTTCTTAATGGATGTATTAGGAAGGTCAATTACTAACCTTAAACATAATACATACCAACATTTATATTTCTAGACTAGCGACTTAGCTTCGCATCGCTCGTGTGCGTCCCTAGGTACGTTTTAATTTTTTTGAGCGGAACCCTAATTATTTTTCTGAAATAAAAGTTGCCTATGTTACTCCGTATAATATCAGCTATCTGCCAGTGAAAGTCCTGTCAAAATCAGTTCACCCGTTTCAAAGATTAGCCGGAACAGACATATAGACAAAAATTTAAAAATTGTGTTTTTCTATATAATTTCATATGCATTTAGTAAAAAGCTATTTTTTTTTGTAAAAAAAAAACATAATTTTCATTTAATAAAAAAAAATAGACATTTCAAAATTTATTTATCTGTATAGAAGTTACCCGTTATAATTCTATAATGATTAATCAATAAATCTCTTTATTTCAGTAATAATTGCCAAAAATATATATGATGTAGGTATAATAAAATACAAAAGATAGATGTATAAAATAGTAGAGTTACACGAATACTGGCTCTCGAGTTCACCTGCTCAAATATAGCTGTTACAATAAATAAACCATCATATCACTTATCATGAACAAAGTTTTTATAATTTCATTTTAAAGTATAAAGGTTAAAAAAATGTTTACTTGATTACGTCATCTATACATATAATAAAATTGTATTGTATTTAATTTTTTGGGAAATCTTATTGAAATAGATATTATTATCGATATAGAGGCCGAATCTATAGTTTTTAGAATTTTTGTCTGTCTGTCTGTCTGTCTGTTTGTTACCGCATCACGGAAAACTACTGGAGGGATTTTGATGAATTATGTTGTTATATTAAATATGAAATTTGGTATGATGATAACTGGTTATCCGGGTCAACATATAGAATACTTCTTACTGCGGGAAAATATCTCATTTCTGAGAAATCCATACTACATGTCAAAACTTAAGTAGGGGACAAACCCGAGCGGAGCGAGGGTGAGTCGCTAGTTAAAATATAATATGAGTTGTAAAATAGTCGTACCTGACTTTCGCATACTCTAAGCAAATATTTCTTTATGTTTTAGGTTGACATCGATGGATTACGTATTGTTAATTCAATTGTGCGCCCACTATCTCCTATATTGGACTTACGTAGTTTTCCTGGATCCTTCAAAAGAATGGTCTGTAGGTCTCCATGAGCCAGTAGGCCCTTGTGATGAACAAGCTTCACTAACAACGCCTTTTGGACAGGTATTTATAATATAAAAAAAGTATTTATGTTTGTATTTATTATCAACTAGCGTAACCTCGCTTGGCTCGGGAACGTCCATAAGGACAGGACACAGGAGGACAGGCACATAAGTGCCTAACAGTAGCCTATATATTACTCCAAGTCATAGTCTATACGTATGCTAAATATCATTAATATACTTCCAGCTGTTTCGGCGTGTAGGAGTAACAAACATACACACACTCATACATTATTTCGCTAGTCCATTTATTAGATACGTATAATTTTATTTTCTTTTCTTTTAATTTCCTACACGCTTTTTCTGGTTTTAGCATCGCACTTACCTTCTAACACGTTGGTACGTTTCAAACACGAGGGAGTATCTATTACTTTTACATAATAAAATAAATAATTAGGGAAGATTTATGACAAAGTGACAATACACTGTGTTTACTTTACCTTTACAGACCCTGTATAAACGTAAATATCTCTGTGCGCAAAACTATGACGAAGGCTATTTCAATTTCCACTGTGTAAATAACAAGCTGCCGCCACATGGCTCCTCTTGGTATACTATATGTGGTACTCCATTTGAGTAAGTTATTATATGCTACGTTACAAAATTTTTAATGTTTATAATATAAATTACTATCAATTAAGCCTACGCCGTTCGTCTTCCTGGGTACAAAATAAGAAGTTTATAATATAGATTACCTATAAGATCTATACATATAATAAAATTATAACTAAGCCGACTCTGTACATTAAATATTTTTTGGAAAATCTTATTAAAATAAACATTATTATCGATGCAGAGGCCGAATCTATAGTTTTTAGAATTTTTGTCTGTCTGTCTGTCTGTTAAAGCATTACAGAAAAACCACTGAAGGAATTGTAATGGAATTTGGTATGGTGATAGCTGGTTATCCGGGTCAACATATAGGATACTTTTTACCGCGGGAAAATATCTCATTTCAAGAAAAAGTTCAAAAACTGCATTGTAAGAGTATACTAATATGTAAAACCTAAGAATTTGGTTTTTGGTCATCTGAACGCGGGCGGAACCGCGGGCAATGCTAGTTATTAACCTATATTACACATGCATATATTGTGTCATGTAATCTATGCATAATAAAATTCTGAGTCGAATCTGTACATTAAATATTTTTTGGATAATCTTATTGACATAATCGTTATTATACCTAGAGATGATTGAATCTATAGTTTTTATATTTTTTGTCCGTGTGTCTGTCTGGGAACGTCACGAGAAAACCACTGAACAGATTTTGATGAAATTTTGTATGATGATAGCAGGGTTATGGGTATATGAATGTATGATGTTATCCGGGTCAACATACAGAATACTTTTTATTGCGGAAAGATGTCTCATATCTGAGAAAATGAAAATCTATCTTTTTAATTATAAAAAAATTGTGTTAACAGAAATCGTATGGAGTATATAGTAGTCTTGTCAACAATCCTCTTGACGGCAGGCGGAGTTTTCTATGGTATTTATTTCAAGGATCGTGATGAATCACCCGCTAATCCATCTCCTAAAAAGTTGAAAAAGAAATAATGTAACTAAAACTATTAAATAAACTTTATACTGAATGAAATAAGATTTAAATTTATACTTTTTTAAATAAATTTTTGATGTTGCATTTTTTACTTATTTTGAAAAAACCTAAAAAACATGATAATTTTTTATATAATGCCTTTTTTTTGCATAATGCATGTATCGCAAATAGTCACCCCTATCACCTCCTAACGGAAATACGAAGAATTACCAATAACCCTGTATAAATAAGTACAAGAAAGTCCGAGATCTAAGCTGTGAAGATAACCGTAGTACAGTTAACCCAAGTGCCATACACACTCAGATACTCTTATTCATCTAGAAGTCGTGTTCCTGATAGAATTTTTACAGTTAACTTTACATATAAGTGATTTATTATTATAAGTGTTTTCATAAGTGACTTTAATGCACTCGATTTTTTTAGCGGTTTCATTGATTGTTAATGACACTCGGAGTGTCTTAGCAATATGTAATCAATATCACTTTAGTGTTAAATAACACACAATAACCAAGAATATATCATGTCATAGAATATAAAACTTTTTAACAAAAAAATGAAAACCGACTTCAAACAAAAGCACTAAAAAGTAAAAAATAACTGATTGGTAGTTTTCATATACTATACATTAATATCTATTTTACTGCCTCGGTGGTGTAGTGGCTAGCATGTACGGCTGCACACCCGGAGGTCCTGGGTTCGAGTCCCGGGTCGGGCCAAGTTTAGTTATTGAGTGTTCCTGTATAGTAAGTCTCAGTAACAGCCCGGAGTTGGGAAGTTGGCGGTGTTTCACCCCCGTGCCTCGGAGAGCACGTAAAGCCGTCGGTCCTGCGCCTTAACTCTCACCGGTCGTGTCGAGTGGTCGTCCCACCGGAGTATGAGAGTGATAGGAATAGAGAGTGCCTTGTGTCTGCGCGTACACTTGAGCACTATAATATCTCCTGCGCAGTTGGCTAATCTCATTGAGATTGGCCGCCATGGCCGGAATCGGCTAGGAGAACATCATCATACTATACATACCTAATAAAATATTTTCGAAGTCGGTGTGCTTTGCTTTGTATCGGCGGGCATAAGTTGCAGCCAATGGATAAAGCTATTTTGGGGTGGTAAAAAAAGCAGTCAACACTACTAGCGACAATTGGATAAGGTTTGTTAAATGACTCGTACACCAAGTCCATCGATCCTGAACTTACCTGCTACTCCTCCTAGAGTTAAGCTAAGATAACAAGCTAAGAAACCCTTGCCAAGAGCACCACAAATAAAACGAAATGAAACGAATCGACAAAAGGTAAAAATGGAACCTTGATTGATACTCCTGTAAAAAATGAATTGGCTGCAATTGAAGCAGCTAGGATATGACTAAGAAATTTTCAGTTTCGTATTACACGTATGTGTTACTTTGAGTTGATTGAATTTGGGTTTATTTGCTGTTGATTGAATTATCACTACGTAACTTGGTAGAAGTTTTTTATTTACAAAATTTCTAGCTTCTCATGACGGGGACTTTACTTAGTTTAAACTGTATCCCATAAAACCAGTGATTTGATGCAATGTAGAAAATAAAATTTTATCTACATCTTTATATATAAAAATTACAATAACGTTTAGGTATTCTAATATTTCCTTTAAAATTATTATTTATAAACAAACGTCTTTATTAAGTACATATAACAGCAATTTATTGAAGTCCTTTTTACAAGTCCGATTGAGGCGAAGCCCAAAGGAGGGTTATGTGTTTGACCTGTATGTATGTATGTCCGGCTCTATGTTCACTCGTACTAGGTTTTATGGCTTAACCGATGTTGATGAATCATACGTCATTCAATTCGTCTTGATAACACGAGTGACATAGGGTAGGTATATAAGTGTCTTTAAAAATCAAAATAGCGGATCTAAGGCGCTAATTTTGTGGGTCAGGGGTATCAAAATACATGTTTTTAAAAGGCCAAAAGTAAAAAGGTGTAAATAAAAAAAATATTTACAAAAATTAAAAAAAACCGACTTCATAAAAAGCGAACTAAAAAGATAAGAACAAGATGACGAGTATGTGTGTGAGTGTAGTATGAAGTTGCAGACTTACATAGGTACATTCATATATGTATATGTGTGTATGTCTTCGATTGCATAATACTGTTTTCCTTCGTCAACTTATTCTCATCTTTTTAGTTTGTTTTATACTCAGTCGAGTTTTTTGTTTTTTTTTTAAATTATTTAGTTCTTTTTATAGACCTGTTATTTAATTAAAACCCACAAAATGTTATCAATGTGTGAATATATGTACCTACAACCCTGTAATCAGACTACGGTGTAATTGTCGTGTCGTGTATTTTCATTTTATGATGAAATATATAACTATCTACAATCTGCAGGCATAAATAACTGACAACCAACGGGAATAATATAAGTATCACTTTTAATGATATGTTTGTTTTGACATACAATCACAATTCCTTTCTTAAGTCTAAATAGTTAGATTACATGCTGTCGTCAACTACACTCTCTCTACACGTTTGGTGAACAATTCTAAGCCAATGACACTACAAAGATTTTTAATTAAGGTTTAAATCTATCATTCGCTTATAAATTTGGGTTTTAGTGCCTGTGAAGGGATTGTTAACTTTAGGTTGTTAATATTTCGTAAATAGCATTATTTTAATGGATATCTATTCTTTTTATTAAAATTAATAATAATACAATAATTAAACACGAAATATTGACAACACCTGTGAATATAATTTAAACACATTTAAGTAATATAACGTATTTGCTTTAATAGCTTTGTTATCATTATTCATAAACCTGTTCTTACCACTACACTGTTTATGTCTGATTAAGGTCAACATAACTGTCTGAAATAAAAAAAATACATTACAAAATGTTTAAAATTACATATAAATTATTTAATATTCGCATTACAACGCCATAGTATTTTATAAGTAGGTAGGTACTATCGTTGGTCTACAAATGTAAAGAGCTTATTAATAATTATTATATATTATAAGTATACTGAATTCCAAAACGTATGAACCTAAAAAAATACTTATAAGGGGCCATTCAAGTATTACGTGAGCAGAATTTTAGTAATTATTACCCCTCCCTCCCCCTTGTCAGCAAAAGTAAGCTCAGCTCTTACTCCCGCCTCCCGTGTTTACGTAAACAATACGTCTCAATTATTTTGGGGAATCCCTCAACATGCTTTTCGCTTTTGAGTACAGATAAGTAGGGTTGTCATGTGTGTTCTGTAAACATTGATATGAGCAATCAAAATCTACTGAACTTTAATTAATTATTTTAGTAAATAAATATTGCTGACGTAAATCACCATCCAGACCCCCCGTCTCCCATGTCATCAAAAATAAGCAAAGAAAAGGCCCCCCGCCCCCCGTTTGGTGCTTACGTAATACTTGAATGGCCCCTAACTAATTATTATCACATTTAAAAAATAAAACAAAAAAATACATGAATAGGCGAATAATAGATATAAACTGATTCTATACTCACAATAAGTCATAGACAACACATAAATACGACAGTTATCATTCGACCAATATTTTAAGTAAAACTATCTTTTCGGTTTTTTTCACGGCTTTATATAGATTTTTGGTTTCCAACGTTTCGAATGCCTTACAACAATCATGTTTACGGGAGAGACTAAGGCTTTAGACGTCTCGAAGGTCAATATACCTATGATTGTGTGTAACTAAAGTTGAAAAGATGGTTTTATTCAAAATGTTAAATATTGGCGTGAATCTAAGAAAGTATTATAAGTATGTCGACCAATATTTATGACCATATGGCTACATTTGTGCTTCACAAAGAGGTGCAGTTGAGTGTCTCAACATCGATAAAACTACACGTAACAATTACACATGTCTAGAACTCCTTCTATACTAACGTGGCTTACAAAGCAATATATAATTCGATTCAGTCATATGCAAAAATATACATACTCTTAAAGTGATTTGTTTGACAATCAAGAAATAATTTTAGTGTGAAAATACCGATAGTTCAATATTAAATATGATAAACTTGCATTGAAACGCATCCCAAAACTAACGCATGTAACTGGCATGTTGCATACAAAAATTGAGCACATACAGATACCGTTAAAAGTCATAATTTAAAAAAAAATATTCATATTCAATAAATGGGACATTTGAATGGCATCAAAAAAGCATCCATGCGTTTTATATCACACATTTTGTAAATCACTACAATAATAAATTCAATCGAATACTCTAAATGCTCGACTTCTTCGATCTACTGGCGGTTGTTTGGAATGACACTTAGTTTACATTAGAGGACTAACATTACTTTACTAACTTATATATTTTGTGACATTCGATCATTTTATGATTATAACATATTATATATTTCGTCAAAAACTAAATTTGACATAATAAATTAACTATTCAAGTTGCGCTACCGCTTTTGCCCTAAAGTATACACTAATGTATTATAATCGATATCGACTCTAATAAAAATAAATAGAATAATGCTTTTTGCGGATGATATAAACCTAATATCTGCAATCTGTTTCATAAACTCTTGAGGCCATGGAAAATGCATTGAATAATTGTGCAAAGTAAACAAGCCCTCTTATTGATCTATTTCGATATATAAGTTAACATTAATATGAATAAATTTTGAAATATGAAATAGGAACATAAAAGTCATGCACTACATAGAAATAAATTAGGGCTTATTATTGAAAAGTTCTTCGACAACGGACGGATCGGCCAGAGTGGAGGTGTCACCGATATCTTTATCTCCGAGGGCTACCTTCCTCAGTATCCTCCTCATGATCTTCCCGGATCTGGTCTTAGGCAGTCCTGGGGCATACTGGATCATATCTGGGGCCGCAAACGCTCCAATTCTGTTCCTGACGCGTTTCTTCAACGAATCAATCAATTCCGCGTCGAATTTAGCACCTTCATTAAGAGTAACGAAACAGTACAAAGATTCGCCTTTCACTGGGTGTGGCTTGGAGACGACGGCCGCTTCGGAAACTCGCGGCTCTTCGGTGAGAACTCCTTCTACTTCTGCTGTTGACATCAAATGGCCAGATACGTTTAACATATCGTCGATGCGACCGGTCACCCACAAAAATCCATCTTCATCACGTCTGGCACCTATGTCCATATAAAAATAAATTTTAGCAATGTTCTACTGCACATTTATAAGTCTGTTTTGAATCAAGTTACAAAATTGTGTAAGAATTGTTAGAAATTAAAATGTAGTAGAGTTAATTAATGTGTATAGAATTTTTAAATGTTTCATGAATGATATAATATAATAACACAATTATAAGGACAAAGCATCATAACGAATTCATACCATCGCCAGTGCAATAATATCCATTGAATTTCGAGAAATAGACTTTCTCATAGCGCTTGTGGTCTCCGAAAAGTGTCCTCATTATGCCTGGCCATGGTTTGGAGAAAACCAAGTATCCCTCACCCTCGCCTTCGATGATCTTTCCGTTTTCATCGACGAGGCTTGGCTCAACTCCGAAAAATGGGAATCCCTAGGAAAAAAATACGCGCAATCTTTTAAGGTCTAAATCTATACATAATTTAGATGAAAATTCAACGTCACGATATCCCTTAATAATTTCAGTAACTACTGGAGTAATTTTAACGGATTCAACAGTTTACATCTTACAAATTGAAATTAAATTCTTTTCTACCAATAGGACAAAATATCCTGACAGAGAGACTACAGAGGACATAACATACAAAATTCTGTTAGTATATGGATTTTAATACGAGAGTCAATATTTACGATGCCTTAAATAATTTTCGTGATGTATGTATAAGTATTAGTATGCAGAAACTACAAAGTAACATAATTATTAGAAACTTGATTCAAAATCTGAGTTTTACCTTAAGTTGCTTTATTAATTATCTTAAATATATGTTGGTGATCATAGTTACGTTTTTGCAGAATCAAGGCATCAACGGATGATGCCAAGGCAAAAAATGAGGTTCCTTTGTGGTATACAAAACAATAAAAGACGAAGGAGAACGGTGTATTGCAGACATTGACTATTAAACAGAAAACGCATATGTATCTATTAAGGGGACACAGAACTATTTCAAAGATTTTAATAATTACTTAAAAAAGGATGAAATGTTAAAACTGATAGTTACACAGTTTATTACTACATACATTCATATTTACTGTTCCTTTTTTAGTCTTCGCGGTAATTTAATAGTAAACTGATCAAATATTACTTCACCTGTACATCTCCCAGTTCTGTTCTACCCACGTTAAGATTTAACCGAACAATGCATTTAAAAATTTAAACTTTCAGTAAAATTGTATATCTAGGAAAGGTGTTTTAGCTATAGAAGAAATTAATATCTTACAGCTGCGCCGGGTTTCATCGGAGTGGCCCCAGGTAAACTAGTTAGCACGTGACCACCAGTCTCAGTTTGCCAAAAGGTGTCCACAATAGAGCATCGTCCCCCACCCACGATGTTGTAATACCAAAACCAAGCCTCCGGATTTATTGGTTCCCCTACACTGCCCAGCACTCTTAGCGTGGTAAGATTGTGCCTGAAAATAAAATTAAATGCTCAATGAAAACTCCTACAAGACTTTCGAATCTATTAATCAAGCAGATCAATTCCAGTCCACCTTTTAATATTGTGCCAATAACTTATTATTATTTTTCCATTAAACCTTAGTTTGGAGAATGTTAAGTATATTTTTAACATATTTGCTTAGGGGTTGACTAACGTAAGCTAACAAGTATGGAAGTATTATAAAGTTATTTTATAAGTAGGTATTACATAATGTACAAATGGAATACTTTGAATTAAAGAGAAATAATTATTTGGTTCAAGGTTTTACAAATCAGGCTAGTTGTATAAGTTTAGTTTGTAGTATATAGTGCGTAAAAGAAATTGCACGGTAAAATATTTTATAATGCAATCACTTTTCATAGAGCAAAGTTTTTAAGTTACCATTTGCTTTATATAACCAGTAATTTCGAAGCAATTAATAATGTGACATTCGAGAAATGTTAATCATTCAGTTGTTGTATAACTGATGACCGCTATTGAGAAAACCGCTAAAAATCTCTTAATCTATTAACGATTAGAAAATGTGAAAGGGCAGTTATCATAGCAATATCATGTTATAATACATCAACAGTGTTGTGCTCAGATGATCCATATAATAACAATTCGATATGAACTTGATGCACATAATATGTAGGCATGTTATGCAACTCCGTAATTGTAACTGAATCTAACGGATATCTGAAATAATTCCAAAATAAACCTTTTAAATAATTTCAGATAAGGGAGTCTTTTTGAAGAACAAATTTGATTTCGTAATTGAAACCATTTATAATTATTTAACAATTATTCAAAAACCATAATATGTTCCAAACTGAAACTATCTGATGTCTCAAATAATTTCATACACACTTACCTAATCAAAACCGAAATTGGTAAAATATTATAAATTATTAAATTATTTTCATATCCGAAATTGCATATCTTTCAGCATCCCTAATATCTGCCTCCTATGAAGCGTACAGTCCTTTAAAAATACATTCAAAGGTATTGTTTAAAAAAAAGTTTTATAGTAATGCAACGTTCAATAATAATAATAAATATTAAATATATTAATAAATATAAAATTTTAGTACCAATCGTAATTTTATAATATATTTACTTTATGTATACAATAATAACAACAAAGGCCGCGGCGCAAAATTGTATTGCCATAAAGACTCTACACTCTACTCTTATCTAAGATAATATTGTCAAGTACGCATTTGAAGAATTCATGAAGAATCTAAATTACAATGTTTAATTTGACGAATAAATTATGACTAATAATTAGTTGAAGTAATTGCTACGTAGGAACAGTTTTCAAGGTAATTAATAGCAAATTAACCTATTTTTTTCATTATATATGCAGAATGAATTTTCTAACTTGACTTTTTTAAGCTCTAGGACACCATGGAGGTAAGTATGTAATTGAAATTAAATTCAATTTGATATCTCGACGTGTCCCTAATAAGTAACGAAGTATCGAAATAATCTTGCAATGGTTTTTGAGTTACGAATCTCTAAAAATTAAAATCGTGTACAGGGATTTCTTTTAATTGACTTGCTATTTTATCGTATATGGACGGGTGTAAATGCTGTAGAAAATATAATTTAAAATAAATAAGATCTATGAACAAGATGGTTATTATAAATATTTTAACTCTATGAAGTTTATATTAATAAAAAAAGTTGGTTTTGCAGATTAAGCATAGGTATACCTTGAAATCCTATAACACTTAACAGTATCCGGTTGTTATGTTATCATTAGGAATAATAAATAGCATTTTATCATTTATGATTAATTTATAACAGACAATGAAGTATTATAAGTATGCACTTTAAGTGAAGTATTTATACTTGATATTATAACATAAATTATGTACTTCATTTTATTCATTTCATTCTGTGTAAAATAAATTATTTCATCCAATTCTATAAAATAATGTATTTTACATGTGCATGATAACTAAAATAATCGTTTAAATATTCAATTTTCTATCAGTATTTCTTTAAGTAAATCAAAATGTCATAAGTTGTTATTGGCCTTAAAATGAAAACAGAGATGTCTGTTCTATAAAAGGAAAGGCAATTTAAATATTATCGTAATCATTCTTCATTCATCATAAAATCGATTAGGGACCTGCTTGTGAGTATATTAAATGAATCATGCAAAGAATAGCTGATGCTTTATATCGATTTTAAGATTAATTGTCATTAGATCTCATGACGCATTCTAAAAGGTCACATTATTGTTGTAAATTGTAATGTTTCAGCCGGTTGCTTCAGTACCTACCTACCTACATACATAATATATAAAGACTCTTGAACGGCTAAAATGGTCATTTAGAAGTTCGATTTCAAATATATTACTATGTTTTCATTTTTAACCCTATCATTAGTTCTCTTGTTAAATTCACTTACTAATGTGATACGGAGAAATTGTTTGTATTGTAGTTGTAGGTATATATTTTTAAAGGTAATCTGTGGAACTACAAGTGGCAAAATTTGATAAATCATATTTTTAAGCAATAAACCAATGATTTTGGTATGAAATAATGCCAATAAAACAACCAATCTGCACATGCTCTAAGCCTGGTAGCTAAATTGCATAATGGCATTTTTACGTTTACAATACATGGATTTAACTTTTAAAAGTTTATTTTTAAAATTATTTAATTACAAACAGTTATTTAATAGTTAATTAATTATTATATAGTTATAGTATAGTTTTGGAAATAAATTAAATTTTATAAATACCCTAAAGCGAAATATGCAGCAGCAGTGCTGTGTACCTAGTGATCTATAGGGTAGGTAGCCCATTTGGGTATTTTTTCAGCGCACATCTATCACTTTTTATCAAAATCCTATTTTTACGCCTTGTAGATTTCGTTCATAACGAAAAAGTAATATATTTTTCCTATTTTGTTAATTTTAAATGATGAGCTAAAATCTCCTAGGTAGAGCTTTTTTTATGGGATTCAGTGACAAACGAGCAGACAGACCACCTGATGAAAAGCGGTACCTGTCGCCCATAACACTTACGGTTCATGCACTTATGATAATCTTGCCTGTAATTGCGCTGGCTACCTTACCCTTCAAACCGGAACACAACAATGTAATAATTGTTGCTTGGCGGCAAAAATTATTGAATATTATTACTTTCTTAGATTTAGGTACGTGAATATTTGACATTTTAAATAAAACTATCTTTTCGGATTTTTTTGCGAATTAAATTCAAATTCGTGAATATCAACCAACCAAATCCACCAAAAACCTAAATAAATTCACGGAAAATCCGAAAAGATAAAACTATTTAAATTGTTTACAATTTTCATAATAAATAATTAGTATTCATACTTACTTAACCACTATAGAGTCTCCAAATTTCATTAGCGATCGAATAGCAGTAGGCGCTGTGTAGAACTGCGAAACTTGGTATTTTTCGACAAGCGACCAGTAACGGTCGTTTTCTGGGAAGAATGGAGTTCCCTCAAACTGAAATAAATAAGTATATAATTAAATAGTGATATATTCACATGGTATAAAATGAAGTAGCTTCCGCTGTCTGTTCCCTTAAATCTTTTAAACCACTCAATGGATTTTCATGCAGTTTTCAGCAACGGATAGACTGATTCAAGAGGAATGTTTATATGTATAATATTTGCATATTATAGTACAGAAAAGCCGAGGAATTCAAAGATTTGTATTTCATACTAACCGCCAAAACGTACCTAGGGACGAACCCGAACGAAGCGAGGGTGTGTCGCTAATTAAGTAATTATTTGAAATTTCAATTTCAATGTTGTATATTAAAATTTGCATTTTTTTATTTTATTTAAAAAAAAGAACTATAGTCCCGCTAGACACAGGCATTTTTAACAACAATAAACGTATTTCTGAAATTCGAATATAGAATAAAGAATTTCGAATTTGATTTTTACTGAACCGATTTTAACTATTCTTTGTGTATTGAAAAAATAAAACATCCAGAACAAAACATGGGCAATATTAAATTTTCACGAGAGCTACGTGAACCTAGTCCTGTCATATAATTAGAGGTTTAGTGGTTGTGAGTGGAGTATTCATGAATGCCAAATGCTGACGAAGTCGAATATGAAATATGGTCTATAGAATCTCACAGGGAATCCACGCTACTATAGTAAGTACATAAAATTGGGCGTAGTTATGCAAAATGGATCCAGCCCACGAAAACTGTTTTTTGAGTGACGGTCTTAATGACACCCACATATCAACTTTTAACAGAAAGTCGATAAAATACCCAATATTTAAGAGGAATTTAAAAATAAATAAATATATTATAAAAATAAAAAAACTCGACTGCATAAAGGCTTACTAAAAAGAATAAAACAAGTTCACGAAGGAATATAGTATTATGCAGTCGGTGATATACATGTTTCATCTATGCCGCGAGATGTACTTGCATGCTCGTTATGTACTATGTCTCTGACTGCGTAATACTATATTCCTTTGTTAACTTGTTTTCATTTTTTTAGTTAGCTTTTATATGCAGTCGTGTTTTTTATTTTTATAATATATTTATTTATTTACAACTTTTTAAGTATTTTTAAGTGGTAAAATTAGCGAGAATGCTGATTGGTTGTTAACCAACTTAAATCATTATATATTATAAACTGTTATTCAAAATGAAAAATGATGGAAGAAACCTAAAAATGATTTTTAAATACCTATTCAAAGATACCACACTTGACATAGTTCGTCGATATTCAATTTTTCTTTTTCACAAAATCGTCCATTTTGATTTTTCCAAATTTTTATGCTTTCAATCACATTCGCGCCATCATGACGAATCAAACAAAGTGTCATTTATCAAAATCGGTCCACACATTTGGTCTAAATAGTGCCAGAGGTACAAACCCACATACATAAATACATACATACATACATATATATGTAGGCTGATAAACACATTACCCTCCTTTGCGTCGAGTAGTCGGCTAATTACCCTCTTTTGCGTCACGCAGTCGGGTAAAAAACTACGGTCTTGTTATTTTAATATACCAACTTTACTAAAGCTCCTATTTTCTCAAAATTAAGTTTTTGTGGTTGGATCTATTTTGCATAACTACGTCCAATTAAGATCTTGCGATATTGACGGGGGTTACCGAATTTGACGGATCTGGCTGCCGGTAATATTATAGGTACCTAATTAGGTATTTTACTTTATGTTGTTAGAGTTCATTACACTTTGAATATTTTATTTATGGCACAAATAAACTACTGATTATTATACTTATGCCCGATTTCACCAACATCCCATAAGCTACCATCTACGTATGGGATCCCTAGCTTAAATGTTCTCCTAAACTAGCCCCTAAATTAAATTTTGTTTTACCATCGTTAGAGCCCGAATTTTTAGTACCTATATTTAGGTGGCATTTTAACATTTAGGTGACCCCTAATTGTCGGTGAAACAGAAACTGTCCCCTAAAACAGCCCCCTAACATGCTTAGGGGATCCCTTAAACTTAGGTGACGTTGGTGAAATCGGCCATTACTCTACTATGATACTTCAGGATAATTATTTTGGATGAAAAATAAAATTCAAGTTCATTATTATTCTATTGGGTACCTGTTTAATGATAAGAGCAGTAAATTTTGATAAATATATCTATGTTGTTTCTTCACAAATTTTGTATTCTAATAGTACAATATGTGTAAAGTGTGTTTAATTAATAAAAACAACATGGGTCGTACCATGTTGACTCGAGCAACATTTTACAAAAGTGTAATTTGGTGTATTTGTACTACAGTGGAACATACGTACCTACGTATATTCTATACGTAATCATACATTTACTTAAACGTCATACATATTAGTGAAATATAAATATTTACTTTAACCTACTTTACAGTGTTCTATGTGCGTAGAGTCAACACTATCTGTAGGTACTCCGTACAACTTATTAATAGTTAAATTTGATGTATCTGAGATTCAGATCTACATATAATTGCACAATGAACTCCATTTACATAACCATCAATAATTTTGTTTAATTTTTTATCCGATTATTCCGTCCGATCCGATTATTAGTCCTATTGTATTGTCCCAAAATATCAGAGGTTCGAGACCTAAGAAAGGCTATCAAAAAAAAAACTAATAATGAATAAATTGATATATAAAGTGCTAATTGTCATACATTACAAAACGTGCTATATTAAGTAACCATAAAAACGTCTAATTTGTGAACTGAAGTTCACTACCTGAACCTACTGAGTTTACCTACTAAGTATTTACTTTTAAATGTTATTTCTGTCGCAAACTAAACCAAAGGTCCTACTGGGTGGTATGACATTCTCAAGAATATTTACATTCCTTGTGCTAAATTAAGTATGTAATATTATAATTTCTCTCTTGTTATATAAAATACAAGTTTAACATTTTTCATAATATATAGTGGAGATAATGAACCGTATTCCTTCCAGCCTCAAATTGCGATGTTATTATTTGAATAAAAATGGATTTCTAATATTATAAGGTATGGGTACACAATATTTCAAAACTACAGCGTAGCTTTGCGTGTAATGTAACCTCTAAGTATTGTAAATAAGTATAAAATAATATTATAACAATTTCATTAGGATGCGCATTAATATCTAGTTAAAAAATGTTTGACACATATTTAATCAGATATGAAATACCTAATGGCAGCTCATGTATCTATTACATAGCTGGAATGCTGCGTGTCTGATAAAATCAGTTGAACTTGAGAGGTAACAATTGCTTACTAAAGAAACTGATTATAGGATAAAATGTAAATCCAGTTATTAGAACATGCTTACTATATTGTAAGTATATATTTTCTGTTCAACAAGAAACCGCAGTTGTCTATACATAAAAACATAATAATATCAAAAATATGTACATTAAAAATCTAAGTAAAATTTAAAGCTAATATTAAAAATGCGAAAGTTTGTGAGGATGTATGGATGTAAATGTATGGATGTTTGTTACTCTTTCATGCAAAATCTACTGAATGTATTTTAATGAAACTTAACAATCATAATCATCCATCAGAATAACGCATAGGCTACTTTTTATCCCGGAAAAGTGTACGGTTCCGGTTCCCACGGGATAGATTTGTTTTTCTAGAGGCGAACCCGAGTCAAGCGAGGGTGAGCCGCTATTATAATATTTTACAGCTGACCCTGAGCAAGAGCTGTGATTCATTTAGTAGGTTAATTCTGATCATTCTAGTGTGCAACATAGTGTGAAGTGAAATCTTACCATGACAGAGGTAGCGGCATTAGCGAGTGGGCCGTACACCACGTAAGTGTGTCCGGTAATCCATCCGACGTCCGCCGTGCACCAGTAGATGTCTGAATTGCGATAGTCGAACACGTAGCGGAAAGTGGCCGTGGCGTATACCATGTAGCCCCCGGTGGTGTGTAGTACACCTTTCGGCTTACCAGTTGAACCGCTACACAAATATGCATGAACTATATTTTACTAAAGCATTATTTCACATCGTCAATGTAGTTTTAAGCCAGACGTAAGATATATCATATCGTTTTATTTAAAACTGTTTTAGAGTAGAACATTTTGAAAAGCAAGTAATACGATATTCAAGAATGGATAGACGATGATATTATGTAATAATGAAATACCTAGATTATTTATCACTTGTATGTGTTAATTGTACGGTAGTACCTATGCAATTATATTTTTTATATTTAATTACGAGTATTAATTATAAAGATATTATAATAAAAACTAATATAAGTATTACAATAATAAAAAGCTTAAAGATCTTTTGTGTTCTAAATATAGATTGCTGTACAGGGAAAAATATACAAACCTCGTGTATAACATAAATAGTGGATCTTCTGCGTCCATCCATTCCAAAGGACAAATATTCGATTGGCCATCTATAATATCATGCCACCAGACGTCGACATCATCATTCCATTTGTACTGTGAAAATAAAAAGCAATAGAAAAAATAGATTAAAAAATGTTTTATTAATATTGTAAACTTGCTAATATTTTAGAATTCGACTGCTTGTTTAGACCGATTTTGTTCAAAACCACTTGAGTGAGCTACACAGTACACTCTATATCTGAGTGTGTACAAAGGGCATCTCAAGGCTTAATTTCCTCGATCTAATTAATCTTTTAAAATCAGTCTATTATCTTCTATTAATAAAAGTGTCATTAAAATCCTGTCAGCATATTTATGTTTTTGAGCAATACACATTTGAAAAGTCGATTTCTTTTAACGGAATCATGAAATCAATACTTTTGTATTAGATAGCACTGTACGAAATTAAATCGTGACAGCGATTTGTTCAAGTGAAAGTAGGTATACCTAAGTGACTGATAATGTACCTAATCGAATAAAATACAATGTTGTTTAATTAAAAATTAATTGACAAATTTAAATCTTAAATCGGTACGCAAATATTTATGCGTGTATTATATTTTATTAAAGTTTGATTTAATTTCACAATTTTCATAAAATAATATTTTAAATAATTAAATTAATCCAACATGTAATCTACATATAATGAAATTTTATGAAATATTGTTTATTAATGTTATCATACTTCTTGTGTTACAATAGTAATGAAGTTTTTTTATAGTTGTCAATTTAAAATTCATTATTTAAATGGATGATAATGTTGAAAAAAAATTACCAATGATTTCAAGTCCGGCATGTTTCCACAAGGAGTGACTCTATTCAGATGAGACACTACTATGCACATATTGACTGTATGGTTATGAACATTTTTGGCTTTTTCTATAGCTTCATCGCAGGTTTTTTTAAGCACCAAAAGCTTTTCTCCCCTCCATGCACCGTCCGTTGTCACCAAAACTTTTGCTTTGCAGTCAGACATTCGCTCTGCTAGTGAATCAGGAGAAAACCCTGCGAACTATAAAGGTATGTTATGTACAAGTACTGATGCAATAGTTTATTATTACATAAGCTTCAAATTAATTAGACACAATTAACAAACTTACCACAATGGAATGTATGGCGCCGATTCTGGCACAGGCTAACATACATACTACCGTTTCCAAAATCATTGGCATATATATGGAAACCCTATCACCTTTTCTAATACCTTTGTCGCGTAAGGCATTCGCAAATTGGCATACTAAATCCAATAATTTTTTATATGTTACTCGGCTGTAGTCTTCTGGGTGGTTTCCTTCCCTATAAACAATATTTTATAATATATTATTTATTAATAGAAATATATTATATATTTATTAATAGTCGACAAATGCCTTTAAGGTCAACTCTTTTTAGCAGTCTCGGACCCATATGAACGCGGTGTCATTCGATTCGGAATGGCATGTAGATGGTTTTTAAAAAAATCAAGTTACGCTTGCAAAAGATGCTAAAGTTATAAGCAATAAACTAAAAATAAAAAAGAGGGTTTTGCAAATATCTCAAAAACTAAAAAAAATCGAAAACAGGAGGAAATGTCCTAAAAAATAGTCCCAACTCCCGGTACCGTAGGACTAATATTTATAATTTTCTCAGAGGGATGAAAATACGGCCTAAAACGAGTGCTCTGACTTGCGCAAGCCACGCCTACTTCGGACACTCAATATATATCATGACTAGACTATATATATATATATACTAGCGGCTTACCCTCGCTTCGCTCGGGTTCGTCGCGAGGTACGTTTTAAATAGATATAAATAGTTATTAGACAGCATTAGCCATATAATTTTTTTTGTTAATAATATTGACAAATATTGACATTAATATTTATACGATTCTAACGTCACTCAATTGCCATCAATGTTTTGCCTTCCCGGAACCTCTCCACTAACACTTAAACTTTATGTTATGGTATTAAAGTTCAAATTGACTTTTAAGTATTATTACGAATCTTTTGTATGGGAGTTTAAAAAAGTGTTGTTTTTAGACTTTTTCAGGCAATTTTTTAAATTTTTCTCTCCGTAAGAACCATCCTCGTACTTCAAGGAATATTCTAAAAAAAGAATTAGCGAAATCGGTTCAGCTGCTCTCGAGATTTGCGCTTACCAACACATTCAGCGATTCATTTTTATATTATAGATATAGTGCTAAAAATGAAATATCTTAAAAAAAAATTAATGAAAATATGACAAGAGTTTTAAACTTAACAAATAGTTTTAAGTATTTCAGATTTCTCTATATTTTTTATGGCTTACTGAATTATATATTTTTTTTTTATTTAATATAGCTAACAGGTTGAATTTAATATAAAGTTTGAAATATATTGAAAATCGTTAAAGTAGGTCCGGATCAGAGCAAAGAAATTAAAATATATATTACTTATAAAACATATAAAAATAAAAAATATATACAAATGTATACTAATATTATAAAGGTATAATTTGTTTGTTTGTTTGTTTAAACTTATACCTAATCCCAGGAACTACTAATCCGATTTGAAAAATTCATTTTGCATTAGTTAGACCGTTTATTGAGGAAGGCTATAGGTATAATATGTCATATAATATACAGCTTATTTATTATATACAAACCGTTATAACGTAGGTATCTATGGACAAAACAGAGCGAAATGAGAGTGAGTCGCTGATATTTTAGATAAAAGTAAATTGTTTCTTAAAAGTATGTTTTTGTAATCAAATTATATTATACCAGTAGTTATTTTTTTTTATTAAAATGAATATCCGGCCACAAGGCTGATTTAAAGCAAAAAGTGTCCTAAAATTATTTTAAAACGTAAAGTTGGCTCAATGCAAAAACAATGCTCGACATAGGGCCGAAAACTAAAAATGTTAAACTTAGGTATTTGTTTTGAGAAACATACGTACCTATATGCAGATTAAGTTTGTCAATAGAAGTTACATTTTATGGGTATAATAAATAGAGTATTGAAACCAATAATAATACATTTTGCATGAGAATGAGTAAACAAAGTTCAAAGTGCAATATTTGGATCTAATCAAGTAGTTGTAAATATAACTGAACTATTTTCAAAGCAGACTATTACGTATATTTCGGATAGAACGTCATATATAGGAACATACCAACATGATCACGAATATATGAAAAAGGATGATGCACTTGTTATTTTAGTTTTGACAGTTTGACCATGACGACACAGAATCTATTACATATTACGTTAGTATTAACTATGCTATGGAGGCATTAACATTTAACTACAATTTTTATTTGTTTATTTTATGTTATATTATTTTTTATTTATTTTATATTACTTTAAAGAGCAATAATACTCTATTAAAATTAATAAATTTTGATTCAAACTGTTTTATAATATACCTAATATGAAGTTGCTTGTTCGTACCTACGATACGTTAGGTACTTTGTTTATGTGTAAATCAATTGCATAATTTCAATACATTCAATTAAAGTGTCGTGTCTGATCCGGCAGAAATTCCTCTTCGAAAAAAACTATAGCTATTTACTTATAGTATTATGTTATCTGTTTTGAAAGACCGATCATTCAAGTGAAAAATTACTTTCCACTCTATGCGATATTCGAATCACATTAAAAAAAACAAGACAGACTATACCTGAGAAATAAAATAATTATAAAAACAATATTATACAACATTGTACAAGGATAAAGACATTTAAAGGTTTTTAATTTTTTATTCTATAAGAAAATGTTTATTTATTTCGTTACGGCCATTGCTTTGTACCCTTAATACTAGAAGAGGCAGAGTTTGTTTATTTGAACGCGCTAATTTTAGGAACTACTAATCCGATTTGAACAATTCTTTTTCCATTAGATAGCCCATTTATTGTGGAAGGCTATAAGCTATATATCATATAATATATAGTCTATCTATTCCATACTAACCGATAAAACGTACGCTGGGACAAACCCAAGAGAAGCGAGGTTGAGTCGCTTGTATCATATATCGGAAAAAAATCTTTTTTTCACATTCCTGTAAAAAAATATTGTAACTTTATACATCAGCTGCATTTATATGTACAATATTGACACTCGCGACCCTAGTTGACCACTTCCTTCTACTCTATACAATAAAATTGAGGACGTAAGCTGTCGGCTGACGAAGAAGATTTAAGGAAATCAACAAGTTCATATGCATTTATAGGTACGTATTATTTGTAGTAACTTTTTTTACTATACCTTTTTATTGAATATTACAGGAAGTGTGAATAACTGAATATACCTATTGTTGTATTGTTAACATTACGTTCACATTTTTAATTATCCGAATATATTTTTAAATCTAAATGAAAATCTATACTAATATTATAAAGAGGCAGTTTGTTTCTTTGTTTGTTTGTTTGAACGCGCTAATTTCAGGAACTACTATTTTTTTCTAAGATTAGTTTCTATTTTTACTAGATTTTTCTGTAGGCCTTTATAAAACCTACAATCTTCTAGTACACTGTTTTGATGGTATAACCAGCGTTATTGAATCTGTTACGATCTTTCCCTGAGGAAATGATAGATTTTCCTCTAGTAACAGGTACCTATCCTAAATGTTGATCCGCGCCGAAACGCGCACGCACTAAAAGACAAAATTTTCATAAAAGCATTATTTCATAATAATTCAATCAAAATGTACTAAATATTATGTAAGTCCTGATAGTGATACCTAATTCTTCTTAATTTATTCTTACGAGTTGCCAGAAATTTTAACAGTCTACTTTCCTTTAATGACATTTAAAACGTTTTTAACCTTAATGAAATGTTAAATTAGTTGGCAAAATTTGCATGAGAATAAATATTTTTCAGGTGTTAAGTAAAAAGAAGAGTAGGTATCTAACTCGGTAAAATCTGATCGGATCGCTACTATCTATAATACATTACATATTGGATACGATATAATTAGATTTCATTAACCGCTCTACAACAAAATTATTATTTTATGAGAATTAGGCCTAAGAATATACAGCTGCATTGCGGATTGACACTCTTGAGATGAGGTCAAAATGTGCGAGTTGCGCAATAAAAGTTTATTTTAACATTTTGTTCCTGGTAATTTGTTAAGGTTTATATCGAAATAAAAAGTAACATTTTTTTTCAATTTTAAGTAATATTAGGTTTTATTGAAACAAAACGCTATTAATTTAATATTATTATAATATGTAAATACAATTAAACATAACAAACAGAAATCTTGTAAATATATAGGTACTTAGCAAAGACATGTTTAATTATTGTCCTTATGGAAAAACATCAAATATAATTATTCAATGTCATACGTAGTTATTCTGCTCCAAAATTTATTATTAGGGTAATAATTAAAAGTATTAATAAAGTAGGTAATTAATATTTCGAATGAAACTAATTATTTAATTAATCAATTAGTAAATTAAAAAAATCGAAACATGTTATTTAATCTCAATCAATTTCGCTAAATCATAAAGTAAAATATAATAAATAATATTTTAAATAAACCTAATATTTAATGAATGCTAAAATATGTTACGTAATAGTAATAGGAAAATTATAACAAAAAAGAAAAATCAATACGTTCGCGCGCCGTCTCAGTGCGATGCATTCGCTCAGCTGACTATTGATTCCTCAATGGCTATTGCAAAAAGCTTACCAGTAGTACGCGATCTTATCTCCGAAGCCGTTTCTGATGTTGCGATCTAAAAGATTGAAGCATACATTGGTAATAGCGCCTTCCATCCATTTAACAAAAATATCTCCTTTGCTTAGATCGAAATTATATGAAACAATATTTCCACGTTGAAAAGGAGTCTGCCAGTACAAGTCATTGGCTATTTCTGACCAGAATTCTTCAGGGTCTTCCAAAGATTTTTTGTACAATTCCTTGTATTTTTCGAAAGACGGCACGCGTGATTTTTCGACTACAAAGTCGGATGGTTGGTAGACGCGAGACATTTTAATGGCAATTTGCGCTGAAAATCGCGCAATGTACTTCGCCTGTCTTTACCAGACGATGTCCTCGCGGTTACTGAATAGTGAATACGAAGTATGAATAGACGATGGAATATAGCCTCGCAGCTAACTTGACGTTTGACAGTTCGTGCAGAAATCGCGATTACGTATTGAGTGACGCAAGCATGAAACGCGCATGCGCTATATACCCGCTAGCGTGAATTTTAGACGTAAGTCGTGATCGTCAAGTTTTTTGCTGTTATGTGTACAATTCATATTACATAATTAACATCATTGTACTTATTGGTCAAAGAGCTTACCTCTTTAAGTATTAGAAAATATTCAAGAATAAAAGGATTCCTCTATTTGCATACATTGTTTAAATACTTCATGGATATTACAGGATATAAGACTTATTTTAAAAGTTTCACTTAACACAGTAATTAATTTTTGAATATTTATATTTCCTTCTTTTACATATAATGTGTTAAATAAAATATAATCTTGTTTTTTTATTGCTCGGTATAAAAATACAGTCGAATTGAGAACCTCCTCCTTTTTGAAGTCGGTTGTAAAATATGCCTAATAGTCTTAATAGGGAAGTCACTGGTAATTACGAGGGGACACTGGAACGTAAAGAAAGTAAGTTCATTTTGGGGGGAAGTTTGTATTCCCAAAATGTTTTTTCTTTAAGAAAATGAAGCATAGTGCAATATAACAATTAATAACCATTAATAAATAATATAATTTAAATATCATTAAGGTGGATAATGTATGAAGTGAAAACACAAAAAAATATTTTATAATTTTATTACTTAAAAACATTTACTACTTATATTATGTTTAATAAATATCAAATTGGCCATGTCCTAGTGATTATCACTAGTTAAACAGACAAACGCATATTATATACCCGCACATTACGATATACTTATGTTACAAAAAACGTTTAAAAGACAAAAGTGTCCATTTAAACTCAGAGACATTCCTCGATACGTATATAATATATTTAAAGTCCATATGAACCATATGGACCGATGGACATGATGTAGGTACGTGTTTGATCTCCTACAACTGTAACCATGACCTATAGCACGATACTATCGCGCACCGCGCTACATGCAATATTAGCGTTGCTCTACATTCAGCCACGCTTCACCTGTCTAGGCGAGTTTGGTATGTGCTAGGTGGCTAAAGAAATCAGTCTTCGTCTTCTAATTTTTCGTCCGCATCGTCTCCAGAAGATCGCTAAGCAATATACGATGGCAACTATAGCAAAAAAAGTTAATAGCCGGTTGTAGAATGTAGAGGTAGTTGGTTCAATGTCTGGGTGCGACCGGGAGGGGGCCGCCCCCGCTCCACGCCACGCTCGGGGCGCCGCTTCTGTTCCTTCTAAATCTGGTGCACCTGAGATAAACATTGTTTATTTTGATAAAATATAATATATAAATTTCCTCTCGTGATAGATGAGATAATGTATATTTTCTTTAATTAACTTATTGAGAAACGACATTTTACTATCTACTCTTCGATAATTTCGGTCTAACCTATGTAACAGACATAACATATGGACTTTTTTAATCAACCATATTGTTAATTTTTGACGAAACGTTTGGCTTAGTTTTATAGTGACCCTACTTGCTGTGCCAGCGGTCGCGGGTTTGAGTCCCGAATGTTTCTTGAGCACGAATGTTTGTACTCCCGTCATATATATGGGTCTTTATATTTATAATATGTACATATGAATTTGGTTATATATGTATAGTGTATCAACTATCTGGTATCCATAACGCAAGCCTCGTAGCTTACCATGGAAATAGATGGTACTGTTTGTTATGTCCCAAGAATTTATTTTTACTTATCGTCATCAAATTGTCCTTGAAATAGTAATATTATTATTAGCAGTTAGATGCATCGACGAGGACTTTGGCTTATTTGTATTGTATTCAACTACGACGCCCCGACGGCAGGTCTGTCGAAGCAGACCACCACAACCATGGGGTTGCTCCAAAGTCCACTCTGCTGTCAGAGAAGTACCAGGAGCAACCCACATGGTACACCGCCCACCGAAGTGGGCCACCTCCCTGTGCGTTTCTTGGCTTCGCGCCCGGTTGGATTGCCGGGCACTACTGAGCCACCCCACCACGACAAGGTGTACGCACGTTGGGGGGGAGGGGGTGGCGTGGCTAACCTCTACCGCGAGTGTCGGAGTATCGTCCCGCCGCCGGCCACAGACCGCAGTGTGCGAGTGCGCGTCGTGAGGGCGACACTGGCACACGCGCTGCATTATAATAATATCTCCCGCGCATCTGGTTAGTCCCAGTAAGACTGGCCGCCTTGAAATCGGTCAGGACATTATGATAAATCTACTAGCGGCTCACCTTATCTCCGCTCGGGTTTGTCCCTAGGTACGTTTTAACGATTAGTATAGATTTCCGAAAGTAGAAAACAACGTAAGTACTAATATCGCTATTAAAAAAGTGGGGTTAGTAGTAGAAGGGTGAAAATTTAAGTTTGTATTTATTTTTTAATGCCGAATCATAAAAAAAAAATTGAAAAATTGTCCAAAAAATAAAAGTTTTTGTAGTGGACCAAGCCTTATCACTTAGAGGTATGAGCATTAGTTAACGTCCTATACTCAGACCTACTGAATATACTCATAAAATTTTATAAGAATCGGTCGAACCGTTTCGGAGGAGTTTCGTTACAAGTACTGTGACAGGAGAATTTTATATATTAGAATTTAGAAGATCTATTTAACTAGTTTTTGATCGCAGCTCCATTCGAGTGATAGGTAGATCGATACAAAAGATAATCCAACATATAAGTCGAGTCAATTTTAAGTTACAGTAATGCGTAAAGTAATAAACTCATTCACAAACTTTTAGCTTTATAATATCTATACTTATTATAAAAATAAGTCCCCCGGCCGCGTCTTTCTGTCCTCCTGTCTGTCCTCCTGTCTGTCTGTACGCGATAAACTCGAAAACTACTGAACGGATTTTTATACGGTTTTCAAACAATAGAAAGAGTAATTCTTGAGGAAGGTTTAGGTATATAATTTATTATGCTTTTATGTAAATTAGCTGAAAATACGGCGACAAATGTTGAAGAGGTCGCAAAAATCTCGCCAAATTTATTCGCAGTGCGTATAACTTTCCACACGAAACGCCGCGTATAATAGCAAAGATACAGTTAAAGTAATGTACTAGAGTTCGGAAAATCTATAAAAATGCTACAAAAAAAGTCCCGCCCGCGATAGCAGTGTGCGAGTGCGCGTCTATCTCTTACGGTTGACTTACAATAATACCACTGGTTAGTCCCAGTTAACATTGGCCGCCTTTAATTAAAAACATTACGTTTGTATTTCAAAGTTATTTTCTTTAGTTCGGTATTAATCCTTATCCAAATGAATATTTTAGTTAGCTTAGTCATTTAATGCAGATTAAAATTGCTCTTTACACTAAATCAATCAGATGAATTTAGTTTTTTTAATGCCGATATCGTTGTTAGAAGTAATTAGTAGCGAAACATTTTTAATGCTTGGCGAGCCTATCACTTAGAGATGCCTACGGCGAGTCCATCCCTCTATACTCATAAAATTTATCGCATCGCTCGACCGCCTGCTCGGAGGAGCTATATAAACCGTGGCGAATTTTATATATTAGCGCGCGATCCTAGAAGATACTTTTAACTTTTTACCGCGGGAAAATATCTTAGATTTCTGAGGAAAAATACAAAAACTGCAATGTAAGAGTATACTAATATGTAACACCTAAGAATTTAGTTTTTGGTCATCTGAACGCGGGCGGAGCCGCGGGCAATGCTAGTAAACAATAATATAAAAAATAAAATGTAAAAACGATGAATGATTCTAATTGATTACAGGTTAATTAAGGTGTTATTAGATATTATAAGCTAGTGTGGCCACAATTTAACATGTAATTTTTGTGATGGCAACAATAATGCCACATCTCGTATATCGAGGCCAAACGAACGCCGAAATCTATCAACGACATTAAGCCTACTATAAGGAAAATATTTTCTGAATTATTTTTTGGTACTAACTTCCTTATAGATTTGAACAAACTCAGTAATAACACGTGCATTGAAACCTCCAGAGCATTTATGAATTTTTGAACTGATTATATCTCAACGTTTAATCTATCTCTAAGCATAACAATTAATCCTTTCAAAGGACTGTTCGCTCGATACACGATTTATTTTAAAATCAGGTTACTTCATACTATGACTTTAATAATTTAATTTTTAATAATTTAATAATTTATTTATTATAACACAACAACAATAAAAACTATAAATTTCATAACAATATACATTTACATTTGAAATAAAAATTAACATATAATTAATTGATTAATTTAAAATTTATTTATTTATTTCAAATCAAATCAAAATTTCAATTTTTGTGGTTGAGATCCCCTTTTAAGAAAATAATTTGCCTGTATTGACCCCGCCCTTTCATAAAAACGTAATTTTATCTTTTAGCTGATTATAATATTATGGGTGATACTACAAACTTAAATAGATCAATTAAGACAAACAAAAAATAAAAAATAAAAATAAAAATGACTTTCAACCGACTTCTTTCGGAAAGGAGGAGTTTCTCAGTTCGTCGGATTTTTTTTATGTATATTCATTGATTACTCGAAGACGCCTGAATGCCTATGGACATTTTTTTTTATTTCAAAGGGTATAAACCTAGGGACCTCCATTTAAATTCGTTTTCGCCGAAACGTTCGTGTATTATGTGTGCTTTACAATATTCTGAAGACTTCTACACCTTCTTATTTAAGTGAACGCTTCACATTAGTGTCCCCTAGATGCAGACCAGTGCGTTCTTGTGTCAATTTGCCCAAACTAGTGGTTCCTCGCTACAATACTACATTCTATAAAAAATCTTTTTCTGTTACGGCAGCAAGTTTGTGGAATTCACTGCCTGATTATATTTTCAAAGATGATCCCTCATTCTCAACATTTAAGTTTAGAATTAAACAATACTATTTATCAAATCAGACATAAATTATTGTAGATTAGTATGTATTTATATGTAAGTATATATGTTTGTTTGTATGTATGTATGTATATATGTATGTATATATATATGTATGTGAATATATATATATATATTTGTATAATCATAATATTTAGTTAATATATGTATTTTAATAATAAGACAATTCCATTCAATGCTGTACTGTACCTACACCGCACTATATTAACTTATTTTCTCACTTCTGAAGGGTTTCTGGAAGAAATCTCTTAAAGAGATAAGTTATCCTTTGTCAACATTTTGTTATTTTATTTTGTATAACGTATATTTTATGGTACATAAATAAATAAATAAATAAATAAATAAATAAATTTTATGGAAATCGGTCGAGCGGTTTTTAAAAAATCTATAATAAATTATTTTTAAATAAATAGCTTAATCAAATATGTTATTAAAAAACTTTCTTCTGATAAATTACCTGCTTATTACGTCTACACGAAAATGGAAAAATATTCTAAATGAAAACCCCCCTTTAGTTATTTTTGACTTTTTAGTGCCTGAAAGTCCGTTTTTTTTAACTTTTAAAATAACTTCGTACCTATATTAACGGTCTTTGTAAAATAACCAGACACGATAGTGGCTTTTAATTTCGCCAATGCGGGCATTATGGGTGTATTCAGAGATCCAAGTCAAACGTAATATATTTTACCATCATTTACCCCTTTTAACGTTCCATGGTCCCCGAATCAACTTCCCCTGAATGCGAGTGGGTTCTGGTCATAGTTTACCATGCTAAGTAGAAGAAGGTGGATTTCACACGCCTTTTAAAAATTAGTCATTCAGACTTGTAAGTTAGCTCATACTGTTGCCTTCACCTTATTGGCATGTGATCGTGTTCCACAAGGACGTATACCCAAGAGACCAATCGCATAAACACAGTTAATATCCTAGTAAGACGCAGTTGGCAATATTATGGATATGTATAATTCCTTTCTGTCCGCTCTTATAATATCTTCCACCACCAATTTCAGTTACGGCGGCCAATCTCACTAAGGCCATATTTTTTATATTGCAGCAGCAAACACAAGTTCACTCCTATTCCGATTGGTTGGAGGATTGGTCCATCCTTGAACTTTGGGGACTTGAACTCAGGAACTCCAAATCTTCAAACGTATATGCTATATATATATATATATATATATATATAGCATGAAAAGAACATTTTATATTTAAAAAAATAAATGTATACATATATACATACATATGTATACATAATATAGACATCTTGTATGGACCCTTCGCCACTGATAGCTAGTCATTTTAAAACCTACCTATGCTTTTAGGGTCGGTGGGTTGATGTCTAGGGGCTAACGTCCTTGCAGAGGGTGGTGCGTGGACAGGATAGGGCTCCAATAACTGTGGTTTCACACATCCTGGTATAGGCCGGGGGCCGCTACCATCCGCGGATAGAACCCTGGAGTATGCGTGTAATCGCCCACCTTCAGCGCGCTTCGGTAGATCTATGTAAAAAAATGTTATATATAGCTATGAATTTTGCGAAATATTACCTTTAAAGCCAATTAATTTAAAGGAGGCTTAGTTATGATATCTTTTATAACAAAGCTTGTTGAAGTTCGTAAAAACAATAATTTTGGATTATTGCAAAACCAACTTCACTTTTAATGTAATAACTTAAATTTCACTAAATAATAACAATTAGCGGACATGTTATATATTTTAAGTATATCTTGGCTAAATATAGTTCAATATTTATAATAAGGAATATGCATGGTTTTGATTTTTTATACAATAGCTTACATCGTTATATAATTGAAGAAAAAAATATATTTTTTAATAATATCATATCGTTACGGATACTTTAAACACACAGAAAAATGACGACTCAATTTGTAGCGAAAAAAATCGCTATTCGCTCTGTTATGATATACTCAGACGTCATATTCAGTATGGCCAATGGCGTGCGTTTCAACTACTTTGTATTTCCTATCTGTTTTTGAACTTTTTAATAATTATTATCTTAATCAAAACGAAATTACATAAAAAATATTAATATAGGCTTAATTCAAAAGCAATAAAGATTATAAAAAATATTTCATATTTATTTAAACCACACGCATATTCCCAATTAAAAAAACGCGCGTGTGTGTACTTATGTATGCACGTAAGAAGTTATACTTCTTTGGCGTAACAAAACAAAAATAGCTAAAGATTTTTGCAAACGTGCCAAAAAAAAGTATAACCTCATAAATAACATAATTTTTCTTAATCACATAAAACAAATAACAATATTTAATAAACCATAGCAAATTACCAGACGGTATGATATGAACATCACGATGGTGATTGTTAACCGCAGCTTCCTTGAGGGAAGAGGGCAAATGTCCCACTAACGCGTACTGTAGAGCGGCTAACAACAACCAGTGACAGGGTCGAGCGGCACCGCCCTCTAGGCAGGACGAATCTCCATACACTACTAAACGACCAGCCTGTCAAAGAATATATAATTTAAGTCCATTCATTGTTTATTAAAGAAATTTGCATTCACAAACACACAAACACATACATACACCACCATCATATCATCTTATTGTTTTTCAGTTTTTATAAAATAGTTTAAATATTGTACGAAGGCGGTTTTAATACCTGCAACACAGTTTATACTTTTGAAGTATCATCGTAGCCATTGTTTTACTGTATACATATAAGAATTGTTGTTACTAAATAAATAAATTTCATTTCATTCGATCTCAACGAACCGATATGAAGTTAGCGTTGCAATATGTCAAACTTCTCTCCGGCCACAATTAGGGCCGTTCCACACTATAGTGACGATCACGGTTCGCTCTCGGTCCGGTATCGGTCTGGTAAAGTATTGTTAAACAAGAAGCTATGAGTGCATTCACACTATAAGTAAGAGTCACGTTCCGGTTGAATCACACTCCAGCAACGTTTCTTGTATAAAAACACTTTACCAGACCGATATCGGGCCAAGAACAGACTGTGCTCGGCACTATAGTGTGGATCGGCCCTTAGAATGCGTGTATTCTAGTCTATAGTATTATTTTGAGACTTTCCAATATTAATGATGCAATTTCCTTTGTTTATTTTATCTTATTATGGAGTCTCATTGGGGTGTTATTTATAAAAGATTATCCCTTATTCATTCCATTCGTACTTTTATATTTTAAATGTATTACTTTTGATTGTTTATACAATACTTGTTAATACAATATTTGATGTAAAACCACTGCAGGCACATTATGAATTTAATTACCTTGGGCAGCTTATCATTAGTGTCATTAGAATAATCTCGAGTTTCGCTGTCCGTCTGTAGTAATCCTAATATGGGCACGTCGACCGTTTTCCCTCCACCCGACGTGCCCCCATCTCCATTCGGCTTCTCTCCTGACATAATCTATAATTATTAATAACATCCATTAAATAAATATATATCAAATTCAAATATTATTAATAATATATTTAAAATAAACATACAAAATGAGTAACAATTAAATTTACAACAAAAAATAAAGTCTTTCTGTATATTAAGTGTACAAAAGTATATATTAGGAATAGTTTAAAAGTAGTAGTATAATGACAGTTTAATAATGTCACTCGCTTTTTTATTCCCTATATAATATATATTATTCGTTTATTCATTACAAAGTGATAAACCACAAACTAATGGATATTATTATAATCTAGTCTATACATATAATAAAAATGTAACTGATTGTTGTCTGTACATGGAAAATATTTGAGAAAAACTATTATTGGGGGTCTCTGTTAACTTCATATAACCCGGAACAAGGATTTTTAGAATTTTTGTCTGTTTTTCTGTGCGTTTGTGTGCGCTAATCTCAAAAACGGCTTAACCGGTTTGTGTGTGGTTTTCAATGTGTGTATATGGTGGGGTAAGCTTAATTTAACATTTTGAATATGTTTTATTTCTATCGGTTCATAAATAAAAGAGGTATGTCGATTTAAGGGATTCACCTAGGGACAAATGCGAGCGAAGCGAGGGTGAGTCGCTAATTTAATAGTTGCATTCTTTTAGCTTACGTGTTGCCCTTGATCAGAGAGTTTGGCAGTCACTAATACACCATGTTCTGGAAAGCTATGAATATGAGTGCCACTAGCATAGTACATCGGATGGCCCGCCAATTTGAATGACCCCTCGAACACACGGTCGCCTAACGCCACCTAAAATAATTTAAATCGTAAATAAAAATGTTCACAAAAAAGGGAAACTGACTTGAAAATTATAAATAACTTGTAAATATTAATCTGCTACATGCATTATTTAATTTTTAATTCACTAAGCTTGATATAAAGAATTCATGTAAAAAAGTCATGAAAAAAATAATAAAATGAGTAAAGATATCACATATTAATATACTGTGTGTACGTGCGTATAATAGACAAAAAGATAAAAGTCGACTGGAGCACCTCGTATTTTTTTAAAGTCGGTTATAAATAATTTTTATGATACTTTGAATATTTTATTTTATAAATTCGGTAAGCTCTACAAAAGTACATTAATATGTAATATATAATTAACATTTGGCTGTATTAAAGTGTTAATTAAGTATATTAAATTTTAGATAAAAGAAACTTAAACCAGGTGTTCAATTTAAAGTAATTACAAACATACTTGATACATGCTGAGTAAATCATTTAAAGCTGGCACATTCGCCCCACCTGTTTCTGGTATCCACCTGAAATATAAGCGACGACCAAAACAATATTTCATATTCGCAAAATGATTTTCATGTAAGTATAATGTACACATTGTTAAAAAATCATCGCAAATCGTCTTATCTAAGTATACAATTATTTTTTTAATTAAATCAGTAACTTAATTAAATATCTCTCCTTACCATTGTCTTGTGTTTTCGTCGTAAAACTTCACGTGTCGCAATAACGATGCATTATACCAATCAGCAAAAACTATAAGAGATAGGCCAGAATCTACTGCCTTCTTGAGAGACGCCATTTCTTCTGGAAAATACTCGTCTTCGGGATCCACGAGTAGCAGAGCCCCATATAGTGATGTATCGACGCAAGTTAAAGGACTACCTGGTAGAAAAGTTTATATAACTTCAAATATTAAGCTTGTCAGAATTATAGTAATACAGCAGCTTTCTTAAGACTTAGGAATAATATAGACAGAGTGGGTCATGAAACTAAACATGAAGCCAAACAAAGCCAAACAAAAATGTTTTAAAATCTATACATATAATAAAATTGTAACTTAGCCAAATCACATTACATTAAATATTTTTTGGAAAATCTTATTGAAATAAACATTTTTATCGATACAGAGGCCGAATCTATAGTTTTTAGAATTTTTGTCTGTCTGTCTGTTACCACATCACAGAAAAACCACTGGAGGGATTTTGAGGAAATTTGGTATGGTGATGATAGCTGGTTATCCGGGTCAAGATATAGGATACTTTTTACAGCGGGAAAATGTCTCATGCGGGCGGAGCCGCGGGCAGTACTAGTAATATATATGTTTTAAAACAGTGTACAAATATTAACAAAATACTCATTATCGTGATAGATAAGTTAATAAATAAAAATACCTAACGGATTATATAAAGAAATAAAAATAATATTATGCTAACTCTCTTTCAAGTGAAACAGAACTTATGTTTAAATAAAAAATATATTTAAAAAATAAAATAACAAGACTGCGTAAAAATTGAACTAAAGTGTTGAGAACAAGTTGAAGAAGTAACATAATTTTATCCTTTAATTTCTTTGTTTCTGTCTGTCATCATTATTGTATGGTTTTTAGAAAAAAAAATACTTTATAGATAATATTTGTACATATTTGAAATATAATAACAGATGCTACATATAGCTTTTCGACTGAACTTTTTGCTTTTGTTTCTTAACTCTCGCATAATATGGAAAATAATAAAAACCGGACAAGTGCGAGTCTGAGTCACACACCGAGGGTAGCAAGTAGGTATAATAGCAAAAAAAATTGTGATGAAACTACAAATTTACGGTGTTCGAATTTTTCCTTTTACTTGTACTATAAGACATTGCTTCTTGCCAAATTTCATGGTTCTAGGTCAACCGGAAGGACCCTATGGGTTTTAATTTCCTTGTGAGGATCAAAATATTCGGCTTAAACGGCCGTATTTTTTGATTGCGTTGACATAGAAGTTTTATTTTTCACATTTTTAAGTGATGGCAGACCTGAGTATTTGATATGAATTTCAACTCGATACCTCAACACGTTACAGAGAAACAGTATCTTGACAAACAGGCATACAGACAGACGGACTACGAAGTGATCCTATAAGGGTTTATTTTCATTTTTAGATGTTACGGAACCCTAAAAATAGCTTAACTTATTTCACTAGAATATTTTTATCGCGCTGCTGTTATACAAAAACTTCTATTCTCACTTCAACCTGTGAAGTATATTATATTAAGAGTCACAGAGAGCACACTACCTACAAAAGTCCCTAATATACTCACCTATAACCTCCAAATAGAAACCATGTTCACGTAACCTTCGGTACATGTCCCTGAAGTTAGTATGGACATGGTCAGCGTGCCAGTCTAGCGGGTCGTGCTTAGCTCTTAGGTCGTCCCTGGGGAAGTACCCTCCCGGATACCGTAGACTGTGGAACTGATCCCATAACAGTCTACGTCCTCTGACTGGCACTGGTATTACCCGAGCTCTGAAATGCATTGTTATTTAGTAACACAAATAAGATACTTCCGTTTTCTATCAAAAGTTTATCTTGAAAGAATGGTTAGGTAATAACGTTTTATTTTAAGTATTTTCCATCACTTGCCACTACTTTTACCCAAACTTCGGCGTTTCTTTGTTATTTTTCTAGTCTAAGATGTTAGGAACACGTGAAAATATTTTTTTTTAAGATTTGTACATATTTAATAAGCTTTAAGCTTATAATGAACAAGCAACTTATCCTCGCTTCGCTCCGGTGCATCCCTAAGTATGCGGATTTTATTCACAATTTCATGGGTTTTAATTTTTATTAATCTGATTATTTTTCTAAAATATAAGAAGCTTAATTTACTCCTTATAACATCGGCTATCTGCCAGTGAATTCCCGTCAAAATCAGTCCAGCTGTTTCGGAGATTAGCCCACAAACAGAACAACAGACAGACAGACAAAAATTAAAAAAAATGTGTTTTCTTATACGTTTTATATATAATTTTATATGAATTTAGTAAAATGCTGTTATTTTGACAATACAAACAGACACTTCAATTTTATTTATCTGTATAGATTACAAAAAATATCAGAGATATCACCATTGCATTGCAGTGCTTTTGTATCATGTATGTCAATGCCATTTCGATAAGTAATTCTCAGGCATCTTTCATAGTTATATGCATGTACATATATATATAAGTCCATTCAAGTTAAATTAAGAATATCGACATACAAAGAAGAATGTTGTTAAACCAATTTGCACTGCACGTTATGTATCCGGTGGTTTATTAATAAAATCCCAAGTCGAGGATATCTAGGCTTATCTAATTTCTATGCGTTACATTGTTGCGAGATGAGATCTCATTTTGTTTGATTAAAAAAAAAGACACAGATTGTAATTTATGCTAATTATAAGAGGCACAACGAATCTCACTAAGGCATCATACAATAATAAATAATATATTATGAAATAATATTTGTTGTTTGTAATAAATGTTATTTGTCCTACTAAATTTGTTACCGACAAAAAGTTGAATGTGTAAGACATTCAATATTTACATCACTTTTTCCTCTTGTTTTCTATATATAGCACCATTTGGTCTTTGACTTGACTTGTGACACTTATTTCATTCTAACGTGGTACTAAAGTGGCAAGTCTTTTGGTCTTATAATAGAATCGATTGACGTCATAATCTATACAGATAAATAAAATTGAAGTGTCTGATTGTAACATCAAACTAACAGCTTTTCAGTAAATGCATATGAAATTGTATAAGGTACTTATAAGAACAACACAAATTTTAAAACTTTTGTCTGTCTGTTTGTTACGGCTTATCTCCCAAGCGAATGGTTTTTTTTAAATATTATGTGTTGAATGTGTTGGCGCATTAACACACAGCACCATCTAGCTCCATGGTAAGCAACGAGGCTTATATTATGGATACCAGATAGTTGATACACTACACATATATAACTTTACATACATACATATAATAAATATAGACACCCATGACTGGAGTACAAACAACAAACATACAAATGAATGCCCCGAGCGGGATTCGAACCCGCGACCGCTGGCACTGTAAGTAGGGTAACTACAAACTTGGCCAAACGTGTCGTCTAATTGATTTTGACGGGACTTTCACTGGCAGATAGTTGATTTTATAAGGAGTAACTTAAGCTACTTTTATTTTAGAAAAAGAATTAGAGTTTCGCTAAAAAAAATTAAAAAGTGCCTAGGGACGTAGCCGAGCGAAGCGAGGGTAAGTCAGTAGTAGTCGGTAACTGATGGCTGCATAACTTTTAACATTAGCATTGTTCCGTAACGCGTAGATAAGTACAATGTATATTGCATTGAATATTTTTTGCATACAAACAGAAAGAACCATACAATATTTTCACTCATTTTATTTCATAGAACGTGGCAACGTGCTATTTACTGCCAGTTCTTTTGAGATTTATACAATAGCTGTTAAGATGAACTCTTAAAAACAAAGTGGTTTAAATTTTTTTCTATAGAAGCTGGCATTAGGCACATGTCGACACGTGTTTTTCTTAAATAGGCGCACAGTGACTCTAGTTTGTATGAATAGATGACATTTGAAAAACATATACATATATAAAAAATGTGATGCTCAAAGTTGTCACGTTTCCAAGATTTTTTAAGGCAAACATCGAGATTTGAGGACTTTGAAATCTATTGTTTAAATATAACTAAACACACACTAACTACGAGTTTTGATCTTTTTATTCAATGAACGTTACCGTTTTCGTATGGCGATCTCTACCATTAATTATCTCGGCAACTTGACACTTATTGCAAAATATTGCAAATTTTATTATTTGTTTAAATTAATTTTAAACAACTATACCAATTCCATTGTGCACCTTTAATTTAGAAAAAATTAAATTTAAATTAAAAAAAACCGGTCCAGTGCGAGTCGAACTCGCATACGAAAGGTTCCGTACCATTGTATAAGATATAACATGTACTAAACGGTTTTTTTAATTTGCATGGCGGCCATTTTGAAATTCACCATCTTGGTTTTTTATTATTTGTTTCTACCTGTTATGGTTCATGAGATCCAGCCCGCTGACAGACAACCGAGGCTTAGTAATAGGGCTCCGTTGGCACTTTTCGGCTACGGAACCCTAAAAAATGAAAATATCTATCCCCTTTATATTTACAATTTACAATATCATTAAGTATTAGAAATATAAGTTTACCGTATAGGCAACATAAGCGTAGTGTTCTTCATGGTGCGGTCAACTACTTCGTCGTAGCTTTCTATGGTGACGTTCACGTGACCCTATGTTAAAAAATAATATTACAGAAAAAAAAATGCAAAAATTAAATACTTCGAGATCTTTCTATGATAAATTTTCGTCGCTCATTTTCTTGTTACGCGTTACTTAGTCTTCAATTTCAACCCTTCACAATATACAGAACCTACAATCTTTCTCTCAAATTAACCCGCGATATACCAAATATACATACATATCCAGGTACCAAGGTAAGTAGTCTATATTAATCAAAGACATGACCCTATGAATAGAATATTTTAAGTAAGTACAGTTACAGTTTATATCCTATATTTAAACTCACAAATTTTGCGTTATATACTCGTACGCTACTAGTACTCGTATCTATACTACAGTTTTGGTGACGGATCACTTTAAACCAAAGTTTCTACATTTATATTTTGTCAGGCATACTATATGTTTAACTAATAAAGCACTTATTCTCACAATTTTTTGAGTTTGTAAACGTTACACAATGTGTTTTGTTTATATAATATTTTAATGTACAAAATAAAACCTATATACTATTGTATATGATGTTCTCCTAGCCGATTCCGGCCACGGCGGCCAATCTCATTGAGACTAGACAACTTCGCAGAAGATATTATAGTGCACAAGTGTACGCGCAGACACAACGTGCACTCTCTATTCCTGTCACCCTCATACTCCGGTGGGACGACTGCTCGACACGACCGGTGAGAGTTTCGGCGCAGGACCGACGGCTTTACGTGCTCTCCGAGGCACGGGGGTGAAACACCGCCAACTTCCCAACTCCGGGCTGTTACTGAGATTTACTATACAAAAAGATTTAACAACTGAACTTGGCCCGACCCGGGACTCGAACCCAGGGACCTCCGGGTGTGCAGCCGTACATGCAAGCCACTACACCACCGAGGCAGTTAACTACTATACAACTATTGTATATATACATATGGTAAATGAAAACTCACCTCAATAATGCCATCAAAGTTAGCCCCTGTTTCTAAAACAGTGAAGCTGAGAGCCAACCAACCGGACCACGGCCATAATATTTGACTGTAGTCCGTTGATACGGATAATATTACGCCATGGGGTAGATGTGGATGCCAGCTTACTTTTGTCTACAACAAAATTTACATTTTTAATAATATTTTTTATAAAATACTAAGTCGACAAGATCATCCCGAGTTCCTCTCGAACCGGAATTTCACTGCTCGTCGAAGAAATAACTAACACTAATTTAAAACTTTCGCATTTATAAACTATAATACTACTGCATTATATCTGATTTGTATTATTTGATTTATGCTAATCCAATAAATCTTAATACTATACTAAATAAATGCAAAAGTTTGGATGGATGGATGTTGGTAACTTAATCACGCTAGAGCGGCTGATAGGATCTGGATGAAATTTGGCACAGAGATAGATCTGGAATAGTAAATAGGCACTTTTCATCCCAGAAAAATCCCAGAAAAATTTATAGTTCCCGTGGGATAATTTGTTTTCGATTTTTACAGAACAAGGAATCGACTATATATTCCATACTAATCGTTAAAACGTACCTATAAGGACAACGATTACATATAAGGAAGACGAGATTGTTTTTTTTTTATTTAAGGTGCTAATCTCTGAAAATATCAGTCTAATTTAAAAAAATCTTTCTTCACTTTATAGTATATTTATTGAAGAAGGTTGTGTGCTGATCTAACATCACGCCCTTTTCAGAACGAAGCAATTATACACAAATAAACTACGCGAGTGGAACCGTGGCAATAGTGAGCATAATAAATATAATGACCTTAAAGTCTATCCCTTACATATGCAAGTACATAATTATTTCGCTTAGCAATATTTTATATTAGCAATAAATAAACACAATTAAACAAAATTAACATAATTACAATCACAAGATACTCAATTCGCAGCATTGTGAAGCATTGCAAATGTAATTTAACAAAAAAAAATCTTTTAAAATTTAAAAGAAAACACTCAATTCCCACACTAACACAATAATTAAAATAAGTTAAATTAATATGATACAATCAATTAAGCCAGAATTGCAAAATTAATATCGCATAATGATACTCGTATCTACAATAACTTTTCATACTTTTAAACAGCTCAATGTTATACATTTAAATGTACATATATTTTAAAAACAATTAGAAAATAAAACATTATTATATATAAAAAACATATAAAACCGTCTTCAAATCAAACAAACTCTTTTCTTTGAACGCGCTAATCTCGGGATCTACCGGTCCGATTTGAAAAAATCATTTTGCTTTAGGTATATGGCCTACCTATTGAGGAAGGCTATCTTATCGTACTATGACATAAGAGTGGAGTAATTCTATAAGATTAAACGATGCCAAAGAACGCCTGTTCAAAACAAAGACTAACATACGAGTATTTCTACCACTCACCACTTCACCAGCCACGCCCAGTCCGTTAATAACCGTCACATTAGCTATGGTGGGTTGAGCGCTGTAGTACAGGGGCTGCGAGCAATACGGCCACATGTACTGGCACTCGGTTAGGTCTATGTATGGCGGGCTGAGACTCGCCTGCGGTTCATATTCGCGTAGAAACTAGAAATAGGCTTATCGATTATCACACATTATGATTTTGAACATTACACATAAATAAAACAAGTGTCTTTTTGTACTAAATGTATATGAAATTATATATAAATGTATATGAAATAATTTACTTAACAGAAAACACAATTTTTAATCTATACAGATAAATAAAATTGTCTGTGTAAGTGTCTGTTAAACTGTTTGTAATGTCAAAATAACAGCGTTTTACTAAATGCATATGAAATTATATACGGTACTTATAAAAAAAACACAATTTTCAATTTTTTTGTCGTCTTTCTATCTGTCTGTTTTTTCCGGATAATCTCTGAAACGGCTGGACTGATTTTGACGGGACTTTCACTCGAAGATAGCTAATGTTATAGGAAGTAACATAGGCAACTTTTATTTTAGAAAAAGAATTAGGGTTCCGCTCAAAAAATTAAAACGTACCTAGGGACGTACCCGAGCGAAGCGACGGTAAGTCGCTAGTTTTTAATATTTTTGTGTGTCTGATTTTGACGGGACTTTCACTTAGACAGCTGATGTTATAAGGAGTAACTTTAGGCTACTTTTATTTTAAAAAAATGATTAAGGTTCCGCTAAAAAATATAACGTTCCCGAGCGAAGTGAGGGTAAGTCGCTAGTGATAAATATAAGCACAAGTCTATACGTAACTCTATTTTCAAGCTGTTAAAAATGTCGTATTCCAATTATCTTCAATTATTTTGTTTCTAGATGTAATAAAGATATTTTAAAAACATACAATGTTATGTAAATCTAAGGAAATGTAACAACTTTAAAGTAAAGTTAAAGTTTACTTACTAAGAAGAAGCTTTATGGTTTAATTCGAATTTGAATATATCCGAGAATTTTTTCACTTAACCCAGGTGGTTAGGTTAGGTTAGTTAAAAACGTCACATAAAAAAGATTACAACCTACTCAATTTAAGTTGTAGGTTTTTTTATTTTTGCTACGTGAAAAAAATATCTTCACCAATTGTACACCATCCACAATTCTATTTTAAATTTAGATAAAAAGATTACATTAATAAAGAAAAAAATAAAAGATTTAATAAACGATTCAAATACCAGTTTAATATTTTCATTATAGCATGGTGCGGGTAACACTATACTATACTAATAATCTATGATAAGATCAGCGAGAAACAGGTATATAAATCGTACCTGATATGCACTTATAAGGTCTAATTTCCCGTGGCCCTGTTCAAACATATTAGGGCCGGCTAGCCTTCTAGCTGTAATGCAAAGGGCTTGCTTCACTGCGGCCGGCGTGAGGTTCTGTCGGGGAACCCCGCTGGCTAACAATGCTATCGCCCCAGCTACCACCGGTGACGCTACTGATGTACCTGGAAATATTATATTATAAAAATATATTTAGTCCAAGTCCTAGGCCAAGTTTAGTCATTGAGTGTTCTTGCCAAAAATTCTTAGTAAATCTAGAGTTGCGAAGCTGGCGTTGCTTCACGTCCTTGCCTCGGAGAGCGCGTAGCGCTGTCTCCTTATCATGTGAACGACAAGAATAGAGAATGCATCTGTTTTTTTTTTCTCAACATGTTCACAATAACATAACCTCACCACCGTTGCTTCGCTATGGTACATGCTCAGGTGTATTTTGTACAGACAACACCACTTTTGGCACTTTATATAACTAACAGCTTATGTTACTTCAGGTCTAAACTAGACCTGTATCAGTGTACTAAATTTCATACAAATCCTTCCAGCCGATTCAGAGTGACGAAGTAACAAACATACATACATAATTAGCATTTATAATAATTGTTATATTGTTTTATACAATTTTCTTTGTTACTTACAATTTATGTAATTAACTCTTAATAATAAAATAGGGTACATGACCATATCCCTAAAGCTTTTAAGATGAGATTATTCTATACTAGCGGCTCACACTCGCTTCGCTCGGGTTCGTCCCTAGTTACGTTTTAAATAGTTATTACCCAACGTTAGCTATGTGCGTTTTAATTATTTTTTTGTGATTTTTTCCGATATTTTAATAGTTATGCCGCTATTCGGGGTGGAGAAAAATCCAACAAATCAAAAACCATAAAAATCGGTTCAGCAGGTTTCGAGTTGTAACAAACGCGACTTTGTTTTATATATATAGATTGACGAAATATTTCAAGGGTTTTTTTTTCTTTTATACATATAAGTACAATGTAATTACATAATACGTTACTATAATGATACTTCCAATTTTTATTTATTGAATGATATTGGTTATCTTTCTTAAGACATATGTACACTTGTCCCATTTATTACCTAACATTTGAAACTACTATTACTACAAACCACTTAAATATATTAAAAATGATTAACATTGATAGACTTAAAAAGTGTATGTCATGTACCCTACTGCTTACTTTAGCGTACCACTAAGAGATCTGCACCCGCCATTCACGCTGGAGCCACGAACGCCACTCCCGTATGTCACGATATCAGGCTTCATGCGACCGTAGCCCTAAAATCAATATCAATATTTCAAGACTATTATAAATAAAACCAACAGACCGCTTTGAGAACACCCAAAGGTGAGAGTGACTTGAAAACACATTATAAGAACCTCCGTTACGTCATTTCAAAACAAACACGAACTTCAGAAATGATAGAAACGTTAAAGAGGAAGAAAATTAACAGAAATGTGGCTCACATAACACTTTCTTAGATTTACGCGAATATTTGATATTTTAAATAAATTATATTTTCGGATTTTTTCGCGGATTTGAGAATTGAATTGATTTGATAGAAATGTGGCTGTATAGTAAATTTCGCTTCACTTTTATTTATCGACGATAAAGAACAGTCTATGTTACCCTTACCTAAGTCCAAGGGGACTAGTTAAAGTTACACAGGGGCTGGTTAGGGAGTAGTAGCCCAATGGTAATGGACTCACTTGGAAAACCAAGTGAAACGGGTTCAACTTTCGGGCAAGCCCAGATATATCACGTCGGATATTCTCATGTGCGAATCATTTTACTTAATAACGTTGTGAAGATCTCCTTTATTATTATATAGATAAAAAAACTAGGTGAGGAAAGCTGCATGATTGAGAGAACTTAACGAGGTTTGGGATATAGCCTGAGTCCCTCGCATTGAAGGGCCGTACCCAGAAAAAGGACATAAAAAAGAGCTGAATATATTGTGAAACTTCATTCGCTTAAGCCATACTTCTTCTATTCTCTATATGACTGCATTGTTCAGAGCCCCGTTTAAATCAGATCAGCCTTTCCGGAGATTTTCCAGTATAAACGGAAACCAACAATTTTTTTTTTGATTATTGGTATCATGGCTTAATCATATGAGCTGAATAGTTATAAATTAGGTAACGATAAATTATCATATTGATTATTTCATGTAAAGTTAATTTGTAGAGTTTTATTTAAAAAGTTATTACTTTTATATTATTTTTCATTACATTAATCAAAGAATATATAAATAAAAAAATAAATTACTATTAATCTTACATCTGGCAATTCCCATGTGGTCATGCCTCTAGAAGAAAACTTTGCTATACGATCATCGAATCCAATACCGCCCACTCCGATGACGTCCATTTGGTCTGCTGGGTTATTTAGAGTTCCGTACAAAGGCCCATCGTTGCCTATCGCCGATACCATGATAACCTATTCAATAAGTTAATATTTACTAAACGTAAGCAATGTAACTTAGGAACTTCAAATATCCTATCATTCTAATTACCTTGTTGGCACTTAGCTCCCATACTTTATCTACAAATGGGTGATCCATAAAATCTGGCCCTCCGATACTTAAATTGAGAACGTCTATTTTACGCATAATTGCATAGTTGAAGGCATCTAAAAACCATGACGTGTAAGATACCTGAAATAGGTTTCATTATCGTATATTTATTAAACTAATCATGATCTACATACATACATAAATTAACATTAAACTAATGTTAATAATTAACTTACTAACCAATTTAGATATTGATAACTAAATTGTACATTGTGTGATATGATCATCTAACAACATCTTACTACTAATCTATTTTTAATGTTTTTTGTTTGATAATAAAATTAAAAGAAGAACCGAGTAGAATACGGACGAAATTAATACAAAAATTCCCCATGCTCAACTTAATGAGAACTGGTAATTGGTTCTAACTTTAACAAAAACAATCAACACTCACCTGATTATCTGTAAAAACTCTAAATATATGCAAATCGGCATCAGGTGCGAACCCCAAGCAGTCGGCTCTAGACGCGATGACGCCAGCCACAAAGGTGCCATGGCCCAATGCATCGTCTAACGTGTTCTCGCCGGTCCAATCCGTCCGTTCCCGGACCCGGCCAAAGTGTGGGTGGTGACGCGCGAGACCCGTATCGAATACCGCTACTTTAATCCCTTCACCTGGAATTGTGAGAGGACTTTTGTAATACTAGATTTCGCCGAGTGGTCAAACTTCGACCATGATTATTATCGATTCTTTTTATTTATAAAACTAAAGCACGTCAATAGCTATTAAACTAAAACAAAAAATAAACAGATCAGTTCAAAAAAAAATGTTTATTTTAATTAATTTAATGTATTTCTAATGTATTTTATATAAAATATTAGCTTTCTACGCTATATCTCCATATAAACTTTAACTGTGTCAAATTTCACATGCCCCCGTCTCTCTTCTCAATTTGACCACAAACTTTGACAATAAATAAAAGAGTATATATGCGTGTGTGAGTCAAATACATGGTAGTGTGTGTAATGTTTTTTTTATTGATTTAATGTATTTTTATGCATATTTTTTTAAATATTAGCATTCTGCATCCTTCTCTATATAAACTATAAGTGAGGGAAATTTCATACTCCTCCGTCCGCGCAATTTTCGTAAAAAGGGGTACAAAGTTTTTGCTTCACGTATTAATATATAGATTATGTAAATTGTATACATATATTACAATATGATTTTTTAATCCAATTTCAATCAATCTAATGAGTGCACTTTTTAACGGTTTAATAAAATTATATCATTACTATTTTTCCCCGAGACTTCGCTCACGAGTCGTCTGGTTAGTACCTAAATTGATTAAAGTAGCGTAAGGAGAAAAATCAGGTTCAGCGAAACTAGTTCAGTATATTAGATGAAAATTTATTAAAAAAAATTTTTTCACTCCTTAATATAAGGAAATAAGCTAGCCGTTATGGCGTGAACTTGTGATGATCTTATGTATTTTAAATAATTTTTATCTGAGTACTAATTTAAATAATATTTTATAATGCTGAACAGTGAAAATTCAATTTATTTTTATCGTTATATGAATTTTGCGAATGTAAAGAACGGTTATTATTTGCATGGCATCCTAGTTAATAGAAATTACATAAGTATATCTATTATATTAAACTATATTATAATATGTATTATTATTAATGATTTTTAATAATACTAACGTGGTTCCTTATAATATAACCTTTTTGGATATGCGAGAAGGTATCTAATAAATAAAACAGTACAAAATTTAGAGGAAAATTGCCTTTGATAAATGTCTTATGCATGCATTATGTTTACAATATACACATCTCCACCCTTCTTATTTCAAAATAGAAAGTTCTGCCCATTACGAAATCAGATTACAATACAATTTTCTTTTGGCAATAACGCCGATTTTGATAGCGTATAGCTCAGCAACTATTAACTACAATCTAAAGTTATCAAATGATAGATATCGCATTTTTATAATATCAATGGTCCCCAAGTGAAATAAATATAACAAAGGGCCTCTACTGTCCATTTTCTTTCGATTTTTTTAAAAGATGCATTCTGTGTCTCCTCATTTTTTAAAAATAACTACCATAACATAGATTACTCTAGCAATGGACGCTTAATGGTTAAAAGTTGATTGTGCCAAAGTTCAAACACCCTCGACGACAGCTGATGAGGTTAACAGACTGATGTAAAAATATTATCACTATTAAAATAAAACATCCTGAAAACGGTTTTGTCATTAATTTTATCAGAACATTTCCTGTAATTCTTTTTAATTAGGTAATATATTTTTCTGCTTACTAATAAGTATATTTTCTATACTCAGTAGGTAAACATTTTAGATATTGTACCGATAAAATATGATTTAAAAACATTACTTCTTCTATTCATTATCTATATTAATATTATAAAGAGGTAAAGTTTGTGAGTTTGTGACGTTGTAGGGGGTAATCTCTGGATCTACTGAACCGATTTTAATGAAATTTGGTAAGAAGATAGTTTTAGACCCGGGGTCCTTCCTCGGATCTCAAACTATCTTCTTATCTTCATAAGATACTTTTTATACCGGAAATCATCCCTTAAGGGGGTGAAAATGGGGATGAAAGTTTGTGTGGGGAACTAACCTGGGGACGAACCCGAGCGAAGCGAGGGTGAATCTCTAGTCTAATATAAATAAAAAGTCGGGTTTGTCACAACACTTCTAACTCGAAAACTACTGGACCGATTTTTATGATTTTTGTTTTGTTGGATTCGCCATCACTACGAATAGCTGAATATCTATTAAAATATCGGAAAAATTCACTTAAACAAAAATTTAGAAAAATAAGACTATTCCATACTAAGCGTCAAAACGTACCTAGGAACGAACCTGAGCGAAGCGAGGGTGAGTCGCTAGTTCACAACTAAATTAGGACTGATTGTAATTTTGTCAATGTCAATATTTACTAGATAACCACTGACCTGTCACTCCAAGGGACCAGAGTAAATCGGCTTTCAAGACCGACGTTATCTGCCGCGGAACTGTCCTCAATAACTTTCTTGATGTATAACCTCCGTTCTGGGAATAAATATCAATTATTACATAATATTATATAGAATATGCTATTGTCATAGTTTCTTTTAAGTTATTGGATAATGGATATTTTGTAGTAACTTAATGCCACCATGCGAAAGAACACAATTTAGTTTACAATATTTATAAATTTTACTGCATATTAGTTAGTTTGCTTCATCCTATTCATACTACCTAAAATACTTAAAGTCAAATACTATTCCCTAATACTGCGTTTTAATAGGTAAAATTATTAAAATATTAAAACACAGGACAGGCAATATCGCGGTTTGAGGTAGTCTCCTTAATCTGTGGCTTAAGGCTGACTTGACGTGCCATGCTGTGTCTGTACCAAAGAGATATGGAGGGTAGAACTAAGGAGAACTATTTCTCGTATAAAAAGTGACCGCTGACAAGCATTAAATTGGTGGCGCCACAGAAAACAAGTATATGAATCTATACATCTATACAGATAAATAAAATTGTAGTGTCTGTTTGTAATGTCAAAATAAACCTTTTTACTAAATGCATATGAAATTATATACGGTACTTATGAGAAAAACTAATTTTTAAAAATTTTTGTCTGTCTGTTTGTTCCGAATAATCTCTGAAACGGCTGGACTGTTTTTGACGGACTTTCAGTGGAAGGTAACTGATGTTATAGGGAGTAATATAGGCTACTTTTATTTAAAAAAAAGAATTAGAGTTCCGCTCAAAAAAAAGTATCCAGGGACGCACCCGAGTGAGGCGAGGGTGAGTCGCTAGTTTAAATCATAACGTCATAAAAGTAAGAAGGTGAATTAAACAAGGAAAGAAAGATTTCCGCTTTGCTGTGGCGCACTTTTCTAAATAGTTCTAGCATAGGCAAACAGCAATATAATTATATATTATTTTCAAGTAATAATAATTCAGCACACGTCACTCCGTTAAAAACTACTAACTTCACATCACATCTACTTGCTACGCTAGTGCTGTAAAGCCTAGTTCGCAATAAGCTAGTATTTTAGTCTAGTAGCGAGTAATTTAGTAGCTAAATTACTCGCTACTCACCAAAAATCGTTCGCACTTTGGTCGAGTACAGTTTACAAGTGAGTGGTGTTTTGCAAGATGAACAGCCTACAACGCAATAAAGTAAATAAACTGATTAAGCTGATCGTAACGGCTATTTTAGAAGAGGTGGATGAGGAAATTTGTGTGATTAATAAAAAGAAGCTATGGGTACGAAAATGGATCGAAAGACAAGATAAACTAGGAGCTACTAATTGTCTTCTGAAGGAATTAGCATTGGAAGATCGCAAAGAATACTTCGATAGTTTGAGAATGTCCGAAAGTTGTGTAAATTTTCTGTTAATGAATGTTATGGCGGCAACTAATGAACTCGACTAATTCGACAGGTTCGTACTTGTTTAGCCGGTGAACCAGTGAGCTCGGACGCGTGGTGGGGGCTGCAACTCGCCCAAAAAAATAGAATAAAATGGATTGACTCGACTAAATTACTTACTAAACTAATCGACTAAATTTTTAGTGTTCAGACACGTTTAGTTACTAAATTACTCGCTACTAGACTAAAATACTAGCTTAATGCGAACTAGGCTTAACGGTGAGTTGCTGAGCTATAATTTGCTGCTCACTACTGGACACTTTTTCAACCTGTTTCCCATATAAGTTAATTCTCCTTAGTTCTCCCTTCCTTAATCTTTTCAGACTATTATTTTTGTAAGACAAGAATACTCATTTAGTAATTAGTTATGTTCAGAAGAAAGATTTTATGTAAATTTTATTGATCCATGCATGAGAAATACATGTGATATAGTTTTATGGTGGATTAACTAGTTAAGATTATCAACATCTTGTAAAGATTGTTATATTGTTAGTCATATAAAACAATTTACACTATTAGATTATAATGTACAATGTTTTGATGAATAGTTTTAATAGCATAGTCATAAATGCATGTCCAGATTTGTTTAAGAAATTACATATTTTTATCAAAATTAAAGGTAATTTTATATTACTATAAGTGTGGAATATCAGTGTTTTGTTCAAAAAAACAGATTAAATAGCAGTATTTTCATAATATTACTGCACTTTAGTTAGTAACAATCATGGAAGAAATGTCTAAAATGCAGTAATAACAGGATTTACTGCATTTAAAACAGTTTTTGAAAAGATTATACAAATAAAGTGTGTGTAGTAATAGGGGCAAAAAAATTAAAATTGCCATAATTATAGTTTTTTATAAAAAAACTAACGTAAGAATGTTTAGTATTTTAGTTTGGTACATATTCTTTCACTTTCCATTCAAGGTTTTATCGAAAAGTCTCTTTTTGATATATTTTTATGGATTCTCAACTTTAAGCGCGTTTTTCTCGAATTCGTGTTTTTGCTGTTACTGCACTTCGGGAGGGCAGATTTGTTCTAACGACTCTTGTTTGTTAGTTGCACTTGACCTCTAAGCCAAACTTTCTAGACGTTGTGAAACGATGTCTATGGGAGATGTAGATACTCCCCGATGCCTATATACATACGTGAGTTTAAAATAACTTTTAAACAACATCTCGATAATCAAAACGACCAACTATTTTAGTGAACATGGTGATTAACCGAAATTGTTGTGAGCTCAAGATAAAAATTCTGACGAAGCATGAGATGTATAGTACTATCGTAGTAGCGTAGCGATAATAATATTTTATCTATCGGCTGATTTTACTACGTGCCTACTGCCTGTTTCAATGATTATAACACATTGTCTTATGCAGTCATGGAATCTTTATATAGACGCCTTATCGACTGATGAGCTATTAGGGTATTGAGATTTTTTTTAATAGTATTATCGAGCAAATGAGCAGGCGGGTTACCTGATGTTAAGCGATTACCGCCGCCCATGAACATTTGTAGCACCAGAGGCACCACTAATGAATTGCCGGTTTTTCAGGAATTTATTGGTGCGACCCTTGTCTGTATAACGTGCTAAAGAGAGGCATTCAAACTCAAAGTATAAAACACGGCCACGAGACATATCCACCTGCTACTTCGGGTGAGTCTTGAGAATGTAATATTGACCAAGCTGCTATCATAACTACTCAATGTACAGATTTAAGACTTTTCAGAAAAAAAAGATGGTTACGGATTAGACGGAACCGCCTTAATGTCTATAGACGATTGGTCTTGGCTGGATTTGGTTAGAATGAATTTGGGCAAGACGACAATAAAATTTGTTCAATTTCGTACAAATCTTTCGTTACGCCCACATCAAGCTCGAACCTATGATTAATCGGAACTTTGGCTCGCCTCCGTGGTTGGTTTCCGGGAAATTAATTTTTAACTGACACGCCGGCGTATCCGCGACCGTTCAAGCGTTAATCTAAGTACATGTTTACGTAAGGAAGTAAATACCAACTTTAAAAATAACTTAGCTTGGGCTATGAGGATTTGGTACACTTAACTTCACATCTTTACATCATCACCGTATAAAGTGACGACATATGCTGTTAAACTTGGAGCTACCTGTGTTCTGATCCTTGATAATTTAGGAGCGTTATGATTACTTATAATATAATTTAAAATGTTACCTCTCGAGGCTTCCTGATAGAGTGAAGATTTCGCGCTCTATGTTTATGATTTCTCCAACCTGAATAAATACATCCATTTTGCCCACAGTCATCCTGTATAAAATTATAAAGTAATGTTTTGTATTTGTGACTGAACACTTTTGATTTAATATTCTAGAAAGTTAATGTAAGAATTAAGAGAAAGGCATTTCAAACCACATAGATTGATATACACACCTCATTGACATATTTAATAGTGCGTTGGACTTGTCGTTGCACTGTGACGCGTCGGATGGCTGGGTGGTCACGAAGTGCCTTGATTCCATCTTTAACACTCTCATCAAAAACAATCACATCAAAATCACTGGGGTACTCTTTTGCCGGGTTATTTCGTTGCACTATGGTCCAATTTGATACCTACAGCCGTTAATGACAAGTTTTGTATAAATATTTTCTCAAATAAAACTAGAAATGTTTATATGCTGGCATATATATGTAAGTGCAAACATTTAGACATATTACATAAAACCAATACCTTGACGAAGATTCTTATTAAATTGAACTATATTTTACAAATCTGATGAGTATTTGCTGATATGAGCATGTTCAATCATAAAATCTTATAAGCTTAAAAGTATTACTGGACCAAACCAGACTGGTAATAAATAGAATAATGAATTTGCTTTAAGAGGAAGAGACTGAAATTATGCCAACAAAAGCACTTTTAATAGGAAATACAAGATGGTCAATCAAAAATAGGTCAGGAATTTGATTTTAGTTTTTGGGGTTTCGTAACAACGTTCGTTTCAACAAGGAACTCTTTTAGTTTTGCCATGACCGTCCATCTATCTGCAGCTTGTCTGCAAGACTTAGTACTAAAAAACTGTAATTTTGCAAGGATGTACATTGTAGATATCAATCATGGCGACAGCGACAAAGTAGTAAAATAAAATTTTGAAAAGAAAATTTTTTTCGGGTACCTTCTCCACATGTTAAGTGCGAATGTTTTTTTTTTCTTGTCTACCCGATGGTGTGAGATGTCGTTGGATAGGTCTTTCAAACATATTGCAGGTTTATGAAATCAATTTTTCAATTATGGGATACATTTGTGAAATATTAAGCTTTAAAGTGCTAATTTTTGTTACATTCAAGTGTCCTCCCCCCGTCTGCCTGCTAAATGCTTGTTTTTGGATATGTGACAAAATTATGGTAGTAGCATATACATATAACAAAGTTAAAAGGGAAACTATCACAGCTAAGTAGATTTAACAAGTTTACGAGTAATAGAAGATGTAAAATGTAAACGACTTGTAAAATGTACTTGGAGAAGTAAATATTTTATACAAATTCCATTAAAAATTATTTATTACATGTATTTAGTTGTGTAAAACTGGTAGTAAATTAAGTTTATGAACCAAAAACCAATAAAAATAAAATCATAATTCCCTACAAAAATGTAATGTTTCTGTACTATAAAAACTTGTTAAAAGGACAAAGATTTACAAAAACAATAAAAACTATGCAAAAATATGAATTTATTAAGTAAAATTGTTTTGTTTGGATAATTCATTTATCAACTTTTATACCACTTTATATTATCTCATCTCTCCTCCATTCCATAAGCAGTGGCAAAGATAAGATATTTTTTAATTCCAAATTACATATAAGAACTAAAATACATAATTGAATGCCTTAATATTTGAAAGCCAGTTAATTATATAAATATGTATAGAAAGCAAGCATATTCTATCTTCTATTGCAATTTAAACAAAACTATCTTTTTGAATTTTTTCATGAATTTATTTAGATTTTTGGTTCAATCATTATCACGGGAGACATTAACAATGAAACTAACACACCTAGATAGACGAAAACTAAAAACGGTGGTGGAACTGATAACAGGACACTGCCATCTCAATAAACATCTTTTTAACATAGGTCACACAGCACTCTCTGCAGAGTGTGTCTCCAAGAAGATGAAACACCAGCTCACATTCTGACTGAATGTAATCCACTGGAACAATTACGCGAAGAAAAATCTTCCAGAACACCAGCAGTCTGCTAGACTACTGGGACACTCTGGGGTGGAAAGAATAACACACACAGCAGCATAAGCTCACGCACAATGGCAAAGATGCCTAAGTGCGGAAAAGCCGTGACTGAAGAGGAAGAAGGTCACGGGAGAGGTTTAAGATGTCGCAAAAGCATTATATAGTTTTTACAGACAGCCTATCCACAAATACTGAATAGAAAAATAGCATTAATACCTTACAATATTTGTTAATTATAATTTATGAAAAAACGAAAAGATAAACCTAAGTGATGTTTGAACTTACCCCAGCATTTTTCAATGCAGCAGTAACATAGTTTTCTCTTGTAGTTCTTGCAAAATAGCCTTTAAATGTTATTATGTGTTCGCTGTTAATAACATCGGTGTTAAATTCATATTCGACACGCGCAGTAGTAGTTGTATTACATAGGGTATCGTTATTAACAGCAATAACCATGAATATATTGTAATAGCTTATTATAAATAAATAAATGAAATGGGTCAACCCCATGTTTTTCGTCAATATAAACAAAATGACATGTTTACACCTGAAGTAACTTTTTATTGCGTTTCATTTTTGATGCTATAAATTTTTAACTATTCCATACTTCAAAATAAAAGCACAACAGTAGAATTTTCGCCAAAAAATTGGAATACCAACTTAAATTGACCTACCGCAGAAGCATAATATATTATTTTAATGTCACTCTTGTGCTTGTCAAATCATAAATGTCAATTATTATTTATTAGTTCAATACCTAATTATTGTTTTCCAATTACAGAGCATAATGCTGCTCTTTGGCGCACAAACACGAATAACGGGAAACAACACTTCTTAGATTGTCTGCCACTGAGTTCACTCGATTGTGTAGAGAACGCTGCTGAAGTTGAAAACTTCGAAGTTGAGCAATATTATGTGGCATATTGCTCTTTAGTGCTGTAATTGGAAAACAGGGCTGTCCGTAGTTAAGACAATGGGGAATAATTTTGCCTTTTTCCCCCGCCAAATGTCCCGATCACTATAATCTTCAGTATATTGTAAAGCTCTATAATAGTGTGGATGGTATTTTTTTATTTCAAACTAGTGACTCACCCGCATTTGGTTTCGGGTTCGACTTTAGACAAAAACAAATCTATCAAACGGGAACAGTAAGTTAGAGAAACGATAAAAGGGCTACCTAATGCAAAAAGAATTTATCAAATCGGTTAAATAGTTCTTGAGATTAGCGCGTTCAAACAAACAAAATCTACTTCTTTATAATATTAGTATTCCCAAAAGACAAAAACTGAAGAAATTGTGACGATCAAAATTGGCTAAATTGCAATTTTTATATTTAAGGCCTTGTGAACATTATTTAACAGAAAGTGATTTTAAAACTCATAAATCGTCTAAAGGTTAGTATTTTTATTTTTTGTACTTTTTTACGTGTTAACTAGAAAGTTTCAAACACACTTTCATCCTCCATTTTACCCTTTTATGGCATTGAAATTCGAAAAATACTACAACACATATATATTTAATTTTATTGAAGAGCATTAATACCAATTTATAAGTAATTCTGATCATAAATAATTCTTTGCTCATACAAACTTTTTATAGTTTCATACAATCTTTAATTCCTCGTATTTTACCCAATTAGGGCCAGAATTTCGAAAAAATCTTTCTTATCAGATGCCTACATCATATAAGAAATACATCCTCTAAATCTCACCTTTCTAGGACCAGCGATTTAGGCTGTGTGTTGATCCATCAGTCAGTCAGGACCACCATATGATTCATCTCTCCTTCTCAATTCTTCCATTAGCTAGTCTGATTGCCAAGTATAATTATATAATTTATACATACAATACAATTGAAGCAAAAAACCAGGTATAAAAGAGATATCACAATAAATTGCTTAACCTCAGAATGAATCTAAATGGGCTATACGTGTGGCGCCCTCCTTTCGAGAAATCTTCCCCATTTAAAAGAATTAAAATACTAAAAGAAAGTTCAATTATATTTTCTATCTTATTAGTGACATTTTTAGAAATTCAAATTCATCCTTTACACCTAAAATTGAATGTATTAAGTCTATATATTTTATAAGATATAAAAAGCAGTCACAAATTATCTTTTGAAAAAATAATAAATAATATTAAAAGTGTATCTTGTTTATTTTTATATAAATAAAACCAATTTGTATTTACATTTAAAAAACAGGAACACTTAATATTTGATAAAAACCTACTTAGGTATGTAAATATAAATTTAAAATAAATTATATATAATATGTTTCGTAATCTTTGCAAGGTGCTATTTATACCCTGTTTTCAAATTATAGAGCATAATGACGTACTATTTAAATACACCATATAAACTTATATCTCCATTTTCACCCTCTTAAATTATCTTCTCTCAAATTATCTATTATTAATCGGTTCAGTAGATCCAGAGATTACCCCCTACAATATCACAAACTCACAAACTTTACCTCTTTATATTAGTATATATATATATATAATACATAACTAATTAATATATAATTTAATATAAAAAATTAGCGATAATGTAAATAAAATTTTGATCAATGCCACGTTGAAGAAAAAACACTTCTCATAGTTTCTGTTATTGAGTTGGTATCTTTGCGCGCATCCCACTAAAGCAAAAGTAGTACTTTACAAAATGCTCGATTGAGCGGAGCGTTGCTGTAGTTGGAACATCCGAAGTTAGCATTATACCGCATAATGCGCTTTAGTTTTCTTATTGGAAAACAGCGTATTGTCTGTGCTGGTGTAATAGGTCGATGATCGACTGCCGACAGACAGATGACAGATCTTTAACTGTATAGTATATTATAAATAGTTCATATGTGAATAGTGAGTGACAGATCGTAAGATGTTAAATTTATGGTTTATAAGTAGAGAATATTTACGTATTCTTTAAGATATGAAGATTTTCACTATGTAAATAGATTTTAACATTAATATATTGTACATTTAATATATAATTTATGAAAAAAGTGTCATTAAGTAGTTAAGTTGAGTATAATGGTAGTTCTTCAATGGAGATTTCAATGGAGAGGGCTCTATGGCAGATTAAAGTATGATCATTATTTATAATTTTAAGAAAATCTATCAAAACTTTAAAAATAAATCATTCTGGATCTCGTCGCTCGGGTTCTAAATTAGATCTTATAATAGGCGTCGTCTCGAGTACTATTGCATTATTTATCAAATTAAGAGTTAAGCGAAATACATATATAATGTAAACCGACTTTGTATGTCTATTCAGTACTGCTTGTAGATAGATTATCAATATAATACTAATTGCACAAGTCCAGTGTTCATTATTAATTAATATTTATTTACTGTTTTTACACGAATTTCTCTACATAAAATGTCATGGGCGGCAGCAGAATTATTTCCAGGAGGGTGCATCTGCTTCTTCACATTAAACTATTAACTAATCTTTAAATGATTAACTTTATGACTTATTCATATCTTATTTATCATCTTTTCTTTGAAGATATCTAAATTTAACAAGGATTTTCCTCATATAATTTTATTTATTTAACTTTTTCTATATATTATCCTTTATGGCAGGGGGGTGCAAATGCACCCCCTTGCACCCCAGTGGCCGTGTAAAATGGTGATAGCAATAGTTATTACTTTGTGTATTTCATATTCTTTAACTACTGTAATAATTATTATGTCTATGCTATGGACAATTAAAATATTATGTAGTGATAAAATATGGAATCTCAGTAGAGTAAGTTAATATTAGCAATATTATTCTTAAGAAGACACCTTGATAACATTATTGTTTATTAGGTGCTTTCATTACTAGAGAATAAAAATTATGAAGATTCTTGTTAATTAAATAAATTAATTGATTATTGCTGCTTAATATTTTAGATTCAAAATTTACTGTCATTTATGTACATTAAGACATTATCACTGAGTGAAATGAACTGACAAGGGATTCTGTTTTAATATAAATGTTTAATTAATCATTTTTTTTATTATAGAACCCATTTTGCTTGGAAAATATCACAAGCAATTTTGACTTTCCACATTCTTACATACAACACACATATGAGTCAGAGTTACCTAATTGATTGTCTTTTGGAACCTATTTTTTGGTTTGTTGACAATTTCGCTGGATGCTTAGGAAAGGTATGCTTGAAGAGATTTAAAATAGAATTATTAATAGGCAATCTGTTTTTTGATAACAAGAATAATTATTTTTACATTACAGGTTTTTGTGTTTTGTGTGACAGTCTTAACAACAGCTGTAGTTGCCATAGCATATTGGGTTGGCTTACCATATTGGTGGGAAAAGAATGCATATATTACTGTTGGCTTAGTTGTCTATGGAAACTGGCTGTTGCTCAATATTGTTTTTCATTATTACAAGGGTGTTACTACGCCACCTGGATATCCCCCTCATGTAAGAAAAGAAATATATTAAGTAATGCATGATAATTTACATAATAATAAAAAGCAAACTAAAAAGATGAGGATGAGTCGACGAAGGAACATAGTATTTTGCAGTCAGAAACATACATACATACATAGTAAGACTTGCAGCTATTATAAAACAAATAGATACATATTTGTATGTCTCTGACTGCATAATACTACATTCTTTCGTCAACTTATACTCATTTTTTTTTTAGTAGCAGATGGGCTTTTATTTTGTAAATATTTTTTTTATTTACAGCTTTTTATAAGTTATATTTTATTTTAGTTTTATATATATACTAGCAGAACCCGCAGCTTCGCTCACGCTAAAATTACAAAAAACAAAATTCTAAAAAGGCAAGTCTCATACAAACTCATTCCCCATTTTATCCTATTATGTGAAAAATGCTAAAACACGTATTTATTTAATTGTATTTAAGAGTATTAATACCAAGTTTCAATTAAGTAATTCTGATCATAAGATTTTTTTGGGTTGTATTATAGCGTGTATTCCCGTGGGAATGGGATAATTTCCCGGGGTAAAAAGTAGCATATGCCACTCTCCAGCTTTCCAAATTTCTCCACACAAAAAAGCACGTCGATCCGTCACTTTGTTTTGACCTAAAAGAAGGTCAAACAAACAAAGAAACAAACACACTTTGATATTTATAATATTAGTATATAACACACGCATTATGAAGACGAAACGAACGACATATGAATCATCAAAATCGGTTAAGCGGTTTAGTAATTATGAGGTATCCCTGTGGTCGGACACACTTATAGGTCAAACACATAACCCTCCTTTAGGCTTCGCCGCATTCGGGTAAAAGTATAATCTAATTAAAGTAAACTGCTTAACTTACAATGTGACAGCTACTCTTCATGTGCTTAAAATATTTCACTCATAAAGTATCATGTAGTTGTATGTGTATGTAGTTAGTTGCTCCATAATATAAGATGCTCAACATCATTTATAAATTTTGACTTTATGATTTAGACTAGCAATATAGTTAATAGTAATATGATTGTACTTACACACTTTAAGAAATAACAATTTACGTTGTATTCAACAGGCTTCAACAATAATAGAGGCAGCCAGCATATGTAAAAAGTGTATAGCTCCAAAACCTCCTAGAACGCATCATTGTTCAATATGTGATAAATGCATTCTTGCTATGGACCACCATTGTCCTTGGCTTAATAATTGTGTAGGATATTTCAATTCTAGATATTTTTTTCTTTATATGGCTTATATGGTAGTCGGAGTCACTTTTATAATAATAGCTGGCTTGGACCTAGGATATCAAGTGCTGTGGGTAGCCGATACTGGTAAATTTAACTTTTAGTTATAGTGAAATCTCTTAGTGTACTTGTTTTTTTTGTACTTTATGATTATAATTGTAATTCTGTACATTTTCATACACTTACACCTTAATATTTAAAAAAAATTGACTAAATAGAGTTTATCAATATTGTATTTTTCATATTTAATAAGAAATAATTTAAATTACTTACTTTAAGTTAAATACACAGGTCAAACTAAATAGTTTACAAATTTTTAGGTGGTATTACACAAGAAAATGATCCAGATTTGATTGGACATCCGGTGCGTATGAACCAGAGTGGAGTATTTGTACCAGTTCAAGTGATTGCAGAATATGACTCAGAGAATTTTCCAAGACATCACGATTTACCAATGCCAATAATAACTGAAGTCCAAAGAATAACTGCACATCAATGGAAGAGAAAGGCTGTAGTATTTATGGCTATCACATGTGTGTCAGTGCTTGTTGCTTTAGGTACATTGACAGTCATGCATGGGAAGAATATCAGTAAGGGTGAAACTAGTATAGAAGCTCATATAAATACAGTATTAAGAAAAACCCATAAACATAAGTTTAGGAACCCCTATAATTTTGGTCGGAGAAAAAATTGGAAGCTGTTTCTAGGCTTAACTCAGGGAAGGACTTTTCTGAGGCATGTGCTTTTTCCATCTAGTCATCCCCCTATAGGCAATGGCCTTATATGGCACACCATTCATAATACTATAGAAGACTGGCCTTAGGTTTATGCATTTAATTATATATTTTTGGTAAGATCAAATTGCACTGGGTGAATGTAGTTCCAAATGTATGATATCAGTAGGCTATTACCAGGTCCAGGTACTGAGAATTGTACACTGATGTATGTATCATATTATGGAAGTATACAAATTCTATAAACATTTTTTTAAACAGTCAAAAAAATCATCATCAATTATTTAAATTTAGATTGAATAAATATGTTAACAGAATAATAAATAGACACTTTACGGAATGTAAATATTTTTTATTTAAAGGCTATTTAAAATTATTTAAAAAAAAAAGAGCACGTGTGATCTTTACGCTCGGTTGAAGTAAAACTTCTTTTGCGCTGTGGTAGATACTGAAATTAATTTAAAACAAATTAAAATTAAATATAATATTTTTTATGAAATTATTGATAGTACTTAAATATTTATTTTTTATAAATAATAATTAATCATTATAAATATTTAAATGTAATAATTGTTATAAAATTATTAATAAAAAATTAAGTCTCACTTCGGTTTTCAATGTAAATTTTTCCCTAAGTGACGCCAAAAGAAGTTTTACTTTAAAACAACAATAGTTACATTCATTATAATATAAAAGATTGTGCAAAACGTAAATCTAGTGTAGTAAGTTAGAATTTTAGATTACTAGCAGAACCCGCGGTATCGCTTGCGCTAAAACTACAAAAAAAACTTTAAAAAGGTAGGTTTCATACAAACTTTCATCTCCTTTTATTTTACCCTTATAGGATGAATTTCGAAAAATGCAAAAACACGTATTTATTTAATTGTATTGAAGAGCATTAATACCAAGTTTCAAGTAATACTGATCATAAATATTTTTTTGAGATGTATTTATTATAACATGTTTTCCCGTGGGAATGAGATACTCTCCTGCGGTAATAAATAGCCAATGTCATTCTCCAGCCCTCCAAGTATCTCCACACAAAAATCACGCCAATATGTCAGTCTGTTTCGACGTGAAAGAAGGACAAACAAACACACTTTCAAATGTATAATATGAGTGTGTATGGATTCGTAATTGATATATATGGTCTCTATTTGTATTTGGTGTTTATATGAATCTTTTAACTGTATTATGTAGTAATAAGTGACCAAGTATTACATTCCTGTTTTTAAATCAAATGTTAGAAGTTAAGAGTAGGTACAACATTTATTTTTGATATTTTTATTTCATTTATATTAAATCAATCTTAAGTAAGCAATTTAAAAAACTTAAACTTTAGTAACTTAAAACTAGCTTAGTTTCGAAAGCTGTGTAACTATTTTATTTAACTGTTTAAACAATATATTTTGATGACATATATCTCTATCTATACATATAATAAAATTGTAAGTAAGCTGATTTGTACATTAAATATTTTTTAGAAAATCTGATGTAAATAGACATTATTATCGATACAGAGGCCAAATCTATATTTTTTAGAATTTTTGTCCGTCTGTCTGTGACCATATCACGGAAAAAGTACGGGAGAGATTTTGATGAAATTTGGTATAGTGATTGATAGCTGGTGATCCTGGTCAACATATATGATACTTTTTATTGTGGGAAAATATCTCATCTTTAAAAAAAAATACAAAAACTGATTAGAATAAAACTACGCTGAAACTATAAACATTTTAGCAAGGAAACAAAATAGATAAAAAAAATAATTATTATAAATAGCTTCTGTTGAAAAAATATATCAATAGCGATATTTTGTACATAAAAATAACTCGACAAATATTTAGTTAAGTGTACTTTAGAAAACCATTACTAGATGTCACCATGACTTTTCAAAATACGCAATTTTAATTTCAAAAAAATATTAATTTATCTATAAGATATGACTTCTATGTTCTTATTACAATTACTAAGATTACTCGCGGTCATGCCCATGCCCTAATAAACCAAAAATATAAGTATTTGGTTTAAAAATTAGTAATATATTAATTAATGTATGTATGTATATAATAAAATTCTAACTTATCCGATTCTGTACCTACGTTAAATATTTTTTGGAAATGATTATTGATATAGCCAATATTATCGATGATTTGTTTGTTCCTAAACCAGATTCCGATTGGACTACAAAGTCTTCTGATTTTGCATTCATTTGGATACTGTTGTCTGAAAAACTTTTTGATTTTTTGGTTATTATTGAATTTTCATCGAAAACTTCTCCTGAAATGTCTTCTAGAAAGAGATAAAACCTTTCTCAGGATTCTAGAAAGGCTTAGCTGATTAGGCAGGTTCGATCACAGGAGACCAATATAGAACATGAGACTAGGCAGGTCGTGAACGTTACGCCGCAACTTGCTCATCGAAAACTTTTACGCAACGTCAGAAAAGATTAACCAATGCTGTACCCACTGGCAAGAATTGTGCCTCCAAAAGTCCGTAGTGCAGTGGCGAGCCTCAGCGAAAGAACCAAAATGGAACAAGACACGCGACACACCATGCACGACAACATCCTAGTGCCACAAAGGCTAAAAAGCCGTAAAAGTTTTATGAAGTGTGTCTTACCACTTAGAGATGAACGAACACAGGCAAGATGCAGGATGTGGCGGGACAGTTATGGTCCTTTGCCAATTCCATTCGTTCCACCGTCTGAAAATCGTGCGCCTGGACATAGTTTGCCTTGGTAGACCTGGAAGTCTCTCAACAGACTCCGGATTCAGGTTGGCCGAAGCAATGAAAACTTGTCTAGGTGGGGATTTTTAGAGGGTGGCCTGAAGTGCAGATGTGGTACTGTTCAAACGATGAGGCACTTACTTACTCAGGACCAATAAAATGAATACATGTCCTTTAATTTACAGTAAAGGTGAAGATGGTTATAATTTTTGAATATACCAAGTAAATCCTACTACGGGGGCTACATCAATCAAAAAACTTCAGCGCAACAATTTTATTCCCGGAGGAGTAACAGAATACCAATCTATAAACAGCGTCATGGAACAGGAAGATGCGAGCAATTATTCTACCAATTTTTAAATTGTTTAAGCGTATCTAGCCTCCCACCACATAAATTTTTTTTTAAAAATTGGCGTCCCCATCGAGGTCAGATTCATGCAGATCTGCAAGTCGAACTTTAAAGAAGAGAAGATTTGCAGGAGCAAGGTGGTGCTTTTTGAGAATCGGCCAGGCCGACCGAATGCCTAATTGCCTAACACGCAGAAGGAATGAAAGGGGGAGAGAAGTCTTCAGGACATCATTAGTCTCCTGAAGTCACAGTTCTACAGTTTAAGTTAGATATTTCCGAATCTACCATCAGTGAGCTGCGTGCAGAATTATTATTATTAAAAATTAATGATTTTGTAAGTAGTTTGCCTGAGTTCTCTAACGTAAACACACGTAAAATATACACAAATTGACTCCATCAGCAGTTTTTCGTCGCCACCGGTTACTGCTGAGGTGCGCGAATCGCGCGACACAGAGACGCCCGCCGCACGCTCCCCGGCCCCGCGGATGACGTCGAGTGCAAGCGCGGTCATGACACCGTCGCGTGCATACGAAGCAGCCGCAGCCGCGCCCGCCCTTGCACCTGCCCCACCAAGTAAGCGGCCCTCGAATGGAGGAAAAAAGAAGAGCCTGAGCAAACCAGCTGATAAACAGGTGTCACCGTCAGGTTCGACGAAGAACCAATCTGACGAGGAGGGCTTTCACTAAAGTGGAGAGGCAGCTGTACATCTAACATCTGTGGCACAGCTCCGAACCAGCCAGACCATCCGATGCGTCCTGCCGTACCATCGATCGTACGCTGTATGTGTCCCGATTGAACTAGTCTATGAAGGTCGAAGATGTCGTAGACTACGTCCAGAAGAGGTCCAACTTCAAGTTGAGGGTTGAACGGCTGGTATCTCGCCACAAAACGAGTTTCAAATCATTTTTGGTGAGAGTGCTGACTCATCATCTGCCAACCTTCATGAAGGAGGACTTCTGGCCGCAGGGCGTCGTATTTCGGAAATTCCGAGGTCGTTTGCCCGCTGACACGTCTACACTACCTGTTAATAGTGTTTAAATTTTAAAATTAATATATATGTTCGTTTTTAAGGTTATGGTTAGGTAAGGTATGTTATGGGCCCTGTTTACATATTTAAGATCTTTTTGTAAATATTGCCTGAAATAAATGATTAAATTAAAAAAAAATCTGTTAAGAAATTTAAGTCCACCAAAACTATGTAACGGAACCAGATTAAGGGTCATAAATCTGCAACAGAGTATAATAGAAGCTGAAATTTTGACAGGCTGTAGTGCACGTGAGTATTTTTATCCCCAGGATTCCCATCATTCTAAATAATTTTCCGTTTCGCTTAAAACGTGTTCAGTTTTCCATAAATATATGCTATGCGATGACAACAAAGCTCAAAGAAAAACCTTGCGCGAAGTGGTGTAGACCTGAGCAGCAGTTGCTTTCCACACGGACAGCTGTATGCAACTTCTTCTAGAAATTTCTTTTTCTAGAAATATCTTCGTTTTAAAAAAAAATACTGTATTCCAATTTTATTTATATTTTTTAGCCGTTGCAGCGATATTTGATTATTTAAATCCATTTGATTTAAAATAGAAATAAAAATCGTGCATCTAATTGTATACGCCTTTTAATGTCACTACTTTCTTCTTTTTACTAATTTGTCACAAATGTAAAAAAAGGCTATTGAAAATAGTCTTGATAAAAAATGTAAAAGTATAAAAGGGATGTGTGCGTGTACCTGCATTTTTTATAATTATAAAAAAAAGAATAAATTTGATTCGAGTTATTTTGATAACGGATTAATTATTACAATTGTTTTTATAATTTTAAAAGTTATATATCATTTCCATCTAAGCATTTACATAAAATTTATAATATTTAAAAATATTAAATTTATCCTAAAACAATATTGTGTCACCATGTTAAAAACTAAGATGTATGTATATGTAGTATAGTGTAGGATTAGTAATAAAAAAAGTACTAGTCACAATTAAATTTTTGTTAAATATAAAAAATGTCTTTAAATTTCCCTAATATATGAATAGAAAATATATTTCCCTAATATAAGAATTGAATATAAATAGATTGGAGGTACTGGGTTCGATTCTCGGCAAAGGCCCCAATATGACCTTGGTGTCGGTTGATAGTTCGGTGGGAACACAATTCGATATATATATAATAATCTGAATCTCGGTTTTCAACGTACGACAACGTAGTAGAAAATTATAGATCTTATTAAGGCCTATAGAAAAATCAACAATAGCATAAGTCTTTCTCCTAAGATACACCCGCAATAACTATTTATATCTATTTAAAACCTACCTGACGCTGGCTAAAACTCTAGAGATACCTACATTATAACAATCCACTAGAAAATTCTAGGTCGTGAAGAGCCCTACAGAAAAGTCCGTGATAGCATATTGTGTCAATCTCCTAAGGTAAGCTCGCGATAATAAGACACACCCAAGGCCGGAGCGAAGTGAGAGTACCTACCTAGCTCGTTAGTTATACAAACAAATATTTTTATAAAATGTATTAATATACTATTACGCAATTGCATTGAGGCCACTATCAGAGGTTGCCATCATCTTAAATAATTTTATGTAGAGTTCTCAAAAGAGACATATATATAGGTATATTTATTCTTCCAAAAATTGAAGTGAAAAATAGTTTGTGTGCAATTTACACACGGTAGAAGTGAAACTTCAGAAAGATAACCTACGAGGTAATGAGATGAATAGAGTATCAGGAGTTTATTTTTTGAAGTGAAACTTTTTTACAATCGTGATTTGAAACACGATGTAACAAAAATCGTTACGACAAAGAGAACACATTAATACCTATATAAGATTAAGTCGGCGACAGAATGAGATAGAATACATTACATAGGAAGTGAAAAATAATAAAAATAATACTGAATAATATTTATGTAATGTAATAATAATTTCTTGAAATAGTGCTTTCTACAATCTTTATTATTTGTTACTTATTTGTACCTTTGCATTATAGTTACACTAAGGAGCTCTCTACGCTATTTATGTATAATGCATAATTAACTTTTATAAACAATAACATTTTCTCGGTAATATAAAAATACTTTTTTACGAGAGTCCGAAATCCTAATCGCGCTTAAGCTACATCACTGTCCAATAAATAGTCCATGAACTCCTCATTATTAAATATATTATTCTTTAACTAATATTATATTTTTTAAATTCCTACATTGACTCTGTAACTAAAGTGCTAAAACTGAAACCTTATAATTTCACCGTCTGTCCGTATGCCACACCATTTTACTCGAAGACTTGGTGAATAGTTCATATGTAGATGTACATACCTATCAAGCAAACGGCTAGACAAATTATTTTAGAATAATGGTAAAAAAATGAGATGATAGAGCTTCTAAAATATTGGTTGACGAAAATAATTTTGAAGACGACACTTTAATTTGTATAAGTTAAATTTACGTTTAATCTTATATCTTTAAACGAGCAATTTTTGTTTATACCTATATAGTCTGAATCTTGGAAACGGCTCCAACGATTTTCATGAAATTTGGTACACGGAGGTTTCGGGGGCGAGAAATCGATCTAGATTAGTCTTATGTCTGAGAAAACGTGTGTATTTGAGTTTTCATGCAGTTTTCTTTTGCATTATTCCACGCAAAATATGGCTTCGTGGTCAAGCGGCCATGGTGCCAGATCAACAATCACAGGTGTCCAGGTTCGAACCTCGGTCGCATACAAAGTTATTAACTTTTGTTTTTTTTTAATATTTATTCAAGTTTTTAGTTAAAACAAAAAGAAAATAGCACTTTAGGCCAAAAACTCCAAGCGAAGCTCGGTAGCCCAGGTACTGTTTATTTTATAAGTATTTATAATATGTATGTATTTAAAATTATATAATATGTTTAGTGTGTCAACTATCTGGTATCCATAACACAAGCCTCGTAGCGGAACTAGATTATTTATTTATTACTATTCTAGCGTCCGGACGCAAAATTAACTTAATTTCTCATAGATTTCTCATTTCGTAACGCCTTTTTCCAACCGACTATTCAACTAGTCGGCAAAACTCACAGTCGGCCCATCTCTAGTAAATATTTAACTTTACTTTTAATTTAATAATTAATTAGTATGTTAAAACAACAAATTTGATTTTTCGTACTATAGAACCCTCGGTGTGCGCATCGAGTTGACCGATTTTTTCTAGTCTTGTGAATAATCAATAAACAGCCAAGTAGGTCTTTGCGTCCTGCGCAATGAATAGGGAAGTATCTTCTAAGATAGGAAATATATTATCTAAGACAATACTGCGTGTATAGGTAAAAGTCATTACAAATTAAATGTTACTAATTAGGCATATCAATTAAAACGACTTTATATTGGTTTGTGTTATTTATTCAATATATTATATAAATAAGTTTATATACCAATAACTTTGGACAAAGTAGATAATTTATTCTATCGATACCTTAATAAATAAAACTACACAACTAATTAATTAATCATACCTATATTGCACTTTTAGCCAGATCAATGCCACGAGGAAAAGAACGATGTACATATGTACATACATACTACTAGTGTAGTACCAATTATATGATCTATGTACAATGTACATACATACTAACAGTGTTTTCTTATCAATTTTTCATTTAGTTAACATTTAAAAACATTTAAAAATTATATTGATGTAGATTATAGACAACTATATTACGGAGTTATGATTTCTATATAAAACATTATATTATATTTGAGTTAATCCACTGCCTTATTTTAACTTAAACCGCTTAATTATAAAGAACTGTTAATTGAAAAAAAATGTAAGAAAAATATAATATATTTCAGAATTGTAAGTCAAATAACGACAAAATAATAACGAAATGCTTATAACAAAAAAATAATAATAATAAATCAAAAGAAGATAATCATAATAGAAATTCCCTAAACGAAGTGTTTCACTTCTAGCTATTTTCTGGATTTTATGAACTACAATGCTCCATTGAAAATATACATATTGGTTTATTAGTAAATGTATGCTAGTTGCTACAGTGCTACATATTCAAGAGTATTAAGTAATGGTGGTCTTAACTAGGAAGGCTCAGACGCAGGCTTCTTTATTCAGTTTTTCGTCACGGAAGAATACTCCAGTCTTGTGTTTAAGGGCTTAGTCTAGTTTTAATTTAAAGCTATTATTTTTTGATAAAATTCTCAAATAAGTAGATCATTTCATCATGCAGCCAGTTAACCAATTGAACATTTAATAGTGTAGAAGATATGTATACATTTTTATGTTAATAATTAGATGTATATTTATTATCCTATTTCCTAGTAGGTAGATATATGTATAGGTTACCTACGAATAACTTCTAATCTTATATAACATTGCTGAAAATAACTACAACTAGTCAACATATTTTTACCCGACTGCGGCAAAGCCCAAAAGAGCGTTATGTGTTTAATGTGTGTAACCTGTATGTATGTATGTATGTATGTTCGACCGTATATTTCCTCCCAATTACTAAACGGCTTAACAGATTTTGATGATACATACGTCGTTGGATTCGTCTTGATAACACGAGTGACGTAGATCATTAAAAATCTAAATGGCGGATCCTAGGCGTCAGTTTGCGTCTTGAACTTTTTTTTTCAAATCTATTTTGATATCATATGATTTTTTTTCCGAATCAATCGAATGGGGTGTGAAAATACAGGTTTTTAAGAGGTTATTACAAAAATATACACAACTTATATGTTTAAAAATAATTTGGGATAATACACATAGCATGACATCGCATTTAGTATAAAACATAGTACAACAACAATACCTATGTCCGACTTCATAATACTCTGCAGTCGGACTCCTTAATTCCGACGGCATAATACTATTTTACTTTGTCAACTTGTTCTCATCTTCATATGTACCTATTTAGATCGCTTTTGACGCAATCGGATTTTTTAATTAATTAATTTTTAAGGTTTAAACTATTTTTTTTATTTTAAGCGATGGAAGACTGAATTAGTTTTGGCTATTAGTGCTATATTTATTAGTCACTTTCAAATTGTTCTATTTGATTATTTTATATCACAACAGATTAACTATTTTCTATTGAGTGTAATATATTATAAGATAATTCTATTTTTAAGAATATTCTACGAGTATACTTGTTTGTTAAGATAAAAATGTGAATAGGTAAATTAATATTTATTCCTGAATATGTAGAAATATGTGCTCCAGACTAAGAGAATAAGATAATTGTGGTCGGTGACGTCAACATAATAAGTAAGTATTTGTAAAATTTTAATTTTATAATTTAAAATTAAATTAAAAACAATTATTACTTTTGAACTTTGGTAGTAGAGTTTTACAACAAAAGTCGGCACAGTAACAGGACATTTACCTATTATAATAAAGATCCATAATGCGATTTCAAGATTTAATTTTTGTTGTCTGCAAGTTCGTCTATCTTATCCTTTTAGTCCAAAGATAATGCCTATATAGTAGTATCTATTGAAGACATTTTAGTACAATAAAAGTAAAAGTAAGTACCTATACTTGGCTATCACAAATCTCAAAGAGATTAATTAAGATATCGTCACAAGAGTGGAGAGATATATTGTAATTGTTTGTTTAAATTAATATGTGTGTGTCATAAAAAGTTTAAATATACATAATAACTTTAAAGGTAGTGATTAGGTATACACCAAGCTGTAATACTTAAAGGCAAGTTATACTAATGTTTAAAATTATAAGTAGGTACGATAATTAAATGGACTAGATTAACCGCTTCATTAGTTTTACTCGCAGTGTGAATGTTCAGTAGTTAAATATAAAATATTTTATAAATAGTTCTCTAGTCTAGTTATCTAACTCATTTTGCCTTTTATATAAAGAAGAAGAAAGAAAGCTGCTGGTCTATCACTTAGTATGTAGTTATACAGGAGACAAAGGTTTAATTTATAATTAGTTACGTAGATTGTTAGTTATGGGGATATTGAAGATTGTCTGAGCTAAGTGCGATTGAAGTGAGGACACTTCTACGTTGAGGATTCACTCCAAGATTTTCCCAATTTATCCAGGATAGTCGTGCTGTTAAATCTGTAAATATTATCGTCTTGTAAGTAAATCTAGCATTTTATATATATGTATTGAGTGTGTTTACTTTCTTGGTTAAAAACAATGTACAATTTGTTACATCTTCTTACCGCTAGTATTCCAATGAGCGCGATCTGCTTTTATTTCCCCACGAAGGCATTTTTCAACGTATGTAAGAGGATCATAGTCAGCGTCTAGTACCTAATAGCAAAAATTAACGTTAGTGAAATCGAAGTGGCTATTCGTTGGTCGTCATAAAGATTTTTTAGATTATCGATCGTTGAAATATTATTTTTCTTTTCTTTATAATTATTTTTGTGACCAGCAAAAAATGTCTAAATTTCCTTTATTTCGTTAAGATGGGATTAATAAGAATTTTAATTTATAGCTTAACTTAAGTTTATTTTCTTTATCTTTTGCACATCGGAACTTACAACTAGAAAATTGCTATAACTAGCAGAATCTGCGGCTTCGCTGGCTCTAAAACTACAAAAAACTCTAAAAAGGTAGGTTTCATACAAACTTTCATCCCCTATTTTACCCCTATTTTTTATTTATTTCATTTTTTTTATTAATATCAAAAAATGAAATATTTCTATAATACAAATCATAAATATTTTGTTGAGTTGTATTATAACGTGTTTTACCGTGGGAATTAGATAATCACTCGTGGTACAAAATAAAAAAAGTAAAGTATAAAAAGTAAAGTAGCCTATATCACTGTCCAGTCCTCCAACTATCTCCACACAAAAAATCACGCCAATCCGTCACTCCGTTTCGACGTGGAAAAAAGACAAGCAAACAAACACACTTTCACATTTATAATATTAATATGGATGATAAATCGACCGACAATAATCAGACGTATAAATGTTCTTTTATTCATCCAATTATTTTATCGGACCAATAGCAACAGCTTGTAGATATGTAATATTTAGGATATAGAAGTCTTTATCTACTTTACAGTAAACAACAATGAGAGTAGTTTTTTCCTTTACTGTATGAAAAATCAAACATAGGTACTCAAATGAATAAGTGCCTACCTAATATAAAAGAGTTAAGTAATTAGAAACATTTTAGCTTTTATCTATACAATATGGAGTTTTAACATCACAATAAAAATATACTATATTATCGGTGTTTGCTTACCTCTCGAAGTAACGCTATGTACGCAATAGCTAGCCGCAGTGTATCGATTTTACTGAGACGTTTCTCGTAGGGAAATGTTGGTACGTGCACCCGCAATTCGTCGAACGCCGAGTTTATACTGCTAAAGTTAGAACATCATACACACGTTTTAGTATAATTATCATGTGAAATAAATACTTTATTCTTCATATCGAGGCAAACTAAGCAAGCTATCTACTATTAATCCAGTAACTGTATAAATATAATAAATAATTATTTGCCCAGCTACTTTATTTTTTATTTTTAAATTTAGAGTATCTGGATAAGCGATTATTAATTATTTGTAACTTTTAATTTTCGATTATGTGACAGGTCCGTCTTGCTAGGTTGAGAATGCTAAATGCCTTATCGTTAGATCTTTTTTTATTTTAAAGTATTGGTGAATGGTGATAGTTTCGACTCGAAAATTATAATGTGTAGGTATATTTATATGAAGTGTCAAATGTATTTTTTATTATTATTTAGGACTCCTTCGTGTCTTCTCCATTCTACGTGACATTGGCAAAGTAATCTGTGCTCAACTGGCACGTTTTGAAGTCATTAGCAAGAGAATTGAATTGAATTATTTAGGACAGATTTGTAAATACCCGTACTTTTTCTCTTATCGTCATTGTTAATTAAAATATATAAAAAATATGTTTTTTTATAATCAATAGCGGGATCGATAACAATAATATTAGTCGTACTACATACGTAATAGCTGTATCACTAGGTTCAGCCGAAAAATAATAGATGAAGTTTACATATTAACACCAGAAACTAGAAAGTCTCTCTCTCTATCTTTATGCTAAAGTTTAGTATAAAACTACAAATACTTTTATAAATCTCTCCTGACCGCCGGAATTTTAGGTAGGTTTTATCCAATAATTATGACATTTCTTTTGATTTACTGGTACGAGTATAAGTTTAATATATAAAATTATTAATTAATTAAAAAATAACAAAACAGATACGGATTGAATGTTACATAGAATATGTAGTAAGAAGCAGTTTTGTTACTGATATGAATATCAAGCGTACAAGCGCAAACTCCTGAAAGTAAAATATCGAAATATATTATAGGGCTTAAAAAGTTTTTTCTATAGTACTAAAAATAAGCATTAAAGGAAACCTCACTCTTATGAGCAAAATTTAGATAAAATTAAGATAAGATGATGAAGAAATTATTGTTTTATTTCTCTACACACAGAGGCAAATGAACGTGGTACCCATTGGGTCCGGACCTCAGCATCCGTCGACGTTCCCGAACGTTGGCAGCGGCGCGTTGCACGCGATACGGCGATCCGCCGCACTGGTAGTCCGGCTCCACGGATGTCTCCAACAGAGCATCTAATGTTGATTACAATTTGTTTTTATTTATAGCTTAAGAAATTTTATAGATTAAATAAAGCAAAGCAAATGACTTATAAATTAATAATTAAATAATTAAAAATATATTATAAAAACGAAAAACCCGACTGCATAAAAGCTACGGAGAAATTATTATGTAGGTACGAGTATGTACATCTCGCGGCAAGGATGAAACGTGTATGTCTCCAACTGCATAATACTATATTCCTTCGTGAACTTGTTTTCATCTTTTTAGTTAGCTTTTATGCAGTCGGGTTTTTTATTTTATAATATATTTATTTATTAACAGAAGTATAAAAATTAGCGAGAATGGTTGTTGACCAACTTTAAATCATTATATATCCTAAACTGTTATTTAAAATGAAAAATGATGAAAGATACCTAAAAATGATTTTTTAAATACCTATTCAATATATACCCCACTTGACATAGTTCGTCGATTTTTCTTTTTTAATTTTTACATTATGGAATCTAGCAGCCCCCATATGTAATTTTTTTTATATCACCTATCTAAGAATAGTGTGAATAGAGTGGATTGGAAGATATGAGGGAATAAAGAATATTACAAACATACGAAGATAGGCGCGAAAACCATAACCCTTTCATTGCAGTCGGGTAATGATTTTATAATACAGTAATATATTTTATAGTTTATATTTGAAGACTCTTCTCTTCATAAAAGAAGTCTAAAGGAGATTAAAGTCTCCCCTACATTTTACATTAAATAGATTTTTTTATAGAAAGTAATCAATTATTATCAAAACTACTTATTATTTTTATTATATCTAAATATCAGGTTCTTATAATTTTATACCTTTACTTACAGCGCAGTTCAGTATCAAATTCTTTTAGAATGAACTAAATACTACCTACATAATATGTACAAGACTTATTTCATGAAATACCAATTAGAAAAAAAAGGTTTTCAGGAAATAGCAGATTAATATCTGTTTTGCTAAAGTTAATTTCGCAAGTCTTACTAATTAACTTGTTAAGTACTCTTACTACTTTTGATTTAAAATAAATATAATCACGCTTGAACGAAAAAAAATCTTATTGGCATTACCAGCATAAAATTATTATGAAGATTCTCAACGTATAACAAATAATTGTAAATGCTCAACGAATAATACGTAATACGTTTGTGACGTTATTTTTGCATCAATGTGCATCAATAAGTGATAATTATTTATATTTATGTAATGGATAAATATGGCACAAGCAATTAATATATTACTTTACCTGAGTGTAGCTGCCTGGAGTGTTGATGGACGTAGGCAGCGAGCGGTAACTGTAGTCTCGTTCTTGCTGCTGCATACACGCATGAAGGAAGTTCCGGTGTTATCGACGCACTTTCTTCATCCGACCCGTCGGCGTATGCGAATTTTAAGCCCGAATAATCTAAACGTCGGCTTTCACTAAAAATATGTAACAAATTTCAATACTTGTAACTAATTTTTAAGTAGGTACCTAATGAATTCTCATAAAGTAAAAAAAAAATTATATAAAAGTTACCTTAATGGGGGTGAAGTAGACGAATCGGCGACCTGAGTCCTAGCTCCTGACATATTTAGTTTAGTTGAAATAGAAAATTAATATTATTGTACTTCCACTTATCGCTTATAAAGAAGACTGACAGTTTACTGGGTAAGACAAATAATTTTATACCACAAGGGGTGGCCATTTTGTGAAAATTCAATTTAAGGGTGAGTGACGTTATCCAAGCAACGCAAGCTGTATTTCCTAGAATATAAGGTTTATTTTGCGTGGGCGGCGTGTATGTGCTTGCGTTTAGACTGTCGGCTGGGCGGAGCTTCCCAATATAAGGGCGGTTAGGGGACGGTCTTCATAGGTCATTCGACAAAAAGTGCCAAGTGTTAATTCGGCATATTTATTAATTGACAACATATTTATTCGAATTGGAATAATATTTTAAAGGACCTTTGTTGATTGATTTTATTTCATACTAGCGACTTAACCTCGTTTCGCTCGGGTGCGTCCGTAGGTACGTTTTAATTTTTTTTACACAGTCCAGTCCTCTTTGGGCTTCACATCTGTCTGGATTACCGGACACTACCGAGTTTTAAACTGTATTTTAAAAGATACAAACTTATTGCAAGTAATAAGTACTACCTACTTTGTAATCTAAGTTACTTACATTTTTTTACAGAACGACGTTTTTGCCCTAATCATTTCGGAATGCCAGCGGATCGATGCAGTAAATGCTTCTCATTGGTGGAGAAGGCGAGTGTACTTGACAGAGGATATAAAACGCACACCCGACTCAAATAGTTGGGAACGTCACAATCAGATTTAAAACGCTATAGGTACGTCTATTATATATAATTTCAAATTTCTAAAATCGTAAGCATTTTTAATCTAGCCGAGAAGTTAAAAATCTGTGAAAAATAGTAGAGAAGTAGTAGAAAAGCCAGAAAATTATGGGCAATAGACTCATTAGACGCGGAATAAAATTCATCTATGTCATTCTAAATGAAACCCCCCGTTTAGTTATTTTTTACATTTTAGTGCCTGGAAGTCGTTTTTTTTTTAAGTTTTTATTTTTCCACTTTTAGTGTAGACGTAATAAGGAGGTTGGTGTAAGAAGAAAGTTTTAATATTAATAACATTTTTGATTAAGCAACTTATTTAAAAAAAAAAATATTGTTGATTTTTAAAAAAAACCGCGCGACCGATTTCGATAAAATTTATATGAGAGTTGGACATCCTTTGAAACAAAAAAAATCCAAATCGGTTCAGGCGACTTCTAGTGAAGGTGAACATACAAAAAAAAAAAGATTCCGACGAATTGATAACCTCCTCCTTTTTGGAAGTCGGTTAAAAATTTAATCAAAATACGGTGTAATCTGGAATGATGAAATAATGAGTCAAGTTACGTGCGAAAGAATTTTTTTATAGATTTTTTTAAAAAGTTATCCCATTGTTAATTAATAATCTATTCCCAATGCTCAGTAATATACAAAAATCAACATAAAAGTTTAAATAATTGTGCTAAAAACGTAAAAGTTTTTAGAGAGGCCTATCTACTTATACATATATACAATTATACATATACTAGCATTGCCCGCGGTTTCGCCCGCCTTCAGATGACCAAAAACCAAATTCTTAGGTTTTACATATTAGTATACTCTTACAATGCAGTTTTTGTATTTTTTCTCAGAAATGAGATATTTTCCCGCGGTAAAAGTATCCTATATGTTGACCCGGATGACCAGCTATCATCATACCAAATTTCATCAAAATCTGTCCAGTGGTTTTCTCGTGATGCGGTAACAGACAGACAGACAAAAATTCTAAAAACTGTAGATTCGGACTCTGTATCGATAATAATGTCTATTTCAATTAGATTTTCCAAAAAATATTTAATGTACAGATTCGACTTAGTTACAATTTTATTATATGTACTTATAGATATGTACTTAATGGATTTTTCAATTTAATGCCCATCTTTGACGTTCTTATTCAGAGAATCTGAAACTCTTCGACAATTTTAACTTATTGTATGTCCACCATACAATAAGTTAAAATGTGTCGAAGAGTTAATATTATAATAGTTATTATTATAGTTCATAGCGGCCTCGCTTTTCGCAAATTTTTATTATTAATTGAAATAAAGCCGAAATTCCGAAGCAAGTTTTTAATAAAATGCGCGACGGCACTTTTTCAAGCTCATGGATTGAAATATTATATTAAGCAAACGAAATGAAAAATATATATCTAATAATATCTCGTATATAGTGATTAAGTTTATAGCGGCCTCGGAATGTGAAAATATGTATTGGATTTCTATAAAAAAAACCATTTCAAAATCTTAAAAACTATCAAAAACATTCAGAATTAGCTGTAAATATATCCTTACAACATTAATATTACGAGTATTAAGTAAAACTTATACCAGAATATACCTCTGTTCAAAAAAAAACCATAATTACATACTATTTTTTAATAATTTATCATAAAAACTTTACATTGAAGTAATTACATACAACTGCAGAAAGTGCTAGGAACAGCGATGCGTCGGCCGCTTGAACTCAATGCCATAGAACGAAGTATATTTTGTTATAGGCCTCTTAAGGCGAATCTAGACAAGAGAGGAGACACGAGAGTGTAATATGGCCGACTTCCCTACTTTAGGCCGCTATGAGAATTTTGTATTGAAGAAATCCATATACTATTTTTGAAAATACCCAACTAAGGATAGAAACTAGGAAACCAGGATCTGCCGTACTTAAATTTAATCTAATAGCCACTAAAGAGACAATCATAACTATTTTTAATTTGTATTTAAACTAAGTAAAGATAGTACTGTTAAGCGCTTGGTATACGATTAATTCTGTGGATGTATTACTCTATAATTATAAATGTGATATTTATTGTAAAACAAGACCTACAGCTACAGTAAAGCTTTGCTGTAGTAGGTTTAGGATCTGAGGACTTAAGCCTGGAGATTAAATGGCCCCATAGTATCTTATGTATATTTTAAACTAGCGGTTTACCCTGGCTTCGCTCAGGTTCCCCTCTAGAAAAACAAACACAAATCTATCCCACGGGAACCGTACATTTTTCCGGGATAAAAAGTAGCATCTGTGTTATTTCAGACTATAATCTATGTCTGTGCCAAATTTCATTCAGATCATCAGAGTAACAAACATCCATCCAAATGCCTACACTGTCACATTTGTAATATTAGTAAGATACGAGTAAGATGTCTATATCTGCTTTCTGAGAGTTAACAAAATCATTAGAAGTTAGTTAGCTGCAAAGTAAATGAATACTTTTTGTAATTCAGCTAACTAGCTTATCACGCATAAAATCACTTATAAAAATTAAAATCATAAACATCAAAGCATTACGTGTTTTGCATGGCAAAAATTCTCATGACGCTCACTATTATCAACTGCATCTATAAATTAGGGAGCTTCTAAGTACAAACAAGTAATTTTGGCAACGACTATAATTTGGTGCTAATTTTTGTTCGGAAGTTTGGCCTCAGTCGACCCTGTAATTGATTTGTCGCGGCGAGGGACGCACTGGGATCTGCGAGTGGCGGCCACGCGACATCCACGCGACATGACCACGCCCTACGCAATTCGGTCCGCGATCGTTCAGATTTTGGCTTATAATATATGTCATGTTACTGAACAAGCCGCAACATTATTTTATAAAGGAAAATAAAAATATCTTACGATGTATGAAATTAAGCTCTGAATAAAATTTGTTGAAATAATAAATACTTACGTAATGAAAATGGTTAGGTACTGTTATTGGAAGGAAATTTTTCATCGTATTATTTTTATCGACTTTCTTTTGAGAGCTTTCAAAAGAGATACTTGATATTATTTTATTACTTATTCTCCAATTTTCGCCTACACTGATGTGAGATGCGCTAGGTAGTAATTACGACGTAGTTAGTCTTTAATAAATTGGAGGGAAGGAGGGAGGGGGCTGGGGGGATATTATAGACATTATTAATATAAACTTTGAATTTATAAGTTATAGGTACGCAATCAACTTGTAAAGTTCGCCAGTCTTACACATGCCACGACGGTCAATAGGAAATTATACTATAATGTGTGCTTGAGATATATTGCTGTAAAATAAAAATCCAATATTCTAAAATAATATACCTAACTAGCTTAAATAAAGCTAAGGGTTATAAATAAATTAATCGGAAGCTTAAACGCAAAATCAATTTTCACATGACTATTAATTTTAATCCAAAAATCAAAGAGGAAAACCGCGAGTGCGTCTTTACAGAGCTCTAGTTAATTTATTTATTTGTCTGCATATGCTCTGCGGAGATTATCCGGGGAGTGCTAGCACGTGGGCCGGGGGAGCGCACGCACGGCCGCGGCTCGGCACGCGGCCTCCAAGTGCTCGGAACATGTACCGACGCCTTCCTTCACAAAGCCAGGCACCACTTAATTAATCCGTGTCGTGTATTTTCAATGGTGTTTGCCATTGTCATGCTCTGCAGTCTGCGCTATCAGAACACACAATTTACTCGCGATCAACGAGGTAAGTTATGTGGTTTGGAGTAATACCTATATACTAAATCGTTTTTTATTCACATTGATTGTAACATTTTCATTGTAAGAAAGTAAACTAGAATATTATGTTTGTGAAAGTAACTCTGCCTGGCTGTCTGTTTATTTGGCAAGGACATTGATAGCGACGGACGGAGGCTACCTTTGTTGCTTACCATGCAAGTGACACCGCGGGAGAAAACTAGTTCACAATAATTTCTTAAATAACTTTTGGAAATGCAAATTTTTTAAATAGCTTTTATAAAATTTTATACATGTAGGTAGATACATCCAACAAATATTTATAATAATTAATATACTTTAGGAAGTTAAATCATTAGTACAATTAATTATCACTATAAAGATAAAACAATAATGTATAACTAAAAATGGTTTTCAATTGGAAATTAGCATTCATTTAATACTAGCAGAAAGAATAAATAGGTACTAGGTACTTATTTTACATTTTCCTATCTACTGTATTATCTTATTCAATGCAAATATCAAAATCTTAAATCCTATTCAATACATAAAATCACTGTCAATAGCCCGGAAACCAAATAGGTCCCTTTATTTGAACACCCCAACCCGTATTTGTCTGTCTGTTTGTTGTATTTACGCACTTATTATACACAATTATTAACAAGTCTTCTGCAGACCCGTGCGCTCTACTATAGAGCAAGTGATGCTCAAACTTATTATTTGTTTCATCTGTGTAGTATAAATTAACCTGCAGATCGATTCCAATGCACAAAGTTGAATATTTATTGTAATAAATGTCAATTAAATAGTTATAAAAATGTAGATAATATAAGATGTCTCATGGTCAAATCATGAGACTTATTTAGGCTTGTACTATAGGTATAGATAAAAACTATCAATGATTAAAAAAACTTTGAGAAGCGCTCGTGCCCTATTGAAAATGAATCGGAGCACGGAGGGTTAACCGCCGTCGCATTGCATCCCCAGTGAGCGAGTACAGCACTCGGCTCCTATGGGAACAACACACAAATTATCCACAACTAATTGTCTAATGTGTTCACGCCATTTAACTAAACAGATTGGACATTTCAAGTACAGTTTGTACAATATCAACATTGACTAAATACGATATGACCTATAAGTAATTTTTTTGTTAATTTATCTACTTGTTATTTTATAAAGCATTGGAATTGAAAGTGAAGAAAAGAATATGAAAAATTAATAAGTCCATTTAATTAATTATTTTTAGTTAATCTTTAAAATAAGTTATATTTTACATACTTTACAATATTTTTAACAATATTTTATATAAAACGTAAAATCTAATTTTCTATTCGCTGTATGCTTGGCTTGTCAGGTAACTTGATTTCTTCCACAGCCAAGTCTTCTGTGCTAGATTTGAGCTCCACGTATTTATATCTGAACGCCATGGTCGTGAATATTAACATATCCAATAACATCAGTCCCGCAAACAGGAAGAACTCCTTCCACTAAAAATTAATAAAGAAAATAAGTAAAACAACAATAATTTTAAAATTAAATAAATAAACATGTAATAATATGTTTCTTTTTAACTAACTCAAGCTCGCGGATGTGGGTTTTTTACTTAGTTTATATAAGCTGTTATATAAATACCTATACTTAGAGATATATCTAGACATTGCAATTAGATATTAGTCTTCTGTAAGAGGTTTTATTAGCTAGTGGGTATGTACTTACTTGAGCGTCCAGAAAGTTTCCTTCGACAATGAGTACTACAATAAGGTTACCGAAGGCAACCGTAAGTAGCCATATTGATTGTAGCACAGATTTCATGCTGGCAGGAGCTTGCGTGAAGGAAAACTCGAGACCCGTCACTGAGAACATAACTTCACCCATAGTCATCACCACATATTGCGGGACTAACCACAAAATGTGCACGCTATTCGGAGGAGTAATAGCTATTGCGTTGGCTATCTGTAGAATTAAATAATTATAATTGTTATTCATTCGAATACTTATATGTATAAATAAATATATTTATAAAATGATTATACTGACGTAAGTTCTGTTGCTTGTTTCGTATATAATAATTGTGTATACAGCCCCAGCCTTAAATTGAAAGTCCGATAAAACAGCGACATCATCAATCATGACATTGTATGTTCCTTTTGCAATTGATTTTTGTAATTTATCGGTACTCTCTATAGCAATATTAGTTTTGTTATTACTCCTTTGCACATTTATTGTTACTGGAGCATTTAGGTTAGATAAGAATCTGAAAAATATAAAATTAAAATTTCAATAACAATAGTAATAAGTGTTACGAGCTTTTAATTCATTTGAAAAAAAATCTAATCATAAAATACAAAAAAAAATTTAATCGAATCTATTGTATATTTCTTTTGCATTGCTTTAATTAACAGAAAAAAGTGCGATAAAATACAACGATATTGGAAAAAAGTAAACATGGGATGAATTTTAGTACACCGTCTAAGAAGCGATAAGGAGGTTGATTAAAATGTTGATTAAAGTTTCTTATATTCTCACAGTAGTCGTTTTAAAATCGAGCACATTTGATGTAAAAGTAAAAGTTAAACAAGGTACCATTTTGGGCCTTAAAGAAATGACGGTTTTCACGGAAAAATTGTATTATGCATTTTATCGCGTACCCTACGCTCAAACTCCAGTGGGAAAATTGAGATTTAAAGATCCAAAACCAATAAAGAAATGGGGTCAACCTTTAGATGCAACAAAAGAATATCATGGTGCTTGTGCACAAGATCATATTGTACATAAACATGGACTATATGGATTTGAAGATTGTTTATATTTAAACATTTACACGCCACACCTACCTAAACAAGGAAATAAAAAATTGAAAGCAGTTATTGTTTGGATACATGGATATGCATTCACTTCTAGTTTTAGTCATATATATGGTCCCGATTTTTTTATTGAGAATGACATCATTGTCGTCACTTTGACGCATAGAATAGGGGCTTTTGGCTTTTTAAAACTGAATGAAACTGATTTTAATGGAAATATGGGTCTTAAAGACATTGTTTTAGCTCTTCAATGGATACGAAGGAACGCAGGCCAATTTGGTGGCGATAAAAAAAAGGTAACTGTAATGGCAAGTGGTTCAGCTAGTACGTACATTTCATTATTACTGGTGACTAAGTATAGGAAATTATTTTCCAAATTAATTTTACACAGCGGTTCAATATATTCACCGTCAATATTTCAAGGCAATGACTTAGATGAAAAAAATAGACTCAAAGCCCAATTGAAAAAGGCAGGTTTTAAAGACATATTTAACGCCCCTACAGAAGAAATAATTAAAGCAACACGAAAATTGTATGGCAAAAAAGATATTATAAGCACGCAACGGTCAATGATTCCTTTCCTGCCCATTATAGAAAAAGAATCCTCTAATTCATTATTGACAATGAGTGTAGACGAAATATATAAGTATATAAACCAGGAGTTTAAACTTCCTATTCTCATTGGATTCACAAGTCAGGAAAGTATAACTGAAGTAATTCCATTTATTCATAATCCACACTACTTTAAATCGTATCTCGCTTCATTTACATATTTGGTACCCTTTTTAAATGGTTGTAAATATAAATATTCAAGTAAACTTTATAAAAAAATATCTGATATAGTAAAAAAACGATATTTTAAAAGAGCCAGTAAAGAAAGTAATATTGAAGGTCTTCTAAAATTTGTATCAGATCTTTATAAATATCCGATATATAAATTTATTAAATCAAGAAAACATTTAGAAAGTAAAACATTTGTATACAAATTTAATTACATAGGAAAGTTTAATGCGGCTAAGGCAACGTCATTGGCCACTTCAAAAATGAAAATCAAGGGTGCGGCACAAGGAGATGAATTGTGTTATATTTTACGATGCAACCCACTTTGGGAATCTTACGTAAATATAAAATATAATAAAACCGATAGAGATACAACTTTTATAAAACAAATTTCGCAAATGTGGGCAAATTTCGCCAAATTTGGCGATCCGACACCATTTCACAATCATGGCAACTTGACATGGTTGCCGATATCTCCAAACGTAGATAATGTTTTTTTATTTGATAAACAAAGTAGGTTGACCCATTCTGAGGCGGAGCAAAAAATGTTTGAATTTTGGGATGATCTTTACGTAAAATATTATGCACCTGAACGCTGCAAGCGCTTAAAAGATGAGTTGTAAAAATTAAAAAAAAAAAGAAAATTTGTATACAATATTATCCATAAAAATAAATAATAATTACCTGATACTAACACCATCTATGGCTTTGTTGTTATTGTCCATAAAATCGTACAAATTTTCATTACCGATAAAATAAGAATTTGCTGTTTTATCTTTTAAATAAAAGACGTCATTAAACGTTATATTTTCACATACACTGTTAGGTGTTCCACGAAGGGAGTATGGTAATTGTATAGATCCTTCAGCCTTGATGTCCAATTTTTCATATATGCCTAATGGTCCGATCATAGCATTTTCCGTAATATTATCACGGGACATATTTAAGGTAAAATTACAATCGTAGCCGTTGTACACCCTAAGTTGTGCCAACCCCTCAGAAACTGGGGTGCCGTAAGTAGGCTGCAAAATAAAAAATAAAAAACATTTTTTTAAATCACCTTATTTTGTCCTTGTTTTTAAGTTTTAATATGTCAACTTAGTATAATAATATCAGCCAGAGATGTACTTAAAATAATAATCAAATTATGCCCCTTATAGGACAAAACACAGAGATGCTACTTTACATTCTCTTGGGTAACCGATTTATTTATTGATTTGGATCGAGAAAAGAAATATTTGTATATTGTTTGGTACAAATAAAGGATAAAAATGTTCATTTAAAATAAATAATGATGAAATAAATCGCAAATAAAATTATATTGTACTAGCGACTTAACCTCGCTTCGCTTGGGTTTGTCCCTAGTGAAAAACAATAACAAATCTGTCCCACGGAAACCGTACATTTTTCCGGGATAATCCAGTCTGGATTAGCACATATGTTACTTTTTATCCGTATAATCTACCTCTGCGCCGAATTTCATCCAGAACCGTTCAGCCGTTCTGGCGTGATTGGGTAACAAACATCAAACCATTCAAACTTTCGTATTTATAATAATTATGGGATTTCTATACTTACCAAAAGATTGAGTTCAACTATTCCTGATATAATAAATGCACAAGCGGCAAGTAGCCCACCTAAGATCATTTTGTGCAAAGGCTTTCTCACAAGTTTACACCATGTAAGAAAAGGATATATTGCCTGAAAAAAACAACATCTCTATTTAAGTATGTACACCTACTTAAAAAAACATAATATGAATGTATATAGATCTTATACATATATTAATGACAATAAGTATTATTAATCGTGTACCAAAAAAGAAAATAAATAAGTACAAAGTGTAAAAAATGTTCAAGAGCCGGTCTTATCGTTAAACCGATTGCTATTGAAATAAAGAAATGTAACAGGTGGGATATGAATATTAAACAGAGTTAGGTATGTGTTAATTAAAACTATACTAGGTAATACATAAAATATAAATACTCATAGTCAACTGTTTGTGCGAGATTTATTAGAGTATGATATACAGATAATATTATAAAATACTTACCACTTCGAACAGAGGAATAAAGATTAGAATTAAAAACGGATTCAAAACTTGCATTTGATCTGCTTTTAGTGTCCAACCTCCAATATCCTGTTCCATTCTGTCAGCTTGAAAAGTCCATCTCGAACCCTAAGTAACAATGAAATAGGTAAAGTTATTCGTAATTCATATAAAACCGAAACACATAGGTATATCATATTTTCGATAGATTAATGTACGAATATGTTGATTAAAGTAAAGAAGTATGCGCTTCTCTAAGTTGTCATCGAACGACGACAATGTTTATCCGCATTTTTAATGTCGCCTACTTATTCCAATGTCAATCATTATCTTTAATGCTATATTTTACGCGTGTAAATTTTGATATTTGAGTTGATGACGAGTATTATTTTGAACGTCGCTTTCAGGCAATAATTTAGTGAGTGCCAAATGCAGGCTCATCGACTGAACATGCTATGAGAGTTATACAAACATTATTTATTAAAATTAGTATTTCATTTGTTGTTTAACCGAGCGTATCTATACAAATGATAAAATTCTAACTAAGCCGAATCTGTACATTACATACATATCTTTTGGTAAATCCTATTGAAATAGTCATTATTATCGATACAGAGGCCGAAACTATTGTTTCACGAGGAAACTACTGGACAGATGTCAATGAAATTTTCTATGGTGATAGCTATTTATACGGGTCAAAAATATTTCATTTTTGAGCAATCTATGCAAAACGTTAAAACTTAATTAGGGACGAAACCGAGCGAAGTGAGGTTGAGTCGAATATTAAGATAAAATTATCTATAAAAAAAAATCTGTACCTGTTGGTCGAACAGAGCCCAAAATACTGGTAAAGGTATAAATAGCACAAGCACACGTAGCAAGGACTTTACATCTTCTATCAGATTAGCGTCATATTTGTCATCGGCATGGTCCAGCCAATGCTCCCTTTTTTCATTAGTTTTTGTAGACCTTACGACTGCATGCTAAACAAAACATGAAAACAATGTAATACAAAATCTCTTTATCTTAATAGCATACAATTACAGATAAGCACGGTAATGTTATATAACATTACCGTGACATTAGGTAAGTTGTCCTTTAATCGAGTACCTTATTTACCTACGTATTATAGAAGGATCTATAGTAGTGTAAAGTTACGTGATAATTAATAAACAAATAACTAATATTATTTTATTATGAAGATTTCAGATATCTATATATAGTTGTAACTATAGTGAGCACCGACATATAACTGAGATGAGAACTGAACATATTCTCTATGATCTATCGGCTAGTTGTAAAACTAATGACGTGCAACGATCGATAAAATTATTACTAAAGTGTACATCAATAATCGTACCATTATTAGAATTTAGAAATGCCAAATTATTACGATGGCATTGAGTACATAGATAGATACACACAGGTCATAACCTGGAGAAACATATTGACTGTAAGGCATCTAGGCCCTTGAGCAAAGCGAGGGTAAGGCGCTAGTTAAGATATAGGTAATAACGATAAACTAATAGGTACTATTGCTGATATTTAAGTAGTATGTTATATGTATTGTATACTGCTGTCACTACTTCTAAAACAACTGATGAAATATAATCGTCGCCAGTATATTACGGTGCAAACACGGTAATATTACATTACCGGGGTGCAAACAAATATCATCAAAATCATAATCTATGCATATAGTTAAATGCATAAAATTAAGTATTTTATGCGTTTTTTATGCTTTAAATAGTGCTTAAAAATTAAATATAATAATATATTCACCCCGATGCACGATGACACTTTGGCCAAAACGTTTCCAGTTGGAGTTTTCATTACATAAAGCCTTTTGCCGGCAACAAAAAATACTGAAATTTTTAAAATTGGAAAGTTAAGTGACGTTTATGGATATACCACTTTTAAATATTTATTTTAATAAACCCAATAATAAATAAAGCTAGTTCATTTCGTACATAATATATTTACATATAATAAATACTCAAACAAAATTAATTAAAAACCTGTATTTAGCTCCTTCTCTTACAAAGTAATATGTTGGTAGCTGATAGCGTGAAACTCGAGAGTTATAAGTATAAAATTTAATATTTCTTCTCATATTTTAATGTATGTGGATGCTCAATCTAAGATCAAAGATGAAATATCTTGTAGTTCACAAGCATTAGATAAGGAAATGATAGAAATACGAACTACATCTACAAACTATACATCAAAACAAGTCAATTTTATTAACCGACTTCGAAAGGAGGAGCGATCTGTGTTCGATTGGTATATATGTATATGTATTTTTATACATATGTTCACTGATTCCTCGAAAACGGCTTGACCAACTTGACTGACTAAGCTAGAGCGACTCTATTCAGATATGAATAAATAACCCATTAGTGTGTTATATTTTAATAGAATTAAAGTTGTTTTCATCTATACTAAATACTTATATTATAAAGAGGTAAAGTTTGTGAGTTTGTGACGCTGTAGGGGTAATCTTTGGATCTACTGAACCGATTTAGATGAAATTTGGTAAGAAGTTAGGTTGAGACCCTGGAAAGGACATAGGATACTTTTTATCCCGGAAATCATCGCTTAAGGGGGTGAAAATGGAGATGAAAGTATGTATTGGGAAACAAGCTAGGGACGAACCCGAGCGAAGCGAAGTTGAGTCGCTAGTATCTAAATTAATTCTATATTTTTGTTTGCCTTGCGTCTTGCAACGAATGGCCTTATACATACATTGTTAAGGAAAACTCCGATCAGTTATCTCGTAGTTTCTTAAATTGGATTTTTCTCGAACGGTAAAAGATAGTAAAAAGTTATTTTTTGAGGCTTTTTAAGAAAAAAATATTTTATAAATAAAATTGTTAGTACATTGACAAAAATAAGGGTAATTAATGAAACAATGAAGTTACTTGTTTTTTTTATGATACTGCTTATTTTTACTATTAGTGCATACTTGTAGATACTTAGTTACTCTACTGACTTTAATCTATTCGTTTAGTTAGAAGGTCAGAGCCAGTGTAGTGTAGCTTTGATAGCCTTTCCACTTATGTTAACCTAAATGCATTTATTGTAGGTACACGTACATATTTAACTTGTTTATTTAGAATATGAAATTAAATGAATGAATTAAATGAGATATTTATACCTAAAACGGAATATTTCAATTCAAATTGTCTCATATTTACGTGCTATGTATTTAATATTATTCTGAATAATATTATATATTCAGTACAATGCAAATTATCTACTGAATTTTTAATAAGGCCTAAAAAGATGAAACTTCTTATGCAAACTGAATATAGTAAGGATACAATAGATGTAGCCTTAAAAGTATATTAAAGATTCGAAATTTCTTATACGTATAAGAAAATATGCAATATTATTAAAAAAAAAACTTACTAATAGAAATGACCATAAGAATCCCTGGAACTCCAAAGGCTAAAGAATAACAATCGTTGTCTCCGAAGCAATGTACGTCTGCCCTTAGAATCGGAGTGAGGAAGGTAGATATTAGACTTCCAGCGTTGATAGCGAAATAGAAGAGCGAGAAGAAGTATCCCAAGTATCTCTCTTGTTCCGGCAGCTTGAACTGGTCGCCGCCGAATGCAGAAACGCATGGTTTGATACCGCCGGTACCAAATGCTATAAAGAGTAGCGCCAGTATGGTAAACTCTCTGAAACGGACAATCGCTAAATTATTATGATATCAACAGGTAAGTAAAATAACTGAATCAGTTAACTATTTATTATATTATATTTTATAAAATCTTTTTCACTTTGAAGGGAATTTCATACTAAATAGTATTTAATACAATTCAATTTTCTGGTTAATGGCTTCGAAACGTGCCAGTAGAACACAGATCATGCAAATTGATCATTGCCTATGTCATACCAATGGAGAAGAAATGAAGAATAGTAATTTATAAAATATACATGGGAATAACAAATTTTGATTCTACGACGACTTTTGTTATTTCAGTAGATTTTTTCTATTCTTTAACGATTCTAGAACGACAATTTGTTTAACCCTAAGGAAATACATAACACTTACAGTTGAGGTAACTGGACTGGAGGCATTGCTGCCACCGATATTAGGGCGCATCCTGTTGCGTACACCAGAGAAAGGTAGAATATTGTCCTATAAAATAAACTTAAGATTAATATATTATCAAACCAAATTATGTTAATGATGTTGATGGCCCATAAATTAGTGACATTTTAATTTGTTAATAAAATAATAATAAAGTGAATAAGCCAACTACGCTCTAGCATACGTTTAAAAGGTATATGTAAGGTAGTAAGTATATTGAAAACATTCCACAGTATTTTCGACACGCCCGACTGGTTTTGGATAGACAGCGTATAAAAAAAATTAAATGTGGCACTCGGAGACTGCCGCGGTAAAGCTATTGCATAGCATTTTTTATCAACTTATGCAAGCTTATTTTAATATCAAAAAATCTGGTTATCTTTATAGCAGTATTATATATAAATTAACAAAACAAAAAATAATACTGCATTTGTGATAATAATAATAAAATGAATGTATATAGAGTACTAACTCATTTTCTTTCACAATTTTTTCGTGACTTTCTTCATTAATAAATGCACTTTGTTTATTCATATTTAAAACACTTTGTACACAAATTATACGAGTACAGATATTCACTGTTGTACATAGATGATAAATACCTATACACCTATATACTTTCTCACAAACAGCTGATTACGGTTGTTTTTCAATACAACCAATGCCACCTAAAGGCGGGTTGCTGAACTAAAGAAACAAGCGTGATATTTCAAAAAGTCATTAAAAGTTCTGGTATTTATCGATAGATGGAAAAACTAAAAAGTATCACCGCTGTGCCGGTCGGAGTGGGGGGTGTAAGGTTTTTTTCGTTACGGAATTTCTGGATTCGGTCCCCACGCTCAAGGCCCGCGATAGAAGCTATGCAATAGCTTAAAAGATAATTTTAAATATGACAAAAAAATATTTAGGCATCCTATAGTTGGTTTAATTTTTATTTAAGAGAAAAAACAATTCTACTTTATGGATGATAGGTAAAAGCATAATTAAAGATTTGAAAATATAAAGTGAATTAATTACCTGAAGCGTCCTAGCCAGCCATCGGCAATCATGGCACCAATTAAGGGGAAAAAGTAAGCAAACATCGTAAAAACGTGATAAACAACCGTGGCGCTGTCGTCTCCATAACCCAGTTTGTCGCGCAGGTACAACGATAAAATTGCTGTAACATATTTATAATATTATTTATTGCAAAATTGCAAGGATAAAGTATAGGAATCCTACTAATATTATGAACGCGAAAGTTTGTGGAGATGGTTGGATGTATGGATACATGTTTGTTAGTCTTGTACGAATAAACTACTGAAAGGATTTAATTAAATTTTACAGTAATACTATGAGACATATATAATTTACATTTATGGTATAGTAATACATAATGGAACTGCGCGAAAACGTTACTTCAATAAAACAAACTCGAATCTCTAAAAATATTAATTTAATAATTTTGTGCAAGTAGAAAGTATAATATTAAATTAGAAATACATTATATCTATTATACATCCATATTGTAGAAAAATACATATTCACAGTATTTTTATGGAATAAAGTAACTAAAAAATTATGTTAATCGAGTAATTTATTCACATAGATCTCTTAATATATACCACGTGTCCGCACAAAATGTACATAATACTTACTAGGGTATATTATCTATCATTATTTTAATTCCTCATTACATAATCACTTTTTATTTTAAATTCCTGTAAAATTTGTAACGTGTCTAGCATGGTAAGATCATAGATTTAAGGGTAGTATATTAAAACTATGAATAAAACTATAACCTGAAACATAGGTTTTTAACCTTTTTTTTTGTTGACGCTGGGGAAACCCATCATGGGGACCCTGCCCGCCGTCATAACGGACAAGGTACTGTGAGACTCCTACTCACTAAAACCCACAGCGGAACCCGTCGCCGCAGTGCAATGGGGCGTTGCAGGATCGCTTGCGCATTCACTACAACACCCCTGCATAGGTTTTTAACCTAGTTCAAGTAGGTTCCAAATTAATTATCATTAACGATGGCGAATTATAGTAAATAAACTCTTAAAAATGCTTTTTTTAGCTTAATATGAAGGTATAAATAACTATGTAGTTAAACCTTGGAAGCCAATTTTAATTTATTTCGAACTTATTACAGAATTGTATCAATTCTATCTTGTGATCGATGTGAAATCCGAATGACGACAATATATTAATTTGTAGCCAATAGACTAATCTGACAGGGAGGCGGATAGTGGAATGGAGTCTATTGATTCGTTTTGGTCAGCTGATGTTTCACAATCATGTTTCTTTTTATTTTAAAACTACGATTGTTTAAAAAAATGATTCCTTATTTTAACTCTTCCTAATGTTAATTACATGCATTATACAATCAATACCATCTGCTTTCAATTGCCATGTACAAACAGCTTTAGTTATTCGATAACATGTAGGAATTTAACTAAGCAATATGTCTTTTTTTAAATATTAAATAAATATATCATATTTGTCAATATATCATATATTATATTTGTATTATAAAACAATATGCAATCTATCTTATATTATACTTAGATAAGTAAACCATGAAGATTATGATATAATTTCAAGAGACGTTTTACTATTGTTTATTATCAGAGCTCATTAACTTGACAAGACATTTGTATATCAAGAAATTACGTATTGTATCTTCGAATAGTTTTAATACTTACGACGTAAAAGTTATCATATTATACATTAATAGCATTGCCCGCCGCTCCGCCCACGTTCAGATGACCAAAAACCAAATTCTGAGATTGTACATATTTTATTTTATTTTATTATTATACTCTTACATGGCAGTTTTTGTATTTTTTCTCAGAAATGAGACATTTTTCCGCAGTAAAAAGTATCCTATATGGTGACCCGGAATACCAGCTATCATCAAATCACCAAATTTCATCAAAATCCATCCAGTGGTTTTTCTGTGATGCGGTAACAGACAGATAGACAGACAGACAGACAGACAAAAATTCTAAAAACTATAGACTCGGCCTTTGTATCGATAATAATGTTTATTTCGATAAGATTTTCCAAAAAAATTTTAATGTACAGATTCGGTTTAGTTACAATTTTATTATATATACAGATTTTGTGATTATTGATATTAATTTATAACTTGCGGCTTTTCCTCGCTTGGGTGCGTCCCTATGGATGAATGTCGTAGAACGCAGAGATAAAGCACACAAAGAATAAAGTCTCTTTTTTTGGGGCCAAGAACTCACTAAAGTTTCATCATAATCGGATGCATTTCTTATGAACGCATAGAGTATAAACATACGAAACATACATTTTTATTTATAATGATTTAACGTAATGTAATGACTCATTACCTTTGGTTTATGAAATCTCTCCTTAAAATAATATTAACCTATCAGCTTAATTTAAAATTAATTACCCTATTTAAACCAAGACATTCAAACATGGGTAAGTATGATGATAGCGTCGTTAAGTGAGAAGTATAATTGCTTAAGAACTATCTTAAAAAAACGACATAATAAAATTAAAAGAGTGTCTTCATATGTTCTATAAAATAATATAGGTAAATGAGTTTCTACATCATTTTTTTATATAAAATTATTTATCACTTTTAAATATTTTAATATAAATTCGAAACTAATATTTTTTGATAATAATAAGTATAAATAATATGAATTTGAAAGTTAAAACTTGAAATTAACTTGCATAGTAAGAAATCGATTTCATGTTACACTTATTAACGTTTTCATATGCTGAAGCAACAGAGCGAGTTAAATGTTAATTAGCAGTTTTTATAGGGATTTTAGACGTGAATGGATTGACGTATTGCTTAAACATAGGTTCATTTATGAATAGGTCTTAAAATAAAGTTATACCATTAATTTTTTTATTATTATAAATACTAAGTGGTAAGTATACTACTTAGTATTTGGTCAAATGATAACTCTCACTATGATTTTAGGTATAAATAAGTCACTTGAACTCAATTTCAGTTCGGATTAAAATAAAAGAAGATTGATGTAAATGGCAAGAGATCCATTAGAGGCCACATGTTCTATTATATAGGACATTTACCAAAGTCTTATATAAAAATATGTAGGTATAATAAATAGATGTAACGAAAGCTTACAATTAATCATAAGACAACAAATAAAATTTATAAAAGAAAAACGATTTATCCTTACTTCGCATTCCATAATAAGAAAACCTCTCGCAAAACTCATTTGTTATGATGAACCCCACAGCCTTTGGATAGGGAAGCTTCTGCAAAAAAATCAAGATATAATATTTTCTTGTCTAGGTACTTGCACACAGTAGTACAACTAATAAATGTATTGTCTGTTTCTCCATTGATAGGAGTCTGCCAAAATAAATGTAAAAATTAAAAATAGTAGCGTGATTTGCTGTTTATGCTGCTATTCTCGATTTTGCCACATAAATTGTTTACTTTCTTTAAAGAATAAATTATTCAGGTACGAGCATTACCCGCGGCTCCGCCCGCGTTCAGATGACCAAAAACCAAATTCTTGGGTTTTACAGACTAATATACTTTTACATTGCAGTTATATATAAACTTTTATAAACGTTATACACAGATTAAAAACAGGTTCTTATGGTGTACGTTTTACAATCGACATGAAATTTTCTCATCGCTAATAGTGTTACTGTTAATTGGTACGTACTCCTAGGTTGGTACTAGGTTACTACTGTTGGTAGGTTGTAAATAAAATATTAACGAATAACCTCTGCGTATTGCTCTATTCTACTTCAATAGATATTCACTTATAATTTAATCTATAACATGTTTATATTGTAAACTGAACTTATCTTCCTAGCATAACGAAAAATCATCAGAACATTACCGTAGGAAAATTCCTTAATGAAAACTAAAACTGGAGAACTGACGAACAACTACGAATACAGATAGACATCGTAAGCGTAAAACTTACAATATTTAATAAGGTTAAAGTAAAGGTATTCGTATGCTTTCAGCCTTATTGTTTACATAATATATTTCACTTGGAAAAAGAGTGAGGAGTTCAATCTGTGGGGACCGTCGGAATCTCCTACTAAACAGCTTCTTAAAGTTAAGAATCTCACCAGTCAAATTTTGTAAAGTCATCTGAGTGAACCGGATTCATCTACAAATAATCTTCAATTAAAAGTCGTTCCATTATTAAATTATATTTAGGCCAAGTATCAAATTCTAAACGATGTAGGTATACGACATGACGAATGTAACTGCTTTAAACTGGATACGTGTTTTAAGTGCCGCTAGCCATTTATTTTCCATCGCTTATTTTTGTCATATAGTGATTAATTAATATCTAGACCGAGCTGACTAGCACAAATACATTAAATTAATATTTCCACGAATCATGGTCTGCCTATGTTTAAGAGAATATTTGAGTTACGTCCTTTTCTACTTATGTAATATACATTTAAACCAATATTTAGACAAAATAAGTTCTAATAGTACGGGTGTAATAATTATAATTATAGAGTAGAACTCTGAGGATTTCTCGTTTTTTAAATTGGGCATCAAATAATTTGGTAAAGTATTTAGTTTCGTCCCATAGCCACAGCGCCAGAATATTTTTTTGCGATTTACATCCGTGATTTAATTACTAATTTCGTATACTTGTCAAATTCCAAGTCGTCGAACATTTTTGTTCCGGATAATCTCTGAAACGGCGGACTGATTTTGATGGGAATTTCACTGAAAGATAGCTGATGTTATAGGGAGTAACATAGGCTACATTAATTTTAGAAAAAGAATTAAGGTTCCGCTCAAAACCATTAAAACGTACCTAGGGGCGAACCCGAGCGAAGCGAGGATGAGTCGCTAGTTTTATTATATGTATATATCATTTATATTAAAAGTTTTATATTCACATATAATACACAAACATCACTATAAATATATAGGTTAGGTCGGGTTATATATGTATATATTTAAATAACGAAAATATATAATAATCTCATTGATTCCCATGATCGATTACCTTTTTCTAAGAAAGAAACAAACATAGAAATTATTTTATTTTATTAAATTCATATTACCTACTTTTAAGAACTGTATTTTATATCTTTAAGAAGAACATTTATGAAAAGAAGGACATATACGCAGACTGGGAAATATGTAAGTAAAAGAAAGTTAATGTTTTATTGTCAGTTTTGGCCTTGGTAGAATAAAAGCAGCGATTGCTCCATGCTCATGCGCCACAGTCATATTATTGCAATTCATTTTAAAATAAATTATTATTTCGTGTTAATCATTACGTGCTACACTATATTTCTCTATATGGTTTTCATTTAATAGTATTTTATAATATATATTTTTTATATCTAAAGGCTATTATTATTATAAATTCTATTCGAATAAGAAGCGAGTAATTTCATTTCTAGGAAGGATCCTCCCGAAAAGTTCGATCCGGCTTGTATTATAAAAATCTATACTGTGTATCTGCCGTTTGTTGTTTATAGAGCTGTACTTTTAAACTCTAATGAAAAGCCAGTTAAAATCATGGCGAATACCCTGACAAATAATAAAAAAAGCAAAATGATAAGATGGGTCTTGTTCTCATTACAAGAAACGTGTTTTGTATTGTTTTGATTTACGTAAAATAGTAGGTATAATAATAACAAATGTAATATGTGGTGATAGAACCTTTAGTACAAGAATCCGACTCGCACTTAGCTGTTCCTCTACTATGTAGGTATCTACTTGATATGGTTAAAATGTGAAAACGAAAGTAAAATAGAATAGATCATTCAAACATCGTTAGCAATAGTCACAACAGATACGGTATCTGCATTATATGGCGAAACAATGTTTTTCTATGCTTGGCCTAAATTTGTCAATAGTTTCATAACTAATCCTTAAATGATTTCGACCAAAATATTGAATAACTATTTTGGAACAGTTACGCCATATTTTTTATTTCATTTTAATTTTTCTGAAATTTGCCCGATTTTATACTTTGGATAGTTCTTTAAACCTATACCTATAGTCTAACTCTAAGGTCTTCAGGGATTTTGTCACCAAAAATTTGCTCCAGGCTATTTTTAATTAAAAAACCTCTAGACTGTAAATGTTTTAGTATAACAACCTTACATCATTAAATTTGTAATAAAATTATCTACAATTTGATACTTGATTGGTTCCGAAAAATACGATTCGATATGAGCAATGAAGTATTTCAATTTACCTGTATACTAGTATAATAACTAAGTGTACATTTGCTTTCTATATATAATTAAGTATATTTGTAATTTTCTTTATTGTAAATAAAAAAAGTTGGTATATAAAAAAAATATCTGTTTAAAGCTGGATATCATATTAAGTGGATTCTAAAAAGTATAATGGCATGATGGCATTTTCTACAAGTCTTTCTTTTACGATTATTGCAAATTTTAAATGTCGCAGAAAGTAAGACGCCGACCAACGTCGGGCGACGAGGACACGTTAAACGTATCACAAAGAGGAAGCTGTAGGGATTGTGAAAGGGGGTTCAGGACTAGGGTTCAGGATAGCCGGTGGTGTCTGGAATCAGCACATACCGAGCGATAATGGGATATTCGAATTCGATTCATACTAAGTTGTCACAGGAAAAGAGTTCTTGTACTTTTAAAAAAAAGAAGTTTTTTTTAATTAAAAATAGCCTGAAGCAAATTTTGATGACCACCCCCTGGGTCGTGTTTATCAATATGTTTTATGGTTTAAACAAAAAAAATCCCCTGAAAAAAGAGTGAGGAGTCCACTACATAGATCGAGATCACCTATTACTAGTTACATATTTAGATACCTACTACTAGTTACACAGTTACATATTTTAGTATTTAAAAAAATGCTAACATCTTATAAAGTTTATGTTACTTACATATATGGGAAAACAATAAACACGTATCATAAGGAGAGGCCACGATGAGGTTAAATCATTATTTACTTAACTTATAGTGCAATTTACATTCAAAGGCCGTTTCGGTCTTTCGTTGCCAACTTTGTAAGACATGAGACTATATTTTTTGCATAAAAATGCATTTCTCTAGTTGTGTTTATTTGTTGATAGTTTAGTGTGTGTTTGTATAAGGTGTGTTATATTTAAAACTTTTTTCTGGTTATCTCGCAAATATTTTCAAGGCTAAAATACGTTAGAATCGAATTTTAGAGCCAGATTTTTTAGTGTTACTAATGAAGTCGAATTTTAGTTTGTCAGTCTTCATTAAAAAATTAGCATCAAGCTAACTTTAACGGCTTATGGGAATATTTTATTGAAATGAAAATTTCTATAGGCAGGTTAGGATGGGGAGTAAATTCATGAAAGTCGTTATCGACACGGTTACGTGACGTGTTAACGCTAACACTCAGAGTGCCGATAGATGTCAAAACCAGATAACAGTTTCAATTTGCATCTAGTTTTAGTAGTTTTGTTTATAGTTTTCACTTCTGTCGGTAGTCCTCATGACTGCTTTTTTAAAAAATATTTTCTTTTTACTTTGCTACTATAAAAATCAAATATTTTCGAAGTCGGTGTGCTTTGATTTGTATCGGCTGGCACGGACTTCTAAAATATTTGATTAGGTATCTATAGTAAATGGAACTACCGATCTTATTTTTACTTTTTAGTGGGTTTTTTGAAGTCGATTTTTTAATAGGTTTTTAGTTTTCTAGAAGCGTATACGATTGTAGAATGCATATCATCTAAACCCATACCTATAAATATATATGTATATATATATATATATATTTTAATATCTATATATATATATATATATATATATATATATATATATATATATATATATATATATATATTTATAATATCTATTCCATACTAACGGTTAATTACTAATTTTTAAATATGTAGGTAGGTACCTATCGGTGTTTCACCTAATGTTATATAAAGAAAAATTTAAATAATTAAATTATTTTAATTTAACTTTTAATGATTTCAAAGTAGATGTTAATTAACTACTTATCAGAGAGAGAGAGAAAGAGAGAGAGATCAAGTCAAAGACCGCGCAGTGTTATTGATGCATTATGATAAATTTATAACATTATTGATTCTAATTATAAGTCGTTTAATAGTGCAGCACCAATTTTTGTCTACTTATTTATTTTAGAATACATAGTCAATTTTTCATGCACTGCTGACTGCTTTGTTACTAGGAAAATGATTTGATTACGTACTATTTAAACAAGTTGTCATCATTGTCTAAGCAGCTGTGTCAAGGTGAGCCGTACGAACTGAGGTTCTGTG